GCTTGCACGGACTCATGTTTGTGCGAGCATGTGTGTGTATGTGTGTGTATGTGTGTGTGTGCACGCGGGCGTGCGTGTGCGTGCATATGTGTGTTTGTGTGTTGCACTGTTCTTCTTTACTACCTAGTTGTCAAAACACATGCCTTGCTGGCAGCTACGGTCCAGGCTGTACTGCTACATGTACATGTCAGAATGGCGGAGTATGTGATCATGTGACTGGACAGTGTCGCTGTACACCGGGCTTTCAAGGAACAGAGTGAGTAACAGCCACTTGTGATACCTCTTTACTAATATGTATTTCCCGCAATTGTTTTCTCGACTTTGCAATCCCGCAAGATGTGTCCCCCCCCCCCCCCTAGTGTGTAGAATGATGCTATTAAATTTTGTATTTGAAGACAAGTGGTCTTTAGACCTAGGATATACTGTGATTGTGTAGAATTCTGGAGTTTGTGTGTTGTTTGTTTATTTAATAGAGCCGAAGAACAAACAGGCAAATTTGCCTAATCACATAATATCAACTATGAGTAGATACCACCTTCTGCAGACAGGGAGTCTCCCTAATATCGATTGCTTCCATGTCATGTATTGCTTGTTAACACAGGCTGCGCAGTGTCCTGGTGTGCTCTGAGGCCATCTTGCAACTAAAGTGAACCCTAGCTAGGAATTAGCTGGCAATTATTATCGTTTTTGATGTAGGCATAGAAATGGTTGGTAAGCAACGTTGCTCTCTTTCGTTCTCTCTCTCTCTCTCTCTCTTGTTTCCCTCACTTCAGTTGCTCTCAGTCCTGTGCGGATGGATTCTTTGGTGCAGGGTGCCAGCAGCAGTGTCTGTGTCAGAACGGTGGTACCTGTGATCCTGTTACTGGAGACTGTGCATGCACAGATGGATGGCTAGGAACACAGTAAGCCTCAGTGACGGTGCATGCGCCTGACATGTACATGTACTCATACTATTCAATTCACTATGCCTCAACTTAGTGCTACATTGGAATGTGTAAGAAGTCGACCAGTATATTATACAGTTTGCTGTAGTCGTGCATGCGTTTTGGTGTGGATTAGACAGGCCGCCATGGTGTGCCCGGGCCATGCGTATGCATGTGATGATGTGCGTGGGTGTGGGTGCATCTGTGCTCGTTGTGGTGTTAACAATGCAGTTACATAGTGCTAATCCTCTCTCTCTCTCTCTCCTCTCATTTGCTTGTACTCATAGTTGTGACGTCACCTGTCCGTTTGGCACATGGGGAGAACAGTGTCATCTGAACTGCAACTGCCAGAACAACGCAACATGCTATGCGGCCACTGGTGTATGTCGATGTGAGCCGGGCTTCAGGGGAGCGGAGTAAGTCATGAGGCTCACATGCATTTACAGCTTGAATTCATTTCACCTTGTTCTTTTCACACCTTTAAAACACCTTAACTTGCTAATGAATGGGATGGTTCCCATAGGCCAAGAAACATTGCCTAATGCAGAGACAACTGGACTCGAGCTCTTCTTGGACGAAAATGCTTAGTGTGAGCCATTGTCAGTCAGAAGTTTGTGCTGTACTTCAGTTAAGACGGTCCGCTGCGGGACACACATAGGATCTGCACCACGGGTATTGTGTGTGTATACATGTGAGTACTGTGTCACTTAGTCTGTGTGTGTGTGTGTGTGTGTGTGTGTGTGTGTGTGTGTGTGTGTGTGTGTGTGCGTGTGTGTGCATGTGCATGTGCGTGTGTGTTTGTTTGTCTTGCTTTCTCCTAGCTGTGCGACACCGTGTACTACCGACACCTACGGGCGAAACTGCTCGTTTGCATGCACCTGCCAGAATGGTGCACGATGTGATGCACATGATGGTCGATGCTACTGCAGACCTGGCTTTGGAGGAGGAAGGTGAGAGATGATTAGGTTCTGCGGGACACTCTAACCTTGCACATTGAAAACATTCCTACTTGGAACTTTGGAAGGTCTTGAACTATGCACACTGCTATACCTACAAAATACATCAGAGGCTTCAGAGCTGGTTGTATCCGAATATATGGGACAAGTCCCCCCCCCCCCCTCCCCCTCCCACACACACCCACTTCCCCACTCCCCCAAAGACCAGAAAACTATAACAGGCGACGCTCCTTATTGATGCATAGTACTTGTACCTCTTCGTAATTGATGTCTTGCCCTGGGCACTCTGCGCACACGAAAGAAAATAGTAGCGATGTGAACAGGGGAAATGCCTACCTTTCCAATCGTAGTGGATAAAAAATAAAATAAAATAAAATAAAATAAACAGAAAAATGAACGATGAAGTATACCCTATGCAGATCCGTATACAGCGTCATGGCCTGCAGTTGGGTCACTGATTGGATGGTAGCCATGGCACACTGATGTCATTGGCCTTGTTTTAACCATGGTAACTGCATCACAGCGGCATTGGCCTAGGTGTAACTGCATCACTGCAATGTTCTTACCTTGACACAGTGTCCGTGTCCTTCTGGTCCTGTGTGTGTGTGTGTGTGTGTGTGTGTGTATAGTTGTGAAACGGCATGCCCTGATGGCAGGTTTGGCGCGGGCTGCACCTCGCAGTGTGACTGTCTCAATGGAAAATGTCGCGTTGAAGACGGCTCGTGTGACTGCTACAATGGATTCACAGGTGCCACGTACGTACCACTTACTGCGATTGTGTGAGACACTACCAGTGTCCAGCATCGTTCAAGCATTTCTACTCAGCAAGCTTGTTCTTCTGAGCAAATTTCCTGGGAGTTAGCCCCCCCCCCCCCCCACAACCAAAACATCTTCCTATGCCACTGCGTGGTTGTCAACTTGTTATTATGAGCTTGCTGTCATGGCATGTCCTGTATAGCCGGTTGTAAGACGGATGTGCGAATGTTACTCTATGTCAGATCTGTGGAAGCGGTATCCTACGATATGGCGAGAGAGACGAAGCTGAGTTGCAACTCTGAGTTTCACACCGGTTATCCTAGAGATGAGCCATGCAGACACAGCTGAAATGACTTTACCCCGGCAAGAGTGATGTCAGACCCCAGAGTATAGCTTGCTGATGCCCAACTAGCTCTGGTGCATAATGCTATTTAGTATTTACACTTGTTCAGTTTGTTTCAAAAATGCGCCAGGGCTGATAGTCTTAGCTGCTCTCAACTGCGGCATGCCATGCGCTGTGTCCATGGCATCGCACTCATAAACACAACGAAAGGATTCAAAGTGCGTCTAAAATTGCCATCGAACCACACACATGTAGGAAAGTTCGAGTTGAAGGTAGTGGCATGCAAAGATACTCGTACTGTGCGCCACGTCACCCACCGATTGTGTACGCGTGCGTGTTGTTGACTATTTAGATGCTCCAGTCAATGTGAGTCTGGCAGCTATGGTGTGTACTGCAAGGGTACGTGTGAGTGCCAGAACAATGCCGCCTGCCTGCCCACGAACGGCTCATGCGTGTGCAAGCCTGGCTACTCTGGGCCGATGTAAGTTTGCGACACAGGTCTTCGATTATTATTGTATTGATCTGTCCGAAACTTTGTGCGATTGTAGTAACATTCGTTCATTTCCGCTTTTGAACTAGACATACGCATACATAGAGCGTCTACAGTAACCAATGGTAACCCGGAGATTGCACTTTTGGGAACATAGGGTGAACTGCTTTAGCATGGCATGTTCTTTTAGAATTTCAAAACTCTAGTCAAAATGTTCTTAGAAGCAAATACGCATGTTTGCACTGCCTGGTCCAGCAATTTCTTTGCAATTTTTCACAGTTGGATATGTTCTTCAACCTGGAAACTTCAGCGACTCCAGCCTGCGTGGGTGCTGGTGGTGCTGGTTTTGTGGATATTTCCCGGATGGTTTTTTATGGTGATCAGTAAAATATTGCAAGATGGCATCACTTTCTTCTGAGCAGCTTTGCGTCTCTTGTGAATCTCTGAACGTACAGATGTTCTGATCATTGTCCACTTGGTACATTCGGTGCTGACTGTGCTGGTGTATGTCAGTGTGAGAACAACGCCCAGTGTCACCATGTCACAGGAACATGTAGTTGTGCAGCCGGATACACTGGACATACGTAAGCAAGCGGGATGTGACGTATCTTCCTTCGTGCTGCTGTTGTTATCCTGCATTTGCGCATTCTCCCATGGGTTTAATAGTATGGAAATATCACTTTTCCGACAAACACGTTTTAAAAATCAAAAATTCACCAGTTGTAGTCTTCGGGGTGCTGAGTCGAATGGTCTTGGTCCGAGAAAGCTGAGACGCTCCCTTCCTACTTGAATCCCAATCGAACTCGCGCGCTTCCACCGAAACTGGGTGACTGCGCCCTACTAGATGGGGATTTGTATGCAAAATGTCACTAAAAGCACCATTTCGTTCTTATAAAAGCACGGATGACCGCGATTGGCCCATATGTTGTAGTCTTTTGGACGCTGAGTCGACTGGTTTTGGTCCGAAAAGGCTGCGATGTAGTGTTCCTCCTTTATTCCCAATCAAACATGGTTGAACAAGCGGTCACGTGCTCCTGGGTGCCCAAATCACCTGGTCACCACGTACCACGCCAGCAGGCGACAACTTTCACACCAAGGTTCAACTCGAGTGACAGGACTGCACCCAAAAAAGGTCAAACAGGCTAGTAAGTTGTACCCTGCAGGCACGGTGACCAGGTGACTGGTGTACGCAGGAGCACGTGACCGCTTGTTCAACCACGTTCGATTGGGAATAAAGGAGGAACGCTGCATCGCAGCTTTTTCGGACCAAAACCAGTCGACTCAGCGTCCAAAAGACTACAACATATGGGCCAATCGCGGTCATCCGTGCTTTTATAAGAACGAAATGGCGCTTTAAGTGACATTTTGCATACAAATCCCCATCTAGTAGGGCGCAGTCACCCAGTTTCGGTGGAAGTGCGCGAGTTCGATTGGGATTCAAGTAGGAAGGGAGCGTCTCAGCTTTCTCGGACCAAGACCATTCGACTCAGCACCCCGAAGACTACAACTGGTGAAATTTTGATTTTTGCCTCAACTTCCCCTTTAAAACACGCGTACACACACTTACATATGAACATGTGTATCCGCATACACATATGCACACATACACACATACACATACACACACATAAACACACACACACATACACACATATACACACACACACACACACACACACACACACATAAACACATACACGTATAAACACATACACACACACATACACACATACACACACACATACACACATACACACATAAACACATACACATACACACATACACACACACATACACACATACACACATACACACACACATAGGGTTGGTTCACATAAGCAAAATCGGCGCCGCAAGACATCGGCGGTGAGCCAGCTCCCGATCCGTTGCGCATACGGTTCGAGTACCAAATCTACTACAAAGTAGTACAGAATGTGCCCAAATGCTACGACAGGTTTGCCAATTGAAGCTTGAATTCTTTGTTTCTTCAGTAGTTCAAGGTCTTTCGGTGATGGCCACTCGGTGCTACCTTTTACTGGAGGTCATGAAAATACTTCTACACATTTTATTGCAGTGTAGTAAGCGATTGTGTCGAAATTATGCTTGCAAACGTTGGTGAAGTCACAAGAACTTGCCAATGTATCCATCATATTTTTTATTCCCGTAGCTATGCAGAAGACGTTACTTCAGTAACGTCTGGCGCTAGCCAGGGTCCACACAGCTTTAATTTGGTGTTTGTTTGTTTGTTTGTTTGTTTGTTTGTTTGTTTGTTTGTGTCACGCCTGGCGCTATCCCGTATCTGTCCCGTACCGTACCGTACCGTACCAGCCAAGACAGCTGGCCACAATATATTTTGGTTTGTTTGTGCCATCGGCATGCCTGACGCTATCCCGTACCTGTCCCGTACCATCAAGAATACGGTACAATCAAGAGAATGAGTATATATGCGGAGTGTATCGGGGGAATGCATTCAGTGCAGTAACATTTTGTGTGGATTTGTGTGCGAGGCCGAGATCCCACTAGCAGGCTGGCTGGGCCGCCTGTCGACCAGCCCGGGAATCGCATGTAGGCCGATAGCATAATAATTATAACGTATATAGATGTATAGCAGGGAGTCGTATTATGTAAACGACTCCGTGCTGTCTAGGGAGATTTTCTTGAAAGAAATACGAAGTAGGGAGATGAAGAAATGCAATTAGAATGGACGTTAGTTGCCGAATATGTGACATGATGCGTCAGCTAAAACAACCTTTGGAAGAGAGATCCCGTCGTCTCCAAAATAATCCTGAACGGGCGAGTCAGCGCCAGTCACAGGAAACGTCGGAAGAGAGATCCCGTCGACTCCAGAACATTCGTGATCGGCAGAGTCAGCCCCGGTCACAGGAAACGGCAGGACAGACATCGCGTCGACTCCAGAACGCCCGTGATCGGCAGAGTCAGCGCCGGTCACTAGGGGTGTGCGGATAATGCTCGAAAAGGTGGCAGAGTCTTGCCACCACCAGAACGTCCGTGATCGGCAGAGTCAGCGCCGGTAACAGGAAACGTCGGAAGAGAGATCCCGTCGACTCCAGAACATTCGTGATCGGCAGAGTCAGCCCCGGTCACAGGAAACGGCAGGACAGACATCGCGTCGACTCCAGAACGCCCGTGATCGGCAGAGTCAGCGCCGGTCACTAGGGGTGTGCGGATAATGCTCGAAAAGGTGGCAGATTCTGCTCGAAAAGCAGTGAAATTGGCAGAACCATACAAACCTATGGCGGGCAATTCCTCGAATTCTGCTCCATTTCTTTATCCACATACCAAACATGCAGGAAACTTACCAAAAAAGTACCGAATTTGCCAATTTTTCTGCCGGCATTATCCGCATACGCCTACCGTTCACAGGAAACGTAACAAAAAAATTAAAAATTAAAAATATACAAAAAATATTAACGCCGTAGTAGTGCAACAGACGCTACTTCAGTATCCTTTGGCGCTAGCCAGGGTTCACACGGCTTTGGCACGTCACATGCATGATGAGCAAGCAAAAAAGCATAGCGTAGGGCCCTGAGCTTCCAAGCTCTCTCGTTTGTTTCAATTGTATTTGTCTCATAAGTTGCACAATGGTCAAGCAGATCATCCGAGAAGGACGGGCTGGTATGCTGACTTATTTGCCACCTTGAAGCGACTACAAGAATGGCGAACGGACCTCCTCTCTAGCTTCAATTTAGGAAAATTTAGGACAAGTATTGGTTTGATATTTTGACAAAGTCTGGCTCCCGGCAGCCGGCGATCACCGGCGCGAACGGTTCACAAACCACTTTTGGTCAGAATTGTACGGGATCGGCGCCGGGGCAGATCGCAAGAGTTGGGCACTGTCCAACTTTGCCGGCGGTCCCTTGCGATATTTTACCGTATGATTTTGTTACGACTGCACTGGTTCACACAATCGCAATGCGCCGGGAGAGGTTGCAAGAAGCCCACCGCCGGTGACTCCCGGCGCGTACCGGCGATATGTGAACCAACCCATACACATACACATATGCACACATACACACATAAACACACATACACACATACACACACACATACACACATACACGTACACATATGCACACACACACACACATACACACACACATATACACACACACATACATATAAATTGTCTCTTCTATTTCTGATTCACTGTATCATCAGAACTGGTTGAAGATTTTAAATAACTTCCTGTTAGTGTCAACGGTTCAACGCACTACATACAATCCTATTCTCACACAGCAATGATACAACCAAGTCCTTGTGTTGCCATTACACTGTACTCAGAGTTTCACTCCAGACAATAATAAAATGTACATGGTGCTTCGGCTGGGCAGACTGAGACGGGATAACATGTAGCTTTAACTACAAAACCGATGATATCACCTGTCAAGGTTCATCAGCGGCGTTGGTGTTTGTGTCTGTGCACTCCCTATTGTGCAGGTGTTCTGATCAGTGTGAAGCAGGTACGTACGGCCGACGATGTGCAGGTCGATGTGTCTGCGCAGCCAGTGGATCTTGCAACCATGTTGATGGCCTCTGCGTGTGTGACCCAGGTATGTCATGTGACCCAGTATGTCATGTGACCCAGTATGTCATGTGACCCAGTATGTCATGTGACCCAGTATATCATGTGACCCAGTATGTCATGTGACACAAGTATGTCATGTGACTCTGGTGTGACATGCACTCATGCAGTGAGCTTACGCTTGTGTGCTGATGTCCAAAGTAGTTGTAACTAAGTATTTGAATATCACAAGATCAGTGGCCAGTTCTGGTAGTCATATAGACAGTCAAGCCAGGTATGTATTATTATCAACATGTTGAGGTGATCAACAGACATTGAACAAGGTTGTATCCCCCCCCCCCCCCACTCTCTCTCTCTCTCTCTCTCCTTCACCTCCTCCTCCTCCTTTTCCTCCTCCCTCCCTCCCTCCCTCCCTCCCTTCCTCTCTCTCTCTCTCTCTCTCTCTCTTTCTCTCTCTCTCTCTCTCTCTCTCTCTCTCTCTCTCTCTCTCTCTCTCTCTCTCTCCCGCTCTCGCTTTCTCTCTCTCTCTCTCTCTCTCTCTCTCCCGCTCTCGCTTTCTCTCTCTCTCTCTCTCTCTCTCTCTCTCTCTCTCTCTCTCTCTCGCTCTCGCTCTCGCTCTTGTTCTTGCTCTCTCGCTCTCTTGCTCTCTTTCTCCCTGTCTTGCTCTCCCTCACTCTATGCCGTGTTGGCATTGCTTGTCTGGCAGGATGGCACGGCACTGACTGCAGTCAGCCATGCCCAGATGGATCGTACGGTAGTGGCTGTGAGCACACCTGTCAGTGTCGGAATGGAGCTACATGTGATCACGTCACTGGGCTGTGTATGTGTGCACCGGGCTACATGAATACAACCTGCAGCCAGCCATGCCCTGCCGGCTACTATGGTGATGGTTGCCGACAGGCATGTGGTTGCCATAGTAATGCTGTGTGCAGCAATGTGGACGGTACATGCTCATGCCGGCCAGGGCGTAAAGGTGAGTAACTGCTTGTGCAGAGCATTCCCAAAGTGAATTGTAAATGAACTTACTAGTAGTATCTACGCATTCAAAATACACTACATACTAAACACACTACATACTAAACACACTACATACTAAACACACTACATACTCACCATCTACAATTGTAGTATCATGTTTGGCAGACTTTTGCAAAAAGGTCTACCAGTGGCCACATTGGCCCTTGTTTTAAATGTACACACAAAGACTGAATACATGCATTGGATGATACATGTCCTTGTATGACCCACTAATGTGTCTTGCTTCATGGTTAGCTCATAGAAGTACTACATGCGAGGAAACATCAACAAACGTTGTTAGAGCTGTAGATATCAGTGACGATGAAATGCTGCAAGAATAACATTATTATTCTTTGAGCAAAACAGGAAGCAACCTCTCTTTCCTTTTGGAGCACGCACAACACAGACGTACGTGTGTTTGTTTTCTGTGTGTACCCGGTGACTACTACAACTGCACATTCAGGAACTGCATGCGATCAGCCTTGCGACCAGGGCACATTTGGAGCGGACTGTAACAATGTCTGTCAGTGTTTGAACGGCGACGGTGGCTGTGACGCTGTGGACGGTGCGTGTAACTGTACCAGTGGCTGGACTGGACTGACGTGTTCCGACCCTTGTCTGGAGGGTGAGTGAGAAACAATGTCCGGCTTCCTTACAACCATTCGCGTACAGGATGCGTTAGTATACGGGTGCGACGGCCGTCCTTGAAGGTCATTGCTGTCGTGTTGAAATGTTAGAATTAACTGTTATCGTTTCCTTGTAGTTCTGCGCTTGGCTGCCTTCAGTACTAGCACGAGTACATAAACACTGTTTAAAAAGTACTCTTGGTCCTAGTAATGTGCTAGGTATGATGCTCTGTGAAGTTATGGGGACTGCTTTTATCACCCGTCCACGTCCAATAAGCCAAACCCCATATCCAGTCAAGTAATGATTATATGAAAAAACGTGCAGCCAACCTTGACAATAACGACATCGATAATGCATGAGAAAGGTGTCGTTATTCGTGATCTTAAAAGTACGCAGTCAAATGGTCGCTAGGTCTGAAGATTTGTAAGGTTCACAAGGTTGACTGTTTTCACGTGACATTTCTCTTGTGTGTGTGTGTGTGTGTGTGTGTGTGTGTGTGTGTGTGTGTGTGTGTGTGTGTTGTTGTGTTGCCATGCAATGCAGGTGTTTACGGTCCTGACTGTGCTCTGACCTGTGCATGCAAGACCGGTGTGTCAACATGTGACCGCATCACTGGACAGTGCACGTGTACTCGGCCGGGTTACATTGGAGAATTCTGCAGCAACACGTGCACAAACTATGTAAGGTCGACCGGTCCTGCACCCTGTGTTCCTGTGTAGATATTGAGACCCGGTGGATATTCTCTGGGGTCATCACAGGGTCGCAAACATCGCCATACAGTGTCATAATAACAGTACACATGTAGGTGTGCATTTGTTTGCGTTAACGCACTCTCCACATACAGGCATGCACCCAGCTCAGAACACATTGTTTTCTGGTTGGCATATCAGGGATATTGGGCGGAGCAGCTGGCGTGCATGAGAAAGACAGGTCGGCCTGCTCTGCGCAGGAGCTGTGACCCGGTGCACACATAGTGTGTGTGAGAGAGAGACAGACAGGTCGGCCTGCTCTGCGCAGGAGCTGTGACCTGGAGCACACAGAGTGTGAACGAGAGACGGTCGGCCTGCCGTGGGCAGGAGCTGCGACCGGTAGTGATTGAAATGAGCCAGCTGCGGAGATAGACTGCCCTCACCCGATATAAGTATATTGACAAGAGTTGTACTGACACTGTTATTGAGGAAATTATGGTGACAGTGACGGAGAGATAGTGATCCCCAGTCGAATGGGGTTGGGAGGGAAGGGGAAATTGACACTGACGGACAAACCAGTGAACAGTCAAGTCGTCAGAAAGCAAAAGTGACAAAGGAGTCTCTCTTTTCTCCTTCTCTCTCTCTAAAGCAAGATTTGGAATGCATGCGTGGGAGAGTGGCGCGCGCTGCGCATGCGCATGTATAGCAATGACATCATAATCAGATGCATGATCATCAGACTAAGTATGAGTGGTAGATGTTCCACGTTCGTTAACAGGGCTTAGCGCACACGCTAAACCACCATTAACGCACTCTCCACATACAGGCATGCACCCAGCTCAGAACACATTGTTTTCTGGTTGGCATATCAGGGATATTGGGCGGAGCAGCTGGCGTGCATGAGAAAGACAGGTCGGCCTGCTCTGCGCAGGAGCTGTGACCCGGTGCACACATAGTGTGTGTGAGAGAGAGACAGACAGGTCGGCCTGCTCTGCGCAGGAGCTGTGACCTGGAGCACACAGAGTGTGAACGAGAGACGGTCGGCCTGCCGTGGGCAGGAGCTGCGACCGGTAGTGATTGAAATGAGCCAGCTGCGGAGATAGACTGCCCGTTCCCAATATCCCCAATATGGCATGAGAGTAATAATGAAATACGACTGGTGTATTGTGCTGTACTGACAGCAGCAATGTAAAGCTAAAGCTAAGCAGTTCAGGCATGATGTGGTCACTAACCCGCAGCTACCATTGATGGTTTTGAACTGCAGCTAATTGACGTGACACTCGCAGGGTGTCAGCTGTCGCAGCCCGGATGTAGCGGTGGACCGCATCACTGCGCCATCTACCCATGATACGGATGATGTGTTCGGGGACACCTGCCATGGCCGCTGATGTTGCGGCGCCAATCCGGAAAGAGTGACTGGCATATGCACTCGGGTCCGTGACCCCACAGAGTGGCAGCAGGTTGCGCAGTTCAGAGGACACTGCATTTCTTGTAAGCGGCTGGCCATTAGCATAAGTGAACAGATGGTCGCCGCCGGGGCGAAACGCCAGGTAGTTTGCCATGGCCTGCACTGGGCAGATCAGTGCGTCCGTGCTGGCTCCAACCAATACTGTGTGGCCCGTGCTGTCGGGGTCCGTCTTAGATGAGCGCACGTTTACCGATAACGACCGCTGGTCAGTACTGATCGTCACATCACATCGCCTCAGGCCAGCAGTCAGTTCTCCACAACGGAAGAACCCATGAAACGCCAAGGAAAAAGCTGCCCTTAGCATGGCCTTGTCGTGAGGGTGCCGCATGCGTGGAACGGCAACATGCCGGCAGATCTCCCTGAGAAGTGGAGTGGTTATCGGCAGACGATGACGCTGTGTCGATGACGACCTGTCGATGCCCCGCAGGACCCTAGCGAGGAGAGTTGTTGGGCCCGACGGGTAAGCAAAGCCAAGTTCCACATGAAGGTTGCGGATTGCCGACATGTAGACACGGACAGATCGAGGCTGAAGAGTCCTGAACAACTCGGCAGCAAAATAGCACAAAGTAAAGTCGTCGCCCGGCAATGGGTTGCAGGCATGCACTTGGCAGAACTGGAAGTAGCGGGTCTCGGCGGTAGAATACGTCCGGCGGGAGGATGGTGCTATTGCCAGTGCTGCTAGCTGTAGCACAGAGTCTGTCAACGGAGAGTTGGCAAGACTGGCTGATCTGGATCGGCTGCTGCTTCCGGGGCCTGGTGCCTGAATACCTGCAGCAAATTGCGAGACAATGCATCGGCGACAGTGTTAGTGACACCAGGAATGTGGACAGCTGACACCAAGAAGTCATGTTCAATACACAGCAGATACAATGCCCGGATAAGTGTCATGACTGGCGGTGAACGGCAGGTACCGGAGCGTATACAGTCCACCACGGCCTTGTTGTCACACTGAAACTGAATGCGTCGCCTGCTCCACTCCGAACCCCAGGTCGCGCAGGCAACTATGATAGCATACATTTCTTTGAACTCAATGTTCTCGTTCTCGTTCTGGGCTGTCCACTCTCCTCTCAGCCACCGGCCGTTGTAGAAGGCACCATAACCGTGAGTGCCGCTGGCATCAGTCTGTAGTTGCATGTCGGGGGCTGGCGTCCACTCATCCACCAGGAAGAATGACTTCCCATTCCATATGGTCAGGGCCTCTGCCCACCACAACAGGTCTGCCATTGCCGATGCCGAAATGCGTAGCCATTGGTGCAATGGTGTTGATCGAGTTGCTCTGTCCAGGTCGTACAGGCGTCTCAGGAATGTGCGACCAGCTGGTACAGCTCTGGACGCGAACGAGAGTTTGCCCAATACGGAGGCGAGGTCGCGTTTCTGAACCCGGCCGGATTGGACGAGGGCCGACACGGTGGTAGATAGCTTAGTCAGCTTTGAGGGTGGAAGGCGGATCTCCAGAGCCATTGTGTCCAGCTCTAAGCCCAGGAAGGTGAGAACCGTAGAGGGGCCGTCAACCTTCTCAGGTGCAACTGGGACCTGTAAATATGCAAACAGGTCGAGCAGTAGTGACTTCTGGTGCTGGGCAAGAGGAAGACTGGGAGGCGATACATTCAGGAAGTCATCCAGATAATGAATGAGATGGGGAAGGCGGCATGTGTCCTCCAGAACCCAATGAAGGGCAGATGCAAACTTGTCAAATATGTACGGAGCTGACCGAAGGCCGAACGGGAGGACTTTTTCGAAATAGTAACGACCATCCCAAGAGATACCCAACAAGTGCCAGTCAGAGGGGGCAACAGGGCATAATCGGAAGGCGTTTCGAATGTCCACTTTGGTCAGGTAGCAACCACGGCCGAACTTCATGATATAGGAGATAGCCGAATCGACAGTGTCATACTCCAAGCTGAATGACTCCCGGGAAATACCATCATTGACACTGCGGCCAGTGGGGGAGGATAGGTCATGGATGAGGCGAAATTTGCCATTGGATTTTGGGATCAGGCCCAAACCCGAGGTTTGAAACAGCTGATATGGCGGCTCAGCAAACGGACCAGCTGTTTCCCCAGCATCGCAACAAGACTGTAGGTACAGGGTGACAAATTGTTTATTGCAGAGACTAGACGGATGATTGACAGATTGAATGCATGATACCAGAGGAGTGGTGTGACCAATCGAGAAGCCGTTAAACATGCCAGCACATACATAATCACGAAACATGGCATCAGGGTGAGCAGCTAGCAGTGCAGTTAGCCGAGGCACGTTGACTGGAGTGACGACGTCACTGGGAAGACTGAGAGGCCGCTCGGGTGCAAGTCTTCTTTGGGTGTTTGCCGCGGCATGACAGACAGACATGGGCCCGTATGCAGGACGGGTATGTGCAGGCGCCGTTGTTGTAATTCCGGCAGATCTGGCGGCCATCGTGACGAGGAGCTGGGCTGGTGGCTGACTGGCTCCCGCCTGCGTGCTGCGCAAGAGGGAGCCCTCCACGAAAGGGGCAATGCGGGGCTGGAGATGGGTGCACGAGAGAACAACGCGAGCAGATAGGGCGCCCGCGGCTCGTGAAGCAGGACTGCCAGAGGTTAGGGTCCAGTTGCCGCCAGGAATACAGGTGCGGCATGGCAGCAAGACCAGCACGGAAACGACGGTCATAGGTCAGCCACGCGTCGGTCAGATAATTGTTGTTGGCCTCGATGATGTTGGCTTGGTACGCCAGCAAATCTGGAGCTTGGTCCGGCGACGCATCGACCAGGACTCTGGTGAACAAGGTGAAGGCCTCTAACCACGTCGCCAAGTCATGGACTCGGCGCTTGGAGGGCTGGGGAGTGGACGAGCTCTGCACCAGCTCAACGGACCTGCCGTTCACCAACGACAACTGCAGGACATCACTACTGCCAGACATGGCTTCAGGCAACAAGTCCCCAAATTCGACAAACTCACCTCGTGTGATACGTTCCCGTAGCCGTGGAGGGATGACGGGGAGTCCTGGAGAGCCGGCTGCGCAAGCCAAGTGCATCGGGGAAGGCTGCCCCAGCGGGAGAGGAGCTGATGCTGGTGCTGGTGCTGGTGCGGCAATGGGCGAGGTGGTAGGGGCGACGACGTTGGATTCCAAGCGCTCCACGCGCTCCAGGAGGGGCTGGATAACACCAGTCAGGTCGCTCAGGGTGAGAGGAGCTGGTTGTGACGGCGCAGGAGAAGTCACCTGGTCCGCATTGGCTGAAATGTGCCCATGAGCATGGATCACACGGGACCTCGCTCTCCGATGGACTTGAGAATTCGCAGAATTCACAGCCCGCTGCGGATACGGGTATAGAGCTGGGGGACCGTCAGCGTCAGTGCCAGCAGCGCTTGCACCCCGTGAGGTGCTCCGTGTTCTTGGCATGTCCGTTGAAAAATGTAGGAAATTGACACTGACGGACAAACCAGTGAACAGTCAAGTCGTCAGAAAGCAAAAGTGACAAAGGAGTCTCTCTTTTCTCCTTCTCTCTCTCTAAAGCAAGATTTGGAATGCATGCGTGGGAGAGTGGCGCGCGCTGCGCATGCGCATGTATAGCAATGACATCATAATCAGATGCATGATCATCAGACTAAGTATGAGTGGTAGATGTTCCACGTTCGTTAACAGGGCTTAGCGCACACGCTAAACCACCATTAAATACAGTAGTAATTCCAATACACATGATTGTACATGTACTTCCCCTACCCTGCGCGTGGTGATTAGAGCTGTACCGATCGATTCCTTCGAAGACCAAACGGGGATATGGTAACCTCCCTGCTGATGCGATGTGATTTGTGTTCCATGTTGAGCCTCACTCCCCCCCCCCCCCCTTCTCTCTGTCTCGCTTCTGCAGACGTGGGGCTATGGATGTTCTGTTCGATGCTCGTGCCAAAACAATGCTACCTGTGAAATTTCCAATGGTGAATGTCGTTGTGATCCACACGGAGCTCATCAAGGTAAGCTGATGGCCTCAGTTGAATGGCAATGATCAAGTAAAGTGATTGTGTTGGCGATCTCGGCTTGGTGGGTACTGTACATGTCTACAGGTACTTCGAAGTAGTTGATATCACACGTGTTAAATACTTATGGCGTCACTGAGGTGCTCCTTGTACACTTGTCGACAAGCAGATAACTGCTGATCACAATGGGGCTTGAGGTTTCTGATCACGATGGTAAACTTCGTTTTCTTCAGGGAGTCTTAAAGGGGAAGTTAAGGCAAAAAATAAAAATTTCACCAGTTGTAGTCTTCGGGGTGCTGAGTCGAATGGTCGTGGTCCGGGGAAGCTGAGACGCTCCCTTCCTACTTTAATCCCAATCGAACTCGCGCACTTCCACCGAAACTGGGTGACTGCGCCCTACTAGATGGGGATTTGTATGCAAAATGTCACTTAAAGCGCCATTTCGTTCTTATAAAAGCACGGATGACCGGGATTGGCCCATATGTTGTAGTCTTTTGGACGTTGAGTCGACTGGTTTTGGTCCGAAAAGGCTGCGATGCAGCGTTCCTCCTTTATTCCCAATCGAACATGGTTGAACAAGCGGTCACGTGCTCCTGCGTACACCAGTCACTTGGTCACCGTGCCTGCAGGGTACAACTTACTAGCCTGTTTGACCTTTTTTGGGTGCACTCCTGTCACTCGAGTTGAACTCGAGTTCAACCTTGGTGTGAAAGTTGTCGCCTGCTGGCGTGGTGACCAGGTGATTTGGGCACCCAGGAGCATGTGACCGCTTGTTCAACCATGTTTGATTGGGAATAAAGGAGGAACGCTGCATCGCAGCCTTTTCGGACCAAAAGGAGTCGACTCAGCGTCCAAAAGACTACAACACATGGACCAATCGCGGTCATCCGTGCTTTTATAAGAACGAAATGGCGCTTTTAGTGACATTTTGCATACAAATCCTCATCTAGTAGGGCGCAGTCACCCAGTTTCGGTGGAAGTGCGCGAGTTCGATTGGGATTCAAGTAGGAAGGGAGCGTCTCAGCTTTCTAGGACCAAGACCATTCGACTCAGCACCCCGAAGACTGCAACTGGTGAAATTTTGATTTTTGCCTTAACTTCCCCTTTGACAATCCGTATTTAACGACTGCCTGCATTTCTACAGCATACAGCCTAGCCCAGGTTCAGTCCTGTATGGCTGGCCTGTACTGTAGGTAAACATCCATGATCATTGCTCAGCGTACAAGTAGCCAGTCATCAATCAATATAACTTTATTCCCGTAGCTATGCAGAAGAAGTAACGTCTGGCGCTAGCCAGGGTCCACACAGATTTAATTTGGTATTTGTTTGTTTGTGTCACGCCTGGTGCTATCCCGTATCTGTCCCGTACCGTACCGTACCATCAAACACAGCTGGCCACAAACAGCTGGCCACAATATTTGCTGGCTCCCGTATCTGTCCCGTACCGTACCGTACCGTACCATCAAACACAGCTGGCCACAGACAGCTGGCCACAATATTCGTCGTATTATGTATACGACTCTCTGGTGTATAGGGAGATTTTCTGGAAAGAAATAGGGAGACGAGGAGGAAATGCAATTAGAATGGACGTTAGTTGCCGAATAGGTGATAGGATGCGTCAGCAAAAACATACTCTGGAAGAGAGATCCTGTCGTCTCCAAAATAAGCGTGAACGGGCGAGTCAACGCCGGTCACAGGAAACGTCGGAAGAGAGATCCTGTCGACTCCAGAACGCCCGTGATCGGCAGAGTCAGCGCCGGTCCCAGGAAACGTCAGGACAGACATCCCGTCGACTCCAGAACGCCCGTGATCGGCAGAGTCAGCGCCGGTCCCGTAGCTATGCAGAAAACGTTACTTCAGTAACTCATTGAAACGTTTTTGCAATACAATGATGTAGCTAATCAAAGGAAAAAAAACACTTCCATCAGTTCTAACAACATGCACGATGAGCTAGGCAACAAAGCATATAGCGTAGGGCCCTGAGCTACCAAGCTCTCTCATACAGTAAAACATGTGTTTGCCAAACCCGGTACCTAGCGGAATCCTGTATTGACCGGATAAATGTTCATGCAACGGCCTGCTGTGGATCGAACTTGCATCCCTGGATCAAGCGGAGTCCTTGCATATCAGGACAGGACAGTTTCTGCTGCACTAAGGGCGTCCACTGAGCTAGGGTTTCAGGTTTCACTGTAAATGTATTTCTAACATGACTACACATACTCTTGTCTTTTGTTGTGTTGTCGGTGTGTGTGCATGGACGTGGTGTGTTGTCGGTGTGTGTGCATGGACGTGGTGTGTTGTCGGTGTGTGTGCATGGACGTGGTGTGTTGTCGGTGTGTGTGCATGGACGTGGTGTGTTGTCGGTGTGTGTGCATGGACGTGGTGTGTTGTCGGTGTGTGTGCATGGACGTGGTGTGTTGTCGGTGTGTGTGCATGGACGTGGTGTGTTGTCGGTGTGTGTGCATGGACGTGGTGTGTTGTCGGTGTGTGTGCATGGACGTGGTGTGTTGTCGGTGTGTGTGCATGGACGTGGTGTGTTGTCGGTGTGTGTGCATGGACGTGGTGTGTTGTCGGTGTGTGTGCATGGACGTGGTGTGTTGTCGGTGTGTGTGCATGGACGTGGTGTGTTGTCGGTGTGTGTGCATGGACGTGGTGTGTTGTCGGTGTGTGTGCATGGACGTGGTGTGTTGTCGGTGTGTGTGCATGGACGTGGTGTGTTGTCGGTGTGTGTGCATGGACGTGGTGTGTTGTCGGTGTGTGTGCATGGACGTGGTGTGTGGTCGGTGTGTGTGCATGGACGTGGTGTGTTGTCGGTGTGTGTGCATGGACGTGGTGTGTTGTCGGTGTGTGTGCATGGACGTGGTGTGTTGTCGGTGTGTGTGCATGGACGTGGTGTGTTGTCGGTGTGTGTGCATGGACGTGGTGTGTTGTCGGTGTGTGTGCATGGACGTGGTGTGTTGTCGGTGTGTGTGCATGGACGTGGTGTGTTGTCGGTGTGTGTGCATGGACGTGGTGTGTTGTCGGTGTGTGTGCATGGACGTGGTGTGTTGTCGGTGTGTGTGCATGGACGTGGTGTGTTGTCGGTGTGTGTGCATGGACGTGGTGTGTTGTCGGTGTGTGTGCATGGACGTGGTGTGTTGTCGGTGTGTGTGCATGGACGTGGTGTGTTGTCGGTGTGTGTGCATGGACGTGGTGTGTTGTCGGTGTGTGTGCATGGACGTGGTGTGTTGTCGGTGTGTGTGCATGGACGTGGTGTGTTGTCGGTGTGTGTGCATGGACGTGGTGTGTGGTCGGTGTGTGTGCATGGACGTGGTGTGTTGTCGGTGTGTGTGCATGGACGTGGTGTGTTGTCGGTGTGTGTGCATGGACGTGGTGTGTTGTCGGTGTGTGTGCATGGACGTGGTGTGTTGTCGGTGTGTGTGCATGGACGTGGTGTGTTGTCGGTGTGTGTGCATGGACGTGGTGTGTTGTCGGTGTGTGTGCATGGACGTGGTGTGTTGTCGGTGTGTGTGCATGGACGTGGTGTGTTGTCGGTGTGTGTGCATGGACATGGACATTGCGATGTCGTCATCACCAGGGTCAACGTGCAGCAGCCCGTGCAACGACGGGTCATGGTCAGTGGCCGACGAGTGTGGCCGTACATGCACCTGCGCCAATCAAGGCAGCTGTGATCCGACGACGGGGGCGTGTCTCTGTCGGCCGGGCTGGACTGGGGACAGCTGTGAACAGAGTAAGTCTATATACAATGTATCTACAAACAACAACAGAATCTAGATGTATGCATGTATCTATCAGAATCTAGATGTATGCATGTATCTAGATGTATGCATGTATCCTGATTTTCGCTGTACCTGTACATGTGTCCGCGACTCTCTGGATGAGCCCTTTTAGACACTAGGCTGTGACTAGAGCTACATGTAGGTAAGATATTGCTTATAGTAACCGTACACTGTATACTGTATACTGTATACTGTATACTGTATACTGTATACTGTATACTGTATACTGTATACTGTATACTGTATACTGTATACGGTATACTGTATACTGTATACGGTATACTGTATACGGTATACTGTATACTGTATACGGTATACTGTATTACTGGGGAAGTCGAGCAGACTGTCCTACACTACAGAACACCATTGCCGTCACTGCCACCACTATCCCGATCACCACTATCCCGATCACCACTATCCCGATCACCACTATCCCGATCACCACAATCTCGATCACCACTATCTCGATCACCACTATCTCGATCGCCACTATCCCGATCACCACTGTCCCGATCACCACTGTCCTGATCACCACTGTTGCGTAAATGAAAATCCTGAATGTGCGTGTGTTGTCAAATCTGGTTGTATGCGGCATTGTGATTCGTTTGTCTTCCAGGCTGTCCGAGTGGAACATTTGGAGCGGGTTGTGCCGGCACATGCCCACCATGCACTGGAGAAGATCAAGGTTCCTACTGCCATCCTGTAACTGGCGTGTGTGATTGTCAGCCAGGTGATGTCGCATCGCGATGCTCTCCGGGTAAGATGCTTAGGGGTTGCACGTGCAAGAAGGAATGATGCTGCTGACCAGGAACATGTTATGCATGTACAGTACGCAATCCCTATTGACTCCGTGTACTGTTTGTGTGTGTGTGTGTGTGTAGATGATGGCCGCAATGCACTGGAAAGCAAAGGCTCGTCAAGCATGTCGGGATCAACCATTGGCATCATAGTGGCAATGATCGCTCTCCTTCTCATCATCGTCGCTCTCGTCTGCATTGTGCTGCGGCGGCGCCATGGCCGACGTAAAGCGCTGTTGCTTCATTCAATGTCGGTGAGCTCGACGGCTGCCTTGCGGGCATCGGCTGACGCTGGCACTAGCATCAGTGTGACGGGCTCGGCAATACGTTTCCATAACAACACCGCCGCGTCGCCACCGCAGTCACCGCCACCGCAGTCACCGGCGGTGGCGTCGCCAACGGCGACAGCGACAGCAGGAGCGACGGCAACAGCAGGAGCGACGGCGACAGCGGGAGCGGCGGTTGCAGCAAAGGAATGCGACGAAGAGCCAGGGTTTGTGAATCCCTTGTACGATGACCTCGCCAGGCGTCCCGTGAACTCTTGTGACAACCCGACCTACACTGGACTGCCAGATGTAAGCACTTCTGGCAAAGTCTTCTAAAAATCATCCACGAGTTTGTGCTGCCATTGATTGGCAGTGAGCTACAGACGAACACCGAACTACAGACAGTGAATGAACAAGTGCCTTAGTTTTCCATATTCCGGCACCCACACAGGTTTTAGTAGTGCATGGAGAAATCAGGAGAGTTTCGGGACAAGCCTGCCTGGGCCGAACTTGTGGTGGCAAGACACGTTGCTGTACCCTCAGTGCTCAAGCTGTATTTCCCTGAGTTTCTTGAGCAATACGGAAGTAGCAGTTGAGGGCACTGTGCCCTCTACGGTGTGTGACATTGACACCACTCCATTTCTCGTGAGCGCTGTAAGTCATGTAAGATACACGCATATGTAGCATGGCTACTTTATGACACGTAATTTGTATACACATAAATAGTACACCGTAGGAATGCATGGACAGTGGCTGAGGTGCTGCGGCTGTTCTGGTGCCTGCACGGATGGACACTGTAGTAGTAGCAGCACTAGTAGTCTGTAGTTGTATTTAGCCGTGCCCGAGCAACTGTACAATCATGCATATACATGTATGCCCATGAACTAGTGGCTAGCTGAACACGACGTCAACTGCGAAGAATGGGACGGAAGAATTTATGTCATCTGAGAACTCGATCGGCCTTGATTAGGTGATTAGGTGATTAGGTCTTTTGTGAATTTAGTGCTATGACTAACCTGTCCCCACAGGATACCGCGATTCCGTGGACGCGCAATTTTCCGCGTTATTGGCCATCATCCGCGTTTTCGTGAGATTTCGCATAAATCCCACGTTATTCAGGGAAATGTACAAGAAAATAGTGCATGCTTTTGAAAATGTACTACAAAGTCGTATGGGTTCATGAGTTTGTACGACAAAGTTGTATTCTTGCATGAGACTGCACGCTAAAGTTGTACCAGTGACAGAAAACTCGTGCACAATGACCGCATCAACCCGCGTATTTGCCGCATAATCCCGCATATTTGCCTGTTTTCGCCCGCATAATTATGCGCATAATTTTAGGAATTTTTCCGCGTTATTCTGTGGGGACAGACTAACAACTAATGCAATCCTGTTGCTGCTCATTTCATCCATCTGATTGCTATACTTGCCATACCATTGGTATGCATGCACACATGCTTGCTACATGATTGAAGTTCAGCAGTTTATTTTCACATATTAATTTTTACTTTGTGTGTAAAGTGTGTGTACTCAAGTCGGCTTGGCTGCACTCTACACTACAACCCCCCCCCCCCCTTGGCTGCACTCTACACTATACCCCCCCCCCCCTCCCTTCTCCAGACAAGGATGGGTACTTCTTCAGTTCACATCGGCTTTACCAGCATGCAAAGAACTGGTGGAAAGCCATGGCCATACAACACTGAACCGTGTACAAAGCTAAACTGTAGCATTCTGTCGGAATCAAGCATTTCCCATTCTGGCCATTGGACACAAAGAGTAGAGATGTGGACCAGCATGAATCACGCTATGATAACTGGCCGTCAAACCAATAAATATTACTTTGTAGGATATATCAGATGCTGTGGCGAATATCATCAGCCTATTATCAGTGGTGATTATTCACAACTAATGATGAATGTTCAAGTGAAAAGGAATAATGGCGAATGCGTAATGAACACATGGGACACGGACGGTAGCAAGCTGGTAAGCCCCGCACCGCACAGTACATACAGTACATACAGCAGGATGCACGGGGGACAAGACACTTAACGCTAAGTAAGACAACACGACCATGACTGTAACAGCAGCAGCAGCAGCAACAGTCAACGAATAACTGACAGTATGTCCATAGCAATATTGTACAGTACACGAGCCAAAGTAGTATAGTGATTTGTGCATTATGTACAACGTGTGCAAGCAGGAGCAGCAGAAGGTCTCCGTGGTGATATAAACATAATGCCTATCCAGGCATCAAGGCAGGTGAAAGCCACCCGCAACTTCAAATGCAATAGTGGTTAGCAATGTCCAAAAGTAGAATAAAAAGAAAGAACTTCTAACCACAGGGGGAAACAGTTTGTCGGCTCCTCAGTAATTGTCGTCAAATCGGCCGCGTCTTGGAGGCAGGCGATGTGACTCGTTGCGTTCATAATGCCGTTCATCAGTGTGACGATGCTGCTGCTGCCGTCGGTTATCAAAGTCCCGCTCATAGTACTCATCTCGTTCTCGGCTGTCACGCGGAGACCGGCTACGATGAAGACGGTGCTGGTCATGATGGTCGTGATGGTCGTGATGGTCGTGATGGTCGTGATGCTCATGATGGTGATGTGAGGCAGCAGCATGATGGTGTGTATGTGCTGCTCCTGCTGGTCGGGCCAGGTGATGATCAAAGTAAGGAGGTGGTGCCTGCTGACCGTCATCGCGGCCGTCAAAGTCGCGGTTCGACTCACGGTGCCACGGTGGCTGGTCATCAATTGAAGGCGGGCCACGCTCGCGTTCATGCTCGTGATGGTGGTGCTCGAAATGATGCGCCGCCACGGGTTCGTGATCATGATGATGATGATCCGGATGATGATGGTGATCATGGGGATCGTCAGGGTGCTGGTGATGTCCTGGCTGATCATGCCGGTGGCTAGGTGGCTGAAATTCATCTCTGGGCCTGTTGTTGTTGTCGTTATTGAATGCATGCATACGCTCATGGCCATCTGCTTCCCGGAAGTGTTCCGGTTCACCTAAATGCCGAAACTCTGCTGGTGGTGGTGGTCCACCAGGACCTGTGTGATGCTGCTGCTGCTGCTGGCGTTGATGATGATCGAGGTGAGGAGGTGGCGGACCTTGATCAGGAAATCCTCTCACAGTATTACCTTCATGCTGGTGGTCGGGCCCTGATTGTAAATGATTAAAGGAGTGCTGGCTTTGCTCACCAGGTCTACGAGAGTCAGGCATGCTTGGGAAATTTGGCACACGTTGATCAGCAGTGGTGCGTTGTTGCTGCGGACTATCATCGTCATTATTGCCAGAAGGCAAAGCACCAATGTGCCGCTCAATGCCAGGACTAGCATCATTTCCTGGTCGTTGCTGGTCTGCAGGGCTTAGGGGCATCAGCAGACGGCGATTGGACGGGCCTCCAGCTTGCGCATACTGAGCTTTCACATCTGATGAGCCCACGTCTCCAGAAGCCCCGCCAACACTGGATTCAGGGCCACTTACATTAGGCGGTGGCAGGTTAATACCAACAGAAGGTTGGAAGGGTGGCCGCGGGCCGGGAGGAAGGGAGCCACCAGGTCCGGGTGGGCCAGTGGGGCGGGGAGAGAAGGAGCCTCCAGGTCCGGGTGGGCCGGGAGGGAGGGAACCTCCAGGTCCGGGTGGGCCGGGAGGAAGGGAACCTCCAGGTCCGGGTGGGCCGGGAGGGAGAGAGCCGGGTGGGCCAGTGGGGCGGGGAGGGAGGGAGCCTCCAGGTCCGGGTGGGCCGGGAGGGAGGGAACCTCCAGGTCCGGGTGGGCCGGGAGGGAGAGAGCCGGGTGGGCCAGTGGGGCGGGGAGGAAGGGAGCCTCCAGGTCCGGGTGGGCCAGGAAGGAGGGAACCTCTAGGTCCGGGTGGGCCGGGAGGGAGAGAGCCGGGTGGGCCAGTGGGGCGGAGAGGGAGGGAGCCTCCAGGTCCGGGTGGGCCGGGAGGGAGGGAACCTCCAGGTCCGGGTGGGCCGGGAGGGAGAGAGCCGGGTGGGGCAGTGGGGCGGGGAGGGAGGGAGCCTCCAGGTCCGGGTGGGCCGGGAGGGAGAGAGCCGGGTGGGCCAGGAGGGAGGGTGCCTCTAGGGCCAGGTGGACCGAATGGCGGTCGCATGCCTAAAACAGGTGGTAGTGGCGGTGGACCGACAAACTGCCCTCCCGGAGGCATACCTACTGGAGGTCCCTGCATTGGCCGCACAGGGGCATCTGGAGGTGCAGGACCTGCTACTGAAGATGGTGGTAGCTGCTGCTGACCTGGACCAGGGGCAGAACCAAATGGTTGTGGACGATTCGGTGTGTTAGGAGCGGATGGAGGGCCAGGAGGTACAGGGGAGAACTGCTGTATGCCACCAGATCCAGGAGCAGGAGCTACCTGTCCATTGGCAAAATTGCCCATTCCTGGTGATGGGAAAGCAGGCGGTATCTGTTGCGGCGGTGGCTGCTGCTTCTGCTGTTGTGCTGGCTGTGCTTGGTGTTGATGCATTGGTGGCACCTGAGGCACAGCTGGTCGTGGAGGAAAGGTACCACCGGTATTCGTGAATGGAGGGCGGGCAGGAGGATGGCCTGGGCGAACTTGGGATGTGCCTTGCAATGGCACAACACCGGGCATGAAGGGCCGTGGAGGCACAACACCAGCACCAGCAATGGACACCTTGGGATGAGTTGACTGCTGACTAGCAACTGTTGCACTAGGTCTGCTGCTGCTGCTCTGTAGCGGCACAGACACTGCTGCTGGTGCTGGTGGTCTGGCCCACGGTGTAGGCATGCTTACTGCCGGTGGTGCTGCTGTTGATACAGCTACTGATGATGACGACGGCAGTGAACTGCTTACCGAAGCATGAATCCCTAGAGGCCATGGCAAGTTACCTGTCCTCGATGTGCTTGTTGCCGTTGCAATCGGACCACCAGTGAAGGATGGTTTATCAGCCAGCCCTGAAGCAATGGCGGCAACTGTGGCGGCTACGCCAAATCTAGGATTAGACTGCGTCACTGTGCTAGCTGCAGCTGTTGAGCTATTGGCCGGTGGCGGCGAATCAACCACTTCCATCACCTCGGACTTGTCCTCTTCTTCTTGACTTGCAGCTGCAGCCGCCGCGGCCTTTTTCTCCATCATGAACTTGAGAAGCGGTTTCCCCTTGACCACTGCAGCCTTTGCCACTTCATCTGTCTTCTTTGCACCAGTACCATCTGTCAGAATACAGCGTGGGCAATCCAGAGAGAACCACGGTTACGCCATTACTACCTACAGTACATGCATGCTTCAGACGAACTTGAACAGCATAACTGCCTCCCCGCTCATCAGCAGAAACCTGAAGCACGCCTGTACTTAGTGAGACATGGCCCTGTGGTACTATACAATACTGATCTGCAGTACTTACTGTAAAAGCAACGCTGTACCAACTAGTGGTGTAAGAACTACACTGCATGCAGCTCTTAATTAGACTAAGATACATGTACACTGAGATACATGTACACTGGCACAGACACAGGCATCGTCATATTGCCACTAGTTACTACTACAAGTACTACCAAGAGTATAACCCCCCCCCCCCCCAAGAGTGTGCAACTCCTGATACCATTTCTATGGGGTACGCCGACGGCGAAACCTCACATCACGTGGTGCAGTGTCGTAGTTGTATGTTTCCAGCACGTTTTTAGCGAGCAGCGGAGTAATAAAAAAAGCACTCTGGCAGAAACTCACCGCGGGTATCCAAATCCCCAGCATGATCATGGCAGATGTTCGGATTGCGTGCACGCTATCCTTCGTTTGTACGTAGTACGAACTTATCTGAGACACGTGATGTGAGTTTTCGCCGTCGGAGACCCCATATGCAGAGTTGCACACTCTTGGGGGGTTATATACTCTTGCTACTACTACTACTACTATGTCCAGAGCGAAACAACAAGGAGCAAGAAACCCTACCTTCGCCATCAGCAGTAGCGGTGTCACCAGTGCCAGTGGCTGGTTTATCCCCTGCATTCTCAGAGGAAGAGCTTTCGTCCATCTTGTTGGCAGAGGCTTCTCCAAGCTCTTTCACGTCAGTTTTCTCGTTCCCTTCGTCGGGAGTGTACCTACATGAACACAGATAAAGAGATCAAGAGGAGATGTGTGCGGTATATTAAAAGTGGGCCAGTAACCATCAAACTGTAATGCTATTAGTAGTAGTCTGCTTACTCAAAGCACACTCAGACTTTGCGTACTCGAACTGTTTCACCAACCCGATAGACAATGGATCATGTGGAACGCTGAATTCGATCGGGCTGTGTATGGCTGTGTATGGCTGCGTATGGCTGCGTATGGCTGCTGTGTATGGCTGTGTATGGCTGCGTATGGCTGCGTATGGCTGCGTATGGCTGCGTATGGCTGCGTATGGCTGCGTATGGCTGTGTATGGCTGTGTATGGCTGTGTATGGCTGTGTATGGCTGCTGAGTTAAAAGGTACACTGATCGTGTGCGGCACTCGTATTATAATGTATATACACAACGTGACCGTGCGTTCCCAGATACAAACAGTTCATAAATATAGACAGAGTGCGGTCCCCACATTGGCCGGTCATGGGCAGTTCATGTGCAGAAAGATACTGGTAATCCCAGCTCACGCTTGTCTAGCAAGTCAGTCTCTTGGCTGCACCGCTGCCCAGAGATTATCACTAGTGCTAATCACAAGTATTAGAAGTGCTGCACATCCAACATAATTATACACATACTTCGAAGTACAACATACAGCAACCTTGCGAACAACGACCCTCGATCGCACATGAGAAAATTGTCATTATTCACGATTTGTTGTTATTGGTGAGGTTGAAAGTATGCTGGCAAATGGTCACTAGCTCTGAAGATTGTGTCGTTATTCATGAGTTCTTGTTATTCCCGGGGTCGTTACTAACAAGGTTGACTGTGCATGTAACTTCCACTCCACCTGCCACAACCCATGTCCAATCCTACCTGCTGCAATGAGATACATGACGTAATGCAGCCTATCTAGATCAAGAAATTATAACACACACTTACCCAACAAAGGAAGACAAGAACTTTAGCAAGTTGTACACGCCGAGCTGTAAACACACGCGCACACACACACACACACACGCGCGCACACACACGCACACACGCGTGCGCACACACACGCACACACACACGCACAAAAAAACCCGTTCACTCTCATAGACAAGTACATGGCAACCATGTGCACATATTAGTATTATAAGGCCACACCAAGTTAATTCTATGTTTCGCGTCGGATATTTTCTGGAAAAGGCACGCGGGCGGGCGAAAAAAAAACAAAAACAGAAGAAAAAACAAAACTCCATTCTACATGTATGTGTACTGAGCCATGTTGCACACAGAATAGACACCCTTAGCAAACAACGGTAACGCTATTTTTTACGGTACTCGTACCTTGATCACCCAAATAGCGTTGAAGCTGCAGCGTAGAAACGTTATGGGGGCTGATTTATCGTTGTGTACGTTTTTTGGCCAAATATTGCATAGTCCATACGCATTTCACTTTGTATCGCGTATATGGTGACATAAATGGTTGTACCACGCTAAGTAAAGCTATTCTCGTGGCAACAGCTTACTAAAAATAGCGTGTATCTTGCTAAAGGTCGAGCCCAAATCACGGTAGTTTCCCCTTTACGGTAATACCGTTACAACATAACGTTGTTTGCTAAGGGTGTCTAATACCACTACTAAACTGTCACTTCTATCCAAAACGACAACAAGTCGTCACAGGACAGCTGGCAGACTGGGCTGGAGCGATACAGAGATTTCATGGATGGCTCCTTCTGCATTTTGACAGGACTCGAGTGGGATCCCGCTCCATCACAATCGTGGAAAATCTCGAAGTCCTTGACACCTGGAATCTCTGCTCGCTTGGTGAGCAGGCCCTAGGCCTACCGCACGGCTTGGAAAAATAGAAATTTTCATCTCTCGCACCTTCTACGTACCATCGTCTGGAATGCAAGATTATCGAGAAGCTGATAACCTCTGATCTGCCATACTGGCTAGAGAATGTTCGCCCGAACAGCCATCGATTGGCTCGTCTAGGGTTTTTTTTCTTGTCAAGGATTCGAAAAGGTACGCGGGCGGGTGACGCGAAACATAGAAATAACTTGGAGTGGCCTAACATAAGAAAAGACTGGAGCAAGTTGCATGCCAATTCAGGCTTAGAGCAAACACTAAGCAGCATCAAGTTGCATGCCATTTCAGGCTCACTTGACGCCACCAGTGTCCAGACAACACACACACACGTACAACCATCGCAGAACTGAAAGAATAGCGCGCAGCAGACAGCACAACACCTTACCCCTTGCTCTGTGAACGGTATCTTTTCTTCATCTCCCATTTCTGAACAACAGCAAAAGCAAGAGCAACAAGAGCAGCAATATTACAAATGGGGAGGGCTGCTTACAGGCTACATCGATTTATACAAGCAACAACAACACCTACCAGAGAGTCATGCTATCTGCTGCCCAAGCCCTAGCAGGTGAGATAAGCAAGCCCTAGCAGGTGAGATAAGCAAGCACCTTGTAGCTCTAGACTACAGTATACTGCAGTACCATTAAGTAACGCCAGAGCGCCCCGCCTCAATTTTATAGCCAGGGAAAGGAAAGTCGTGTGGCACAGTGTAACGAAGTGTATACGGTGGGAATACCGTAGTGTGCTAAACCTTGTCCGGTCACATTAAGGTTGCGTTTGGTTGGGCATTTTCAGAATATAAATGACAACCATTCTGGAATGGGAATCGGCAAGAATCACCTCACCAAACAAACGCGCCAGAATCAACTAGGAATCACGTGACATAACAATTCCATGATGTCGCTGTGGAACGGCGGCTCTCTTCTCTTTTACCCGACTCTAGTTTCCTTGAGAGAGTCAAGGTACTCCTGAGTGCATGATTTGAGGCACTTGAACCTGATGCTACATTGTTTGGCTCGTGGCAACCATTATCATTTTTGATTCCGGAATGAAAATGCTCATTCCAGCATGTGAGGTGGAATGATCATTGTCCAAAAAGAATCATTCTCAGTGATTCCCATTCTGGAATGGGACCAACCTAACGCACTTTTTTGACCAACCAAACGAGCGAGAATGATTCCGAGTGATTCCAAGTGATTCCCATTTGGGAATGTGACCAACCAAACGTAATATAAGGTTAGTAATGTGACTGTGTGGAACGCGCATCCGCTAGAAGGTAAACCGAGTGCGGATTGACTGCACAACGCACAGTGTGGGTACTAGGTATGACCTATAGACTGGACACCACCTCCCAAACACCACCACGAAAGGGAAGTGGTGCTGGTGGGGGTGCTCTCGCGCTACTTTACAGAATACAATGTTTCTGTATGTAAAGTCAACGCATAGGTGTGTACATGTGAGATGCAAACATGGCTGTACTGCATGTACGCATAGGTGTGTACATGTGAGATGCAAACATGGCTGTACTGCATGTACGCATAGGTGTGTACATGTGAGATGCAAACATGGCTGTACTGCATGTACGCATAGGTGTGTACATGTGAGATGCAAACATGGCTGTACTGCATGTACGCATAGGTGTGTACATGTGAGATGCAAACATGGCTGTACTGCATGTACGCATAGGTGTGTACATGTGAGATGCAAACATGGCTGTACTGCATGTACGCATAGGTGTGTACATGTGAGATGCAAACATGGCTGTACTGCATGTACGCATAGGTGTGTACATGTGAGATGCAAACATGGCTGTACTGCATGTACGCATAGGTGTGTACATGTGAGATGCAAACATGGCTGTACTGCATGTACGCATAGGTGTGTACATGTGAGATGCAAACATGGCTGTACTGCATGTACGCATAGGTGTGTACATGTGAGATGCAAACATGGCTGTACTGCATGTACGCATAGGTGTGTACATGTGAGATGCAAACATGGCTGTACTGCATGTACGCATAGGTGTGTACATGTGAGATGCAAACATGGCTGTACTGCATGTACGCATAGGTGTGTACATGTGAGATGCAAACATGGCTGTACTGCATGTACGCATAGGTGTGTACATGTGAGATGCAAACATGGCTGTACTGCATGTACACATAGGTGTGTACATGTGAGATGCAAACATGGCTGTACTGCATGTACACATAGGTGTGTACATGTGAGATGCAAACATGGCTGTACTGCATGTACACATAGGTGTGTACATGTGAGATGCAAACATGGCTGTACTGCATGTACGCATAGGTGTGTACATGTGAGATGCAAACATGGCTGTACTGCATGTACACATAGGTGTGTACATGTGAGATGCAAACATGGCTGTACTGCATGTACACATAGGTGTGTACATGTGAGATGCAAACATGGCTGTACTGCATGTACGCATAGGTGTGTACATGCGAGATGCAAACATGGCTGTACTGCATGTACACATAGGTGTGTACATGCGAGATGCAAACATGGCTGTACTGCATGTACGCATAACAGTACTGAGTAGCTACCTGAGAAGAAGATGAAGTGCCTGTACTGGTAGACATATTTCTTCTGCAAGCCCATCAGCGTGTCGCACCACACGGTGTTGACCGATGCTTGCTTGCCCTTTGTCTTGATGTATTCCTGAACAGCACACAAGCAAATGCACACAACCACACAGTTTAGCAAACGCACACAGGCACATGCATGTACGCACAAACAGACGTCACCAGGGAAAAAAGAAAAGGAACTTGCTCTCAATTCGCTCACCAGATCCAGCTACAACTACAGTTGTGACAAACGAAATCTGGTCCGATGTATATCAAACATTTCCCTATGCCAAGGTCCATTGATATAATCAAGACAGATTTACCTGAAGCAAGAAAGAGCAGCCCTACTACACGTATCGGCAAGAGTACATACCCCCCAGAGTGTGCAACGCCGATCCAGCTCTGCATAGGGTCTTGTTTGAGCGGAATCGGATCTTCTAATGTCATGCGTACACTCCACACCAGCACAAGGCCGGTCTCGAGGCAGGGCACCATTGTTTTTGATTCGAGAGTACCCGCGACTCCCCGGGTTCCCCTCAGATGTGTACGGTATTATGACGCAAAGATCCGATTCCGCTCGACCAAGACCCTATGCAGAGCTGGATCAGGCGTTGCACACTCTGGGGGGTTATGTACTCTTGGTATCGGTGTAGCACAGTTTTTTGGAGCAGCACACTGTCGATTGTCGATCAAGATTATCAAGCAAAGTCAAGCACACTGACAACTTCATAGCACAGTGTACTCGTGGTAGTACATGACCTGCAGTCGCCAGTCACTCATCTGCAGCCGGACCTTCAAAACGTGACCAGCCAGGGGTTCTGATGGTGGGGAGCGCTCACGCGATTTAGCGGTAGTAGGCGTGAAACATACAGGAGATGAAAGCAACGCTACTGGGTCTTCAAGTAGACACGTGTAACAAATAACACCCATCACCTACCTCTTCTGGCAAATCGTCCATGGTCTTGCCAATATTCGCTTCCAGTATGCCCTGCAAAGACCAACATGGAGAGCAGTAAACATTAGGGAAACAAAACAGGCAGCTTGAAATATGACAGCGAGGTCAGCAGCCTTTCATCATGTGGAAAACAACGAAATGTAACTGCATGAAATGGTGTCAGTTATTCCGGCAGGCATATCCGTTGACTGACACATTATATAACTCTACAGCTGAGCACGCACATCCTTCACTCCGGTCCAGTTGCAGACAGCAAGAGACCTAAAGCAGCGGCAATGTATCTGGCAGTGCAAATGTAGCCTTGTTTCAGTACACTTCTTGCATGACAAACACAAACAGCCAGCCGGTCTTTTGTTACCAGTACAAGTACTAGCTTGTACAGGTCAAATGGAGAGCAGATGAGTGAGAAAGGATACAGTAGCAACTTACCCGAACTTCACTGGAGCTGCAAAACGCACCGTGGATGCAGCATATGCACAGATTGGAAGGAAAATAGAAAGAGAACATGAAAAACAAAGGGCATGTGACTGTTATGTGTGATTGAGGCACAAGTGATGCACAATCAATCCTGGGCTAGACTTAAAAACCATCCCAGCTATTCAAAACAGTGCACCATGCACTTTGAAAACGCAACAGCTGCAAGCATAGAATAATTGCTACAGAGCGCAATGGACAACAGCCGGTGTATATTCTACCAGCCATAAGTGCACACCGCTACCTGCTCATCTACTCGTACGTCATGATGTCAAAAACCTGGCAGTGGAGAGCACACTCCACACCCTGTGGATGGCCATCAGTGTAGTGTAGAGTAGCAATGCATCCGCTGATGGAACAACAAGACACCCAATGCATGGCTACTGGAACACAGACAACTGCCATTGCCCGCGCTGGCAAGACCGACACCTTACCACTTTTCCAGTAGATGCTTCATGGCATGCGGGTGCAGTTTCAGCATCCACGGAAGACCGCCAGACACTTTTCGGTTCAGAAAGGCAAACAGAATCTTGATTGATTCTAGCAAAGAAGAGAAGCAAGAATTCGGAAACACGCAACAAAAAAGGGTGATTGAGACAATCAGAGTAATGAAGAAACTGAGAGATCGAGGAAACAACTTTGCCCGCACATGAGCGGGTGACGTGCATGTGCACACAGATACATGTACACCAAATAAACACAGAGATTGAACACCGGGCATGACTGCGTAATTATCAGCTAACGAGGCCACTGACAATAAGAAAGTAATCTTACATAGCACACACAAAACACACACGCACGCACGCACGCACGCACGCACGCACACACACACACACACACACACACACAGCACAACAATTCTTTACCATAGCAGGCACAGCAACTCACCAACATCAGCCGCTAGGAGAATGGATGCCGTTGAAAGGATGAGGCCACCATGCGGAAGGAATTCAAAACATTTCATGTCCCGTAGATCTGTGAGAGGAAAGAAAGCAGCAATAACGCAAGCCTCTAGTCACAGCAACAATACACACCTATGCCATGAGGGAACTAACGTTATGTGCGGGGTGCCGGCCCCGGGGCAAACCTCAACATAGGCCGTGTACAACTATGTACCATGATCTGCACACATGCACTGTACATCTGGTACATGCTTGAGGGAAGGCACAAACTGTCTGATAAAACTGATAACACGTTAACACAGAGAAGAGGCATACCATCAACAGATCTGAAGCGTAAGAACTTCACAGATCGACTCATCTTCAACTCCAATAGGTGAGGTAGGCTGCAGTCAATACGAGTCACACATACCACACGAGAACAATTCCTTTAAAAAGATACTGTAGAGAACGGGTAATTTTAGTGACTATTAATTTTAGCGTTTTCCCATTGTCAACCGGTTAGCGACGTTTTATTTTAGCGATTTGCAGCGATTTTACTCACGGATCACCAGTGCACTACTAATGTCTCAACGGATTAGCGACTTGAAACTTAAGCGAAAATGAGTCTATCGCTAAATTCGCTAGGGTTTTTACGTCGCTAAACGTACCCGTTCTACAGTAACACTGCTTGGCAGCTACAGGCAACACTTCAGACATTCAACAGCAAAACAGCAATGAGCCTGCTGACAGTAGTAGCAGCCACGAAAACGAGGCCTCATAGGCAAGAAGGACCCTACGACCAGGATACCGGTTAACATGTAATGCAGTGCTGAACACTAGGGTGACAGACAACTAGCGGTGAGTATCAAAGAGTACTTACCCGCCGATGGTGTGTACATGATCAGTTGGAGAAAAGACAAGTGTAGGTTTCAGTGTTTCAGCTAGTGATATTCCGGTAGGTTTGAAGGGAGAACAACCTTCACACACGATAATGGCCTGTGCACAGTCACAGTAAAAGAAAAACAAAAATGACGGAAATACAAATGACGGACAGAAGAGGCGTCAAGGAAATAAACCTAGCTAAGCAGATACCAGCTCCACATACAGCCTCTCCAAGGAGAGAGAGAGAGAGAGAGAGAGAGAGAGAGAGAGAGAGAGAGAGAGAGAGAGAGAGAGAGAGAGAGAGAGAGAGAGAGAGAGAGAAACACACACACCTGCTTACCTTAGACTTGACACAGATGGCATCATCTGCAGGGCCATGCATAACAAACTGGTACTCCTCCGCCTTCTCTATAGTACACGGCCGTGTACTGGCTCCTGGCAACTCCTCAGCTGCTAATGCCCAGCGGCTCTTTTTCTTGAGGCGTGGCTGAAGCATGGTCTGAACGACTGAGGAAAACGATGTTGAGTATTCGTCGGACATATTCTGCAGTGACACACCATTCTCAGTCACCTGCTGCAGTGTGTCCGTGGCTCGTGATGACAGGCGTAGCAATTTCAAGCCGGCAGTCTTGCCGTTGTTGTCATCACCATTGACCGACTTTCTCGTTTCAAACGCTGTGCCAATGAGCTCCTTTATCACGTCTCTCGGACAAAAGACTGGATGGCCCTTGGGTGGTGGGGGTTTAGTGCTCTCCTCCGGACTAGTTTTGTCTTCAGCAGTGGACTGGCTATCATTGTGTGCGTGTTGCTTCCGCTTATCTGTTGTACCTAGAGGTGAGTCTTTCACTGCAGTAGAAGCAGCAGCAGCAGCAGAAATGGGCTTGCTGTCAATGCTGGGTCCCGATGCCGAAGTAGGTGATTGAGGTAGGATGCGAGATGACAGGGAGCCGAAGAGGGACGAGCGAGAGTACGAAACAGGGGGCATAGGTGGAATAGGTGGAGTAGCTGGAATAGCTGGAGAACTGGTGGAACTGCTAGCAGCAGGCACAACAGAAGTTGCTACGGGATAAGTAACGGGCAAAGCAGACACTGCAGTGCTCATTGTATCCGCAGCAGCACTGGCACCAATGTTTGCAGCTGTTGGCGGTGATCTGGCCCAGTCCCTTTTTGCAACAGCATTGGCACCGATGTTTGCAGCTGTTGGTGGCGATCTGTTCCCGTCCTTTTTTGCAACAGCATTGGCACCGATGTTTGCAGCTGTTGGTGGTGATCTGGCCCAGTCCCTTTTCGCAACAGCATTGGCACCGATGTTTGCAGCTGTTGGTGGTGATCTGGCCCATTCCCTTCTTGCAACAGAATTGGCACCAATGTTTGCAGCTGTTGGTGGTGATCTGTTCCGGTCCCTTTTCGCAGCAGCACTGGCAGTTATGTTTGCAGCTGTAGGTGGTGATCTGTCCCAGTCTCTTCTCTCAACAGCATTGGCAACGGCGTATGTAGCTGAAGGTGGTGATCTGCCCCTAGCCCTATTGGGTCCTTTCTGGTGTTGGTCTGATCGGCGGGACTTCTTCTCTGGGCTAGCAACTTCAAACCGAGATAATTTCTTCTTCTTCTTTCCATGCTTTACCGGCTCAGAGTCGTCAGAAGAGTTGCTGTGCCAGTCCACATGTGACGAGTCTCGTTTGCGGTCCTTTGTAGATTTTCGGTGCTTAGAACGTCCTGGGGAACGTGACCGATGCCTTTCAGTTGAACGAGCACGCACTGGAGAGGAATCCACGGAGTGGTCTGACTGGCTGTGCCGGCCTGCATGTGACGAGTCTCGTTTGCGGTTTTTCGTAAACTTCCGGTGCTTAGAACGTATTGGCGAACGTGACCGATGTCTTTCAGATGACCGAGCACGCGCTGGAGAGGAATCCACGGAGTGGTCTGACTGGCTGTACCGGACTGTGTGTGATGAGTCTCGTTTACGATCTTTCGTGGATTTTCGGTGTTTGGAACGCCCCGGTGAACGTGATCGATGTCTTTCAGATGATCGAGCGCGCACCGGAGAGGAATCCACGGAGCGGTCGGACTTTTCAGACTGGCGACGTGTTCGTTTCAGGGACTTCTTCTTCTTCTTGGACGCTGGAAGGCTGTCATCATCAGACGACACAGCAGGCTGATAGGCTAATGGTACAACAGGCTGATAGGCTAGAGGTAGAGCTGGTGCATGGCCACGAGTGCTAGAACTGAGTGTGGACATGGCATCAGAAGTAGCATTCCTTCCCGCTTTCTCACTCCTCACATCGGCATCAGGCGACATGGGCGTTATCTTCTTCCTCTGCTTCGGTGTTAGTCGAGTGGCGAGTGTCTTGGCATCGCCACTGTGGTCAATACCTGTGCTGCTACCACCGTGCCGGGATGCAACTACTTGATCAGGCTGCCGACTCGCTGCTGCCGCTGCTGCTTTGGAGCGCGGTGATTGCGTGGCCACCGCATGACGCTTGGTTGGCGGCGGGACCACGGAGGAAGCAGCCGTGGTGTTGGCTGAAGTACTGGCAACAGCTGGCTTGGTCATCACAAGAGCGGCCGCTGCAGGCTGCGCACTAGCAACCGCCTTGACTGGCGAAGCTGCTGCCGCTGCTGTTGCTGCTGCATCGGCAGCAGGTGCAGCAGGAGCAGGAGCAGCACCCCCAAACGAGTTCGTAGCCTGCATCATAAGCTGTCCCTGGATCTGCTGCTGTATGATCTCCTGAACGCCCTCACGCGGTGTTCTGAGCAGAAATGAAGGACACGAGAGGCAGAAACAGATATGAAGGACACGAGAAGCAGAAACAGAGATGAATACAGGGATTAGAGCACTGCTAGAGGAAACACACACGCCACAGAACCAAATCAATGTCACCCCTCTTATGAAAACAAGAAAACTTGGATAAAAGCTTAGCCACAACAGAACTTACCCAGCAGGGTATGACTTCAAAATGCCTGTAACAATGCCGAGAACTTTCTCCATCTGCTCAGGCTTCAGACCTAGGGTGGAACGTAAGAATAACATGCAAAGCAGATATATATTATAATAGAATGCAATCAAACAATGTCCTTGCACAGCTGCACAGCCATGAACCGTGTGGATCTGTCTTCTTGCAGAGCCATCAACACATGATCAACATGCCATGTTGAATCAGACCAGGGAAAGAAAGGAAAGGAAACACACCAATGGTTGGGCATGGCCCACAACGTTATGCCTACTTAGATGAACTGGATGCACATGATCAGAAGCTAAGCTTTGTCATGTACACGACCAACAAACATGTCACTTCATAGGTTCATTTTTCTAGAACAATGTACTGTTACAGTGTAGAGTGAACACAAACACACACACACACACACACACACACACACACACACACACCTTGGACCTTGGACGCGCTGCCATATTCTGGCTATGCGGACCCCATGGGGGGTTGAGCAGGTTCGGAACAGTAGGGGCGATGACGGGATAGGTCCTGTGGTCTACTGAAACGCCGACCGCAATTGCAAACGATGCAGAAGGAGCTACGGTCTGTGTTGGTTGCTCTGGCCGAGCCACGGCTGCACTTGTGACGTTTCATGCCTTGGCGCGATAGCACACAGCGGTTGCAGCGGGCGCAGTGGAAGTTGCAGCGTTCGCAGGACATATTGTTTGTAACCGGTGACTCAAGTGTGTCAGAAGATGCCTCTGCTGGTGATGTTGCTGGCGAGCACTTGTGTCGGGCAAATCCACCCTTGCTCCGGAACCATCTGTCGCACTGATCGCAGTGACAGCTTCCTGGCTGTTGGCTTACGGGTAGGGCACGCGTAGCTGTACACTTGTGTCGCTTCCTGTCACTTACACGACTGAAGGAGCGGTGACAAGTTTGGCACACAACCGGTGATGGTCGAGGTCTGTTCTGCTTGTCTGGCAGACAACGGTAAGCCTGGCGCCATTTGGAGCGAGAAGAGGTGGCCACTTCATACCAGTCGTCAAGTGGTTTGACGTCACTCCGAACACAGTCTCGCCACCTTTTCCGCGGTCCATGGGCAGGTCTCTTGTTTGGAAACGAACCGAATAGTAGAGCCTTCGGGATGCGCTCATCCTCCATCCTTGCCACATGACCAAGCCACTCAAGGCGACGTCTGCTGAGACGACACTCCATGTCCAAGGTATCTCCCCAGCGCTCCAGAACTTCAACATTAGTTATCCTGTCATTCCATACATCTTGACGACTGATGCCCAGAATGGTGCGGACACAACGGAGATGAAAGACAGACAACGCATGAACATCAGCCTGTAGCGGTACCCAGCATTCGGACCCATAGAGCAGAGTCGACAGCACACAAGCATTGTACACCGACCGTTTGATGGATATTGTCAGTGTTACATCGTGGAATATCGATTTCTTCAGAGCGCCAAACGCTTTGGCAGCTTGTGCAATCCGGGATGTGACATCATCATGACATCGTCCGTTGCTGTGTATGTTGGATCCAAGGTAACGAAAAGACGACACATGGGCAATCTCCATAGTTCGAATCGCGAGCGGCTCTAGATCGTCGTTAGAGGTGTTGGGGCCAGAGACCATGAACTTGGTTTTGGTGGCACTGACGGTGAGGCCAAAATCGCTGTATACATCCACAAATACCTCCAAGGCTGAAACTGCGGCCTGGCGTGTCGCGGCCACAAGAGCGGAATCATCAGCAAACTGACACTCTGTCAGCTCCAGGGATCTATCACGGCGGCTACGGTGGTGGAGTAGCTTCCCATCTGGCTCGAAGAAGACCTTTGCGCCTACACCAGGGATAGGCTGCACGTGCTGGCGCCAACAATGCATCACTGCCCACATGAAGATGTTGAATAGGACAGGGGCCATGCAACATCCCTGCCGCAAGCCGTTCGTCACAGGGATGGGGTCAGCTTCAACATTCGACAGACGGAGAGTTGCGGTCATGCCGTCATGGAATGCACGGATAACAGCGATCAGCTTCTCGGGGACGCCAGCTTTTCGCAGTACTAACCACAGACACTCTCGCGGAACTGAGTCATAGGCTTTCTTCAGGTCAATGAAGATGAAGAAACACTTCTGCTCATGCTCGTAGCTCTTTTCGATTAGTTGCCTTGCCGCAAAGATCATGTCAGCACACCCGCGTCCTGTGCGGAAGCCGCACTGAGAGTCTGGTAGCACATCGTCTAGTTTATCAGCAAGTCGGCTCTGGATGACGCGAGCAACCACTTTACCAATAACGTCGAGGAGAGCTATGCCTCGCCAGTTGTCACATTCTGCAAGGTTACCTTTCTTGGGGATAGGCACCAGCTGCGCGTTGACCCAGTCGCCAGGAACACTGCCACTGTCCCAGACTGAATGGAGAAGCTCCAGTAGGTGGTCAGTAAACAGATCTGGACAGGCTTTGAGCATCTCCGGCAGGATTCCTGACTGACCTGCAGCTTTGCCACTTCGACATTGCGTGATTGCCTGCTGTAACTCCAACAGATCAGGCGGCGCAACCAAACTATCCAGATACGGCATTTGTGGAACACAGTCAAGAATACTGGAATTGAACGTACTTTGCACATTCAGAACACCAGAGAAATGACGGCCCCAACGTTTGCCCTGGTCTTCGGCAGATGCACATGGATTTCCATTCTCGTCGTTGATCGCAGCAGTTGTGATGCGGGTCGGGCCTTGTTCGACTGTTTGTAGTGCATGAACACATTTCCACACAGTTCGTCCTGAGAATCTTTGTGCATTGGCGAGCTCTGCCTTGGATGATATCCAGTCACGTTTAGCCTTCCGCACTCCGGCACGCGCTTGACTGCGAGCCTGTTTGAAAGCAGTGTGATCCCTAGGACGTTGATGTTGAAGCCAGAGCGCGTGCAGCCGATTCCGTTCCTGTAACAGAGGTTCAATAGTCGGGCCACTGTCCACATACCAATCAGGTTGTTTACGCTTGCGTTGACCAAGAGTGTCCGTTCCGGCAGTGACAACAGCATCGCGGAGGACGTTCCACTTTTCATCTATTGGATCATGCGGGCGCCAATGTGTTGATACGAGAGTGGACACCGCGTCTTGATAAGCAGACAACGGGGTGGCGCCATCATCAGGGTTGTTGTTTGCATCGGCAGAAAGAAATAACTTGGACGTGTCGAAGCGACCCTTGCTACGTTGCACACGCACAGCTTGCGGGTTGACAGAGTGGTGATACGTGCCAAGAAGGAAGCGTGCACAAAGCAGTTGATGGTCACTGCCACACTCTGCACTTGGGATGATCTGAGAATCCATGCACAGCATCCTATCACACTGGCCAGTGATGATGTAGTCAATGCAATGCCATTTCTGTGACTTAGGATGTTGCCAGGTTGGTTTGAGATTTTGTCTCTTGTTGTGCCAGGTGTTACAGATTGTAGCATTCACACACACACACACACACACACACACACACACACACACACACACACACACACACACACACACACACACACACACACACACACACACACACACACACACACACCTACACACACTGCACGTACAAACGATCACTGACCTGCCAGGAGAATGGGCAGAAAGGGATTGGTTCCAGCAACTTGCATGAGCACTCCCATTGGATTGCTGCCCGTCTCCTCAAACAACGTGGCACCATCAACTGTCAACAAGAACGACATCACATACATGTACTTGAACTGGAAGTCTGAAACACAAAGAAATACTAAAACCTAGCAATATGATGATGCTCTGGATCCACACATACAGCCTACTATTGTCACTTATTTTAAGTAATGTATCTGACTACATAACGCTGGCTCAGGAGAGTTGTCCCTTCAGCAGAAAGGATATCATGGTGAGAGAGCTAAAGAGCTAGCATGTGCTACAACAAGAGTGCTGGAGAAAATCCCAGACAGTCACATCGATATACATGTGCTAGTGACTTAGTAGTAACAAGAGTACATAACCCCAAGAGTGTGCAACTCCAGCTATGGGGTCTGCGACGGCAGAACTTCACATCACGTGATGAACCCGTGCACTCTGTGCATGATAGATACTGGGTTGTACGCAGCCCAGCTTTGGGTACAACTCTCTTGTGGTCACTTTGCACTGTTTGCCAGCATAACTTTTTGAACCATGTCACGTGATGTGAAGTTCTGCCGTCGCAGCACAGCATAGAGGTTGTGCAGGCAGTTGCACACTCTTGGGGTTATGTGCTCTTGGTAGTAAGCATCCACCTCTGCTTGAGAAACCGTGGAAACGGCAGGCAAGAAGCAGTTGTGTGCTGGAAGTAACCCCCACACACACGCACACACTATGCAAAGAGCATTGCGGTCCTTGCCAACAATGAACCATTGGATTGCTTGAACTTTTGAGGAACAAAGTTGCAGTGGCAGCAGTGCACAGGCGTGGATCAGGCTCAACATAAACACACTATCAGATGTACAGCTGCAGCGTACGCTCACCTGCCGATTGCGTGCCCGCTGAGCGGTTAGCTGCCAAGCACACAACAGACAAAGCCAATGTTGATGTACATACACACCAATCAGTACAAGAGACCTACATGCTACAGTATACCAGCACAGGGTCAGATCATAGCGAGCCAAACACGAACACTATCGGCCATTACACACTAGTCTACGGTAATAGTCTACTGCACATGCATTCAGTACGCAAACAGTAAATGAAGGAAAGCACTGTGTGCCTACCCGACGACAGCATTCAGCAAACTTCACCGTCCAGTGCAATGCAGCTAGAATTAGTACCAAGCCATGCAACACTGCAAAATGTAGAATCAAGTGCACCGATCATCACCAAAATCCATGTGTACATGTATATGAACAGTACCATGGGCACTATACTATACAAAAGGATGCACCCAGTGTTCTGAGAGTGGTCAGCGATGAAAAATATAATCAAAAAAATCGCAAAAAAATCAACACTTTTTTAATCACACACAGCAATTTCGCTACTCAGTCAACAGTAAAAAATATTTTCCAAAAGCTTCTCGACCCAATCTCATCAGTGGCTAGACCAAGCTGCCCAATGCCGATCAAGAAAGCACAGCAGTGCCTTACAGTACAGTGACTAGCTCACCTGTGGCACTTTGCTTGTTCTTCCACACAATAAGCCCATGCAGGCAGGAGGTTGAATCGCCATTGCTCAAGCCTAAAAACAATAGAGTTGAAGCAAAATAACCACTGGACACTATCAAGGAACATACGGGTAGTTTGTCCGCTGCTACACTTGTGTAGCGAAACCTGTATCCCTGGTTGGAAACCCACCGGCAAACGCCACCATGAAATTACCAGGCAATACAATCGCCGCACCGTTAACTAGGGCAGCCATGATGTTCGCCCCTTCTTACATTGCAGCACTGTACCAGTACTTGCGGAAACACTGAACTCCAACCAGATACCGGGAGCAAATGAGGACAAAATATGATGAAGCCAAGACAAAATAGATGACAAAACGAGAAACTAGAGAGACTCTGCTTCACACATTGTCTTGAGACACGTAAAGAAGATGTGTCTGGGTTAGAGTCGGGAACTTTGCGAGTCTCGGGTCCAGATTTATTTGTGGAGGAACACACAAAGAGAATGTGACATGTGTATGGATCTTGTGTGCATATGACATGAACCAAGATGCGGATTTTCCAAAAACTGCTGCAAATGGAACAGGAAATTTCCAGCACACATTTCAAATGATTAAAATTTCTTTGCATGAATGCAAAGCAAAACTTCACTGATTCAATACTGTAATTTCACAACTTTTCGGTGTGCTGTTATTTTTGGTACTTTCGATACATCTGTTTCATACCTGAAATTTCAAAAGGCCTCGCCAACATTGACAAACATCCAATAGGGACTGCTTCTCTGTACCAAAATTTTCTGTTCACCTAACCTGGTCGTTTGGCCCATACCTAAACTTTTTGAGCACCACAATTTCTGAGTGACTCGTTTCTTTTCATAGCCTCAAAGAACGTTTCCATGCTGTTTGTTTCACAAACAGCACATATCATAATGTTGGAGGCTGTGAAAAGTAACTTTCAGATCTCAGTACTCACCATTGATGCTCAGAAGAAAGTAAACCACCTTACCGCATAGGTAAAGCTTCCACAGACCTGTGAGGACTTACCCAAAGATGCGCTCACGTTCGATGTTGGGATTAAGTATAATTTATGTTCAGTATCCAGGTCAACAATGCCAGTCTGTGTAGACACAAGACAAATTCGAAAAATCACAATCATGAAGAATACTAACATTCTTCCTGCCCCTTCGATAGTGCTCTGTCAGAAAAGAAAAGCATGTCTCTCTCTCTCTCTCTCTCTCTCTCTCTCTCTCTCTCTCTCTCTCTCTCTCTCTCTCTCTCTCTCTCTCTCTCTCTCTCTCTCTCTCTCTCTCTCTCTCTCTCTCTCTCTCTCTCTCTCTCTCTCTCTCTCTCTCTCTCTCTCTCTCTCTCTCTCTCTCTCTCTCTCTCTCTCTCTCTCTCTCTCTCTCTCTCTCTCTCTCTCCTCTCTCTCTCTCCTCTCTCTCCTCTCCTCTCTCTCCTCTCCTCTCTCTCTCTCCCCCCCCCCCCCCCAGCCCACTTTGAGCTACTCAGTGTGCAACACATGAACCAAAACGTTACTTGAAATGGCACCTCTGTTAAAACTCATTGTCAACAGGCTCTCCCTGAAGAGGTTTTGGTGCTGCTGTGCCACATGCATATAACAATGGGATATCGTATTTCCCCGAATATAAGTCGCACCCTTTCCCACTAAACTTCAACAGCAATAAAGGGGGTGCGGCTTACCATTGAGCATGACTTCCTACTTCAATACGTGAATATATGACTTGAAAATGGGGGTGCGACTTAGAATCAAGTGCGACTAATATTCGGGGGAATACGTACTGTGCAACCAGTACCTGGATCTCTGGCCACCTTACTTGGACAGAACACAGTGGAAAATTGGAAATCCAACCGCTTATCCCCCTGTCCTGCACAACGTTCTCTCATACGCGCACATAAGAATACATCAGACCACCTTGGACATGGGACCAGACCACCTTACAAGTCAGGACTCATGGAGGGTGGTTGAATTTGCGAGGAGGTTTCACAGTACTAAAGTGTTCTCTTACGTACCCATTGCTTTTCCACAAAGAAGTCGTGCAGCTTGCGGAAGTGATTCTGACGGTCACTCTCCGGCCGAATTTCACAATAATAATACCAGACGTTGCCATGCTTCACTGTGGGCCAGGCAAGCATGCATGCATGCATGCACGCATACACACATACACCCACACACACACACACACACACACACACACACGCACGCAAGTATCTTATTAGTGATCAATACAGCGCTAGAATGAGTCTCAGAAACACACCAAGATATCAAAAAACAAGAAAGGCATGTGTATCTTTCTTTAAGCATAGGTACAAAGCAGATTCACTAGTCATTCTGTTGAATACTAGCAGAGGTTCAACGAACTAACTGAGGCAACACACACACACACACACACAGACACGCACACACACACGCACGCACGCGCATGCACATATGCATAGAGGTTAAAGCATTACTAGTAGCATTGTGGCAGCATACCTGGATCGTGCCTAGCACTGGGGTTGTCAGCGGGAAATATTGGCCGGTGTAGGACATTTTCCAGCTTGGAGTTACTGGTTTTGGCAGTGATGTTGATTGTCTCCTTACTGTGTGCGTATGCATTAATACATGAGTACGTGAGAGAGAGAGAGAGAGAGAGAGAGAGAGAGAGAGAGAGAGAGAGAGAGAGAGAGAAAGAGAGAGAGAGAGAGAGAGAGAGAGAGAGAGAGGAGAGAGAGAGAGAGAGAGAGAGAGAGAGCACACACTACATTCTGAGTGCAGTTCGCCGCAAAAAAATTCCTAGTAAAAGGAGCTGGCTGGGCCAGTAGTATCCTAGGCTGAAAAAATGAAGATAGGTGGAATTCGGTACTTAAGTACGTTGTAAGCGTGTAAGTCTCGTGACATGACCTTCCAAAGCAGACTGAAAAGGGCTACTCTTCGCCCCTGTATCTGAGTACCTGTCCTCCTACATATGTTTGAGCGCTGTACTAAACTCCGTGGATCAGCATACAGTAAGGCTATAATCAGGAAATGCACACATTGCAGCCCTTAGCACACAGCTGCATCCAGGCATACGTATGTAAGCATCGGTGCACACAACAAAATAATACTGTAGGGGCACACTTATCAACTCGTATTCCAGACCCTTCATCAATCTGTGAGAACCTGTCCTCTGGGCAGGTGAGAAGGCATCTCTGCCTGTTCATTTGGTGAAGTAAAATAAACAACAACAACACTATCTATATTCGGGTACACAAAACTGGGAGTGTGAGGTCACAGATTCGGAAGAGGGTGCACTTTTCGGGCACGCACTAATTGACTGGGAGTGGTTACTCACAGTGAACAGGGCAGCGCGCCACTGCAAAAAGACACTAGAGCCACGTCGGCAAGGTACTTCTGCTTGTTCAGGAGACGTCCAGTCCATTTCTTCAAGACAAAGCAAAGATCAGAAACACAAAAACAGTGCACCACACGCACCGCTTAGCACAAAGTCCATGACATAACAGAGAGCGCCTATCAGAAGAGCTCAAGACCAGGAAACATTCCCCACGCCAGGAGAGAGAAGCCCAACCGGAGGACCACAGAATGTCACCATCACCGCACAGCATGTTTTCTTTTAAAGTTACGGATGGACTCAGACCAATGCATTACAGCAGCCTTCTCTTGAGGAGAGGGCAGGCAAAATGGGAGCAGCAACAGTAAATGCTGGAGTATAATCAAACGCAATGGTCAGCTAGCACATGGAAATGCCGCCAAGTCACAGCAAGGTGAGACTAAGAGTCTAAGATGATTGTGAACTAGAATGTGCGTAGATGTGTGAAAGACGTGAAAGCTCAGGATGAACTGAAGTGAAGAACACTGGACGTAGACGTGTCACATGGCATGTGTGATTCTGAATTGGAATGTGTGAAGATGTGTGAAAGAGGTGAAAGCTTTCTTTCATACCTTGCTAGCCAGATTGCTTACTGACTAGCAAAGTGTGACAGGCAAGAGCTAAGGATGAGCTGAAGTGAAGACAGCAGCACACATGACACGTCTGGTGACATGTGTGTGTGTGCGTGTGTGTGTGTGTGGGGGGGGGGGGGGGGGGGTGGATGTGTGCGATTCCAATCGAGAGGTTGCGGGTTCAATTCCCGACGATTATGGTCGCACACGTCTTTCTTCTCTTTCTCGGACTCTTCCTGACTTTTCTTTCATTCTCCTGGGTGGTTACCAACAGCCAGTGTATGCCGGAGTATGTGGTGTGGTGTGTGTGTGTAGAAAAAAAATGGAAAAATGAAAAATAGGGATTCACTGGCCAGAAAAAGTCACTTCAAACAGCTGTGTGGTGGATACCAGGCTAAAAATAGTGGCGGTCAATCCATCAGCCTTGCAAGCTGTTGAATGGTGTAATCCCAGCAAAAGTTGCTATGTCTAACATAGCTGTTCGCTATCATCGCTTCCGCGATGGGCATGTCTGAGGTCTGAGGTGTGTGTGTGAGTGTGTGTGTGTGTGTGACGTGCTAGTGACGCTTAGATCAGTTCCACTCTGATTAAGCCACCCACACTAGTAGCAAGTGTTACCTTCACTGGCGGCAGGGGTAACTGCAGTTGGATTCCAGGACGGATACCCTGATGCCGTCAATCCTTTTTCTGCACCTTGTCCTCACCCACTTACTGAGGTGTGGTGAGCCCATAAGTGGGATCATTTTGAAGTCCACCCAGAGTTTTGGGGATTGCAGGGGGCGTCGGCCGTTGGGCGGTTCAATAGCCAGTTGAATCATCTTTCCAAGATTCCTTTTGAGTCTCTCTCCCCTCTCCCGGGGAGACCCACGTGACCAGTTTTTGGCAGTGAGCAACAAGTACAAGTGTGTCGTGTGTGTATGTGTGTGTGTCAGCTTCCCATGCTAGTAACACGCCACAATACTGGACGTTTCGTCATGATAGCATCCAACTTGACATCTCACACTCCCCAACAATCAGAATACACTTTAGTATTGCTGATATCATCGGGTTCCTAGGGAGTCGGACTATACAGGCACTAGGCAAAGCCAGATCGTTTCTTGTCCCGGTGGTAATGGTGCCTCTTGAGTCCGTTTGCCAACTTCAAGCAGCCGTTGCGTGCTCAGCAATGGCCAGGGCGGCAACAAACCTGCTACCCCAGCCACTGTAGAACATGCACGCAAACACGCGCACGCACACACACACACACACACACACGTACACACGCGCACGAACACACACGTACACACATGCACGCACACAGGCACACGCACACACACACACGTACACACAACACTTACTGTCTCTTCCATTTCTCGTCACAGCCAGATGATGGGGCTTTCCTTGTCCTCAGATCACAGGCTAAGCTGCATTCACTGAGCGGCAAAGTGACCGTACCATTGTAGGTTCAATGAGATCTCTAACAGAAACGAGAAAACGAAACAAAAAAGGATTGCACCATAAATGTACAGTAAACCTTGGTGTAAGTGACCTCTGTGTTTAGCGACCACCTGCTCTTAACCACCGCTTTTCACTTAACCTACCCAACTCTTTCTCTTCTCTCTCTCTCTCTCATTCTGCAGCCTTGGTGGAGTATTCAACCCTGCACAGATAGAGATCTGTTACAATGCTGGCGTTGGAAGAAGTGGGATTTAATCACGGGTAGACGATTATCACCACATGCTTGTACAATTGCAGTGGATTGTATGAAAATGTAAACTTAACGGCTTGTCATGACATCACACAAAACTTGATTTGTGAGTAAATGTTCCAAGTAAGGCTTGCTTCTACTCTGTGACCACTCTACATGTACTGGTAGTATCAAGAGTACATAATCCCCAAGACGGCAAGAGTGTGAAACTCCAGTCTATGGAGTCTGCGACGGCAGAACTTCACATCACATGACAAGCCCGCACACATGATTTGCACCCTGTGCATGTCATGATAGATACAGGGTTGTACGCAGCCCTGCTTTGGCTTCAACTCTCCGCTGGCCACTTTGCACTGTTGGCCAGCATAACCTATTGAACAATATCACATGATTTAAAACTCTGCCGTCGCAGCACTGGATAGTTGTAAGGGCAGTTACACACACTAAGGGGGTTATAATTATACTCTTAGTAGCATATAGCATAATCACAGTGTTCTAGAGTTTACGATAGGTACTACATGTACCTATAAACAAGTCTGGACTCGGATGGAGAGCCAAGGATAAATTTATAGAAAAGAAAAGGGACCAAGGAACTACAAGTTACGCTGGTGTTAGTGGACATTTTAGCAGAACTTGTAGTTCCTTGGTCCTTTTCTTTTCTATAAATAAACAAGTCATTTATATTATACTAGTACTGCGGAAGTAGTGTTATCACTATAGCCTATTACTATTACAGCCAGCCTAATTTGAGTGGAAAAGATACGTTGGCTTTTGAATGTTGCAGCTGCTTGCACCATGGCCGGTAAATTACTTGGCCGACAACCTCATCGCCAATCTCTATCTCTACTCGACGGTGGCCATTGGCACAGCACACATGTGCACCTCCCATACACACACACAGGTGTCAGTGCATGCATTCCAGCACACCCGAACATACATATACTCACCCAGATCATTTGTGCCCCCCCCCCCCCCACACACACTACCGGCGCAAGTCACCGACTTTGGCACTCCTTACCAGATTGCCCATGACCAAGCACAGCACTGTTGCAACAGAAATCGATCTAGCTTGCACAGTGAGCCCAAGCAGCACTGCAAAGCATACAGTCCTCTGAGATGCATGGCGGCTGTGTGTCTGGCTTGGTCAATGACCTTTCAGTTAGATTTAATTTTGCCAGGGAAACAGATAACTTGTCAGATTCCATCCAAGAAGAAAAGCTTATTCAATAATATGAAAGACTGGGTGATCCACACACAGAAACGACTGGATTGATTTCAGTGTTAGTGTCTGACTTTATCTGCTTATAGTAAAGCAAATAAATATTACTGATTTGCGGAGAGCATCATACTGTGATATTCTCGGCTCGATTGGGAGGAAAACTTTCTCCAAAGACGTAAAACATACCAGCACTCAGTCATGGGTATCCTCACACACATGTACATACGAAAATTGGATGACGTTGTCTATCTGCCATCAATTCCGGGATTAAATTTCTAAAGCTGATGTGTAAGTAATTGAAATTCGATATTGAAATTCCAGACTTTAGAGAAGTTTTGAACCCGTACGAGATTCGGATAAACAATTCCGGCAGCTTACCATTCCAGAAAGATAGGAATTGTTAAAAGAAGGTAATCGCAGCCACTCCGGGAAGTCACGATCAAGATTCAATACTACCAAGGAAAGGATTCGAAACCGGCCAGCAATTGGCAATCCAAAACAGTGCTAAGGTATGTACGATCAGACAGTCGAGTCTACGTGTAGTCATGATGCGTGCATGACCGAGCGGGGTGAGTTCATGGTTCGATCAACAAAAAAACACTCTTTATTTTATACACCTATTGTATTTTGCGTGTGGATTCAGATCAGCATTCAGCACTCGTTATCGCAGTCGCAGTTCGAAAAGAGGGCCTTGCCTGGAACATGCGGATCGATTGCGGAGTCCGTGTCATTTTTGGCACAGTCCACACTCGTAGATCTACTCGGCGTGAACATGAAGCAGGTGGGAAACAGCATCCCCAGGTTAGCTGAAGCCTGACTGTGAACTAGTAATCTGGCTGAAGCCTAGCCGTGACGGAGAGTGATGACATGCATATGGCGTCGACGAACCGCACGGTTGCAGCTGTTGTTGTTGGATTCCGGTATTTGTCAAGCTGTCACATGCCCACCTGATTTGGTGCCTACAGTCAGTGACATCAGCCATCATGCATGTGAGACTTGTAGTTGTACATGATTGTACAGCAATCGCGAATCGCCGAATGTTCTTCTGAACTCTTTCTGGCTGTTTATCACAACTTTTTTTATTGACTCGATACTACTAGTACTACTACTGACAATTGCCATGATCATGATATGAGTATATAACCCGGTGTTATCTTATGTACTCTTGCTAAAATATCAATTTTGTGATGGATTGTTACCAGTGGTTACTCATAACTCATACTCAACGTAGTTTGAGGGAGTTGAACCACTCAACACAAAGTTTTTATAAATTATTACAATCAGCAAAAATGTGAGAACAACAATGGACAAAGAACTCAACGCATTCCAATGTAATCAGGTCTTGTTATACCGGTATGATGGCGGTATCACGCCTGGCCACTTGAAAGTACGAAAAACGCTATTTTCTGAAAGGCTTCGAGGCACCATAAGTACAACAAAATGCATAAGTATCCCCATACGATTATCATTTCTGGGGCCTATGCATGCTAGAGAACAGAGAAAACAGCACTTCTTCTGTATGAATCTTTCCCTATTTTCTGAACTCTTTCTTGCTGTTCATCACAACTCTTTCTTGAAATACTACTGATCATAATATTGCGATGAGTATCATAATATTGCGATGAGTATAACCCGGTGTTATGTACTCTTGCTATTAATAGTTGTGGTGGATTATTACTCGTAAATGCTACACTGTAGTACTCTAGTTTGAGGGCGTTGGACTACATGACATTGTTAGGTAATGTGACATTGTAGTACATGTAGTACCCAAATACCCTACAATTATAACTTAAGTCAAACCGGCTCGAGACTTTCGTTAGCATTTATATCCAGATGTATATTTTATAGGTCAAACATATCTTTCACAAACAGGAGTTTGGTGTTCTTTGGATTCAATGTGGTAGGCTTGTGCTCAGTAGTGATACATGACTGTCTACATGTAAATTGCGGCCTCTCAGCACATTTAGTTTGCCAGCATGCAGGGACACCATCATACAAAATGCACTGGGATCAAGTACGAGAGGCATTCGTTTTCTTCGCATATTTCTGTACGCAGTAGGTTTAAAAGCCCAATTACCTACCATCAAATTGACATGACTTATTTTATAGTTTATGCTACAGACCTAGTGCAATGCAGAGAGCAATAGAAACTCAATCATCTTCGGACAGATTTTGCCAATTTTAAATTTCAAAGCATGCACGTAGCCAATATCGGGGTTTGGAATTGCCGTTTTGTCAGAGTCTCATCGCGTGGAAGCCTATACATGTATTCCACAAAAGGCCACACACACACACACACACACACACACACACACACACACACACACACACACACACGCACACACACACAATCATATGCACATGCACATACGCACACAGCAGTCGAGATCATGAAACTCACATTATAAAGTGTTCACGCATTGGACCTGCAGATAAGAAAGACCACTTGAGTTGCTCCTTCTTATCAGCATCTTTAGACTAGACTCTGAAGTACAATGTACTAATAAAACTCTGAGTGATACCAATAGTTTCTTGGGTAAGAGGCACAATATGTACACGTAGGTTTCCTCGGTACAAGTAGAACAATGACACGCTGTATACTTCAAAAGTATTATTATGGTGACTTATTCAGCCAACAGTACGGGAAGGAAACTAAGCACGGTGGACTCAAATGGATAGCCAACAGCATAACTATTTCACTTCCAGCAGTATGGTGGTAACAAGAGTAAATAAGCGTATGTACTCTTGGTGATAATCATAAAGGATAGAATAAAGATTGTGATATTCAAGGTTTAGACGGGGGGGGGGGGGGGGGCTGATGCAATAGCTTCAGAATAGCAGATTCTCAGACGTGGCACTAAGAGTCACATAGAACATGCGACTTGAACAACCAGCAGAATTATAGGATCAGCAATGCGACTCATAGCAACCAGACAAAAACAAATAAAAGCATCCACAGGTGGTCAGGAAATCCAGACGAGTGAAGTTTTCAAAAGAGAGCAGGATTTCCGGTCCAGAGATGGCATTAAATGCAGCACAGAAGCACATCAGACTGATAGCATGTGCTGAAAGGAGGTGTGTGAGTGAGTGTGAGAGAGAAAGAGAGAGAGAAAGAAACACAGAGAGAGAGAGAGAGAGAGAGAGAGAGAGAGAGAGAGAGAGAGAGAGAGAGAGAGAGAGAGAGAGAGAGAGAGAGAGAGAGAGAGAGAGAGAGAGAGAGAGAGAGAGAGAGAGAGAGAGAGAGAGAGAGAGAGAGAGAGAGAGAGAGAGAGAGAGAGAGAGAGAGAGAGAGAGAGAGAGAGAGAGAGAGAGAGAGAGAGAGAGAGAGAGAGAGAGAGGGATTCTCTGAAATATAACAACTGATTGGTGGAAATCTCACTCAACATTAGCACCAGAAATATGCCAAATTTTCAGCAAAGATGAGCAACACCCGAGTACAAACAAGTATAACAATCGTGTGAGAGGGTAATGAGCTGGGCTGCTGGGGCTGCAAGGCCACATACAGACACGCAGCCAGCAGAGCATAGATATGCTAACACACTAAGGCGCTCACAGTAAGTCATCCCATCTACTCGCACACAGGAGGTTGGTGAGCAACATGCACAACTAGGACAGGCTCCGAGATAAGGTAAAGGTACGCGACGACAGTCGACCAAGCCCCTGAGACAGAGATGTGCCAAGCTTTCTTCCAAGCAGAGTGGAGGGCTTACTGTTGGAGCCAGGGTGGCTTGCGGCTGCCACTGCAGGAGCACTAGCTTTATCAACAGATGAGGCAACAGTTGCTGTTGCTGTTCGATCAGTCACTCTATCGGAGGAGTTGAGCTGCGTGTGTGAGGGCACTTCCGCTGATGCTTCACAGCCTACTGCGGAATGAGCGGATGAACTAGCAGACACTTGAATTTTGTCCTGTTCAGTTAGGTTGTCGATAGTTTCTGGTGACTGCTGGAAAGCATTGTTTGTTACAGTTGTTGCCGTGTTGCTTGGTATACGAGTGTCACGCAGAGCAAAGGACAACACGCACCGAGAGCCCATTGACTCGGAATTCTGCTCATCTGGCACAGCAGTATTACTATTAGCAGGAACGGCTGAGCCACCTGCTGCGTAGCTAGGAAATAGCGGAGACGAGACATGCGCCGGCAAAGAATTCAGAGGTGGCAATGTTCCTGGCGATTCAGTTGTCGAGTTGACGCTGTCACCATCTCCACATGCGCCCTCGGAGACCTCTGTGTCAGTTGTGGGCTTCAACGATTTTGCTGACGAAACACCAAGCCGGCTAGACAGTCTAAACCTACCGGTAGTGCTGGATGCTGGCTGGCCAGCACCAGCACTAGCACCAGTAGCAGAAGACTGATTGCTAACAGAACCTTCTGCAGCAGACGTTTGACCAGAGAGCGGCTTAGAGGTGCTTACCAATGCCCGCGAGGATAAGCGACCAACACCACGGGAAAGACCAAGCTTAGATGTCGACTGGAGGGATGCGCCACCACTAAAACCATCAGTGCACCGGTCAGCTGCGGACGGAGAGGACCTAATGATGGACGAGCTGCCTACTAGTGTAGACTCTACATGATTCGAAGCGGCGAGTGATGATGATAGAGATTGCACTGGTGTTGACTGGGGGCTTGAAACAGTGTGCAAACCCACCGGGGTCATCTGTTCAGCCAAACTCAAAGGACACGGGTCATGTGCTGCTTGATTTGCGCCTTGGGTTTCCATGGCGGGCACAACACGAGATGAAAGTCGGCGCAGTTTACTTGGATTGCCAGATGACTGTTGCGTGGGCGCGGGCATGTCCATGATAGGTTGCTGTGGCAGGTGTTCGTTGTCACTGCCCTCTACCTCAGGTACACTGGGGGTCACACCTGACCGAGGAGGATGGCGGCGAAGCAGCCGTTTCCGCTGCCCTACAGTTTGCTGCTCATCTGGAAAGTCTTCGTGGGTATCCTGGCCGGATCTTTTCCCGCCCAGACATTCTGTTGCAGCGGTGGAAACGGAGGTATCGCGCGCACTAGTCGGTGATGTAAGACAGCCTGCAGTCGACACGGCCTGTGAGCTAGCAAACGTCCTCTCACTACTGCCTCCTGGTACAGCAGCGGTAGCAGCGGAGACTTGCGGGACGACTGGTGGCGGTGGTGGCGGTGGTGGCAGTGCCAATGACCTCCCACTCTTTGGGAGAGGACTGGAAGATGGCACGTCGGTCTGCTTTAGCATGGACGCATCTATGCTGACGGCAGAGCAGTCAGGCGTGAGCGCCGAGCCACTACCCGGTCTGCTATCTGTGCCCGGTGCCTGCTCCAGTTGAGTAGTATTGACAATAGTGCTAGCTGGAGTGGAGGCAACAGCATTCCCATTTGAACCATGCCAGTCGTTCTCCGCTTGAATGAGTCCAGGACTTGTCGAAGATTCATGCTTGCGGCCAGAAATCAATTCTTGGTCAGGTGAAGAAGCCGAAAGAGGTGCCACTAAAACTGGGCTCGAAGCATGTTGTGGACACGGCACGGCTGAACTGGGTCCAGATGGTAACGGTTGTTCCAGCTGGGACTGCGCCGGTTGTTCCTGACGCTGGCCCTGTGTCTCCGGCTCCTTTCGCCTTCGCCTGCTCGGTGGCGTAGGCTCCAACTTGGCTGCGGCAGAACCCTGAAACGGCGCGACCCCACCACTCACCGCTTGTGCCATCAAGCTGCTGGTCACCATCTGTTGAATCGCATCATGAACAGTGTCCATGTCCGAACTGTACAGAACAGCACACACGCACACAAACAATAACAGACGTATGCATTCGTGTGCACGCACACTCAAAACAAATCAAACGAAGGCCTACGGGCACGCAGAAAAGACAATATTTACGCACGGATGAAGGCAAGCAAGCAAGCACATGACAACAATCAAAAGCAGCAGCAGCAGTGACAATAGTGCGGCACGCAGCTTAGCACACACCGTGCACTGGACAACTTGCTGCATATTTGTTCCACTCTAGGTTCGAAATCTTTTTATCCAGAAATTGTTCAATTTGCAGGCACAGTAAAACCTGTCAAGGCGGTCACCTGCCCTAGAGGATCACAACAACTAGAAACAAGGGATGTGTTTACAGTCAAATAACCCAGGATAAGGCGATCACCTGTTCAGGGAGGCCACATGTGGAAGGTACCTCGAGCGGTTGGCTTAGACAGGTTTCACTGCATGATCTGATTGAGGCAAACATGCACTTCAACAGCATTCACCAGTGTTCACGCAAATAATCGTATCTTCCATTGAGTCACCATCCAAGAGAAATAAAAAAAAAGCTGGCAGTATGACCTCAAGGGAAATATCTAAAACACCTGACCTGGCAGATAACAGAGAGAGAGAGAGAGAGAGAGAGAGAGAGAGAGAGAGAGAGAGAGAGAGAGAGAGAGAGAGAGAGAGGGGAAACAGTTGATGATGTTACTGCCACGTACCCAGCAGGGAATGACGTCAGCACTTGTCCAACCTTCTCCACCATTTCATTCGTCTGCTGCACCTTCAAACCTGGGGTATTGCAAGAGAGGACAGAAGGTTGACAAAAGTAAGTCATGTGCCTCTTGCAGCCACCTTTCCATATCCTGACCTGGGCAGCTACGGGCACCTACATCTAGGTCGGGACTGGATAGAAAGTTGCTCGAGTAAACGTACATGTAATGACATGCCAATGCACTTCCTGCAGTCAGCCAGAATACAGAAACACCTGGGCTAATGACCGTTTCCCCATGTACATGTACTAGCCCTGTGACCCACAGTCAATTGGGAACTCGTGGTCTGGCACGAGGGAAACACGGATGTAGCGAATGGGATATTCAGTCTCTGATTACTTTGCTGGTGGTTCTGCTAATCATCTCTCCCACCGCTTTAGGAGCTGCTTGCGCGTGGTCCCTGAGGGTGGTGGTTTTGGTCTACAACGAGTCTCACGCGAACCATAACTTTATCCATGCACCGGCAGTTCAGCAAAGAATCTGGACCGGAACAGCGACCACTTGCCCTGCACGACCAGTGACCGACTTAAGCGTACCAAGTGCCATATCTGACTTGCATACACCGGCCAAAAAATGCTACCCTGGCTGGCGTACTTGACTGCACCAAGGCTGATTGCGCTCAGAAGCCAGTGGATGCAGTCAACGGAGACAGCCGACAGTGCAGGAACGCGCTTCACGCACTTGAGCGAGGTGTGACAACTCACGGGGTACTTTGTCAGCCTGAAAGTGTTCTGTGCCCAGCATTTGCCAATAAAAGTACATGCAAGTACAGTAAAACCTGGAACTAACGACCACCCCTTGCCCTTGGTGCCAGCAAAAGCGGTCTTTAGTGGCAGGTGGTCTTTAGTTAGAGGTTTGCACTGCGCGACCATATATGGATCCCGTATATGATTATGTATGTCAAAATGCAGCTAATACGATTCCCCAGGACTTGCGCAATGCCATTCTTATTTCAGGTCAAACAACACTTGGAGAGAGAGAGAGAGACAAAGAGAGACAGAGGGAGAAGACTACTTTTTGCAGACATCGAATTCAGCTGCTACTTCTGAAACCAGGAGTCAAATGTTCCCTGTAGAAGATTCGTTTTACGCTGGGCTTCAAATTTGTTCATGTGATCAATCGTACTGACTGTCCTTGTTGTAACTTCTCGAGTGCTTGAACGCGATCCTTCAGCATCAGGACCTTGCGGTGCTGATTTGTTTCTGGATTCCTTAATGCCATCGTTGATTCGTCTGTATGACTGGGGTGTCAGAGCCGCTCTGTCTTCGTTTCTCCTCCGAGTAGTAACATCGATCAGAGAGCGCTTTCGATGCGCTCTCCAAGACGTTTCCTATCGTGTTTATTCTTGACAGAGCTTGAAATTTGGACAGGTGTAGTGCAGTCCACACCGATTCCACAGTCAAAATGACCTGTGTTCATTTGTTCAGCTGTAGTATCGAAAAAGTCCTTTCAAGACCATGGAAATCAGCATATTTTCAGAAGGAGCTTCGAGCAACATTTGATTTCGTACATCGTGGTCGCTAGTTACGGGTCAATAATCGTCTTTGGGGCAAGAAAAGGCAGTCGCTGGTCGCGTTCAGCCGGTAGTCGCTAGTCACAGTGCATTTTGAATATGAGACCGTCCGTGCCTGGCGAAGTGGTCGGTAGTACCAGGCTGGTCACTAGTCACGGTGGTCTTTAGTTACAGGTTTTACTGTATGTTAACTGTCTGGTATACGGCGAATGTATGGGACCTTGTGCTAAAGACCACCTGCCTCTAAAGACTGCTTTGCTCACACCATGGGGTAGTCACTTGAACCAGGTTTTTTCTTGTAGAGAGTTTGAAATCCAAACAAACAAAAATAGTATTGTATGTAAGAACAAACGGGTCTGTATCGATCACAACAATCTGCTACTTTAGAACAGCTTCATGCACTTTTTGAAGTGCATGCATTCACGCAACCACTCATTCCTCTTTCCTACAGTATTAGAATGTACGTACGTGCAAGCAACAGATGCAGGAATGGATTAGCAACGGCCACATTCATCAACACGGACATGCTGTTGCCCTCCAGCTCATCCAGCATGGTGCGCTGCGGCGATGACGATGCTGGCAGAACACTATCCTCACTATCAACTTCTTCAAAGTCCATAGGGTCGCCATTGCTGTCCAAACCATTCGCATCAAACTCGTCATCGTCATCATCGTCCTCTTCGGCAACAGACGACATCGCAAGTTCAATATCTTCTTCCAGCGAATCCCTTCTTTCAAAGGGCGCAAAAGCCACGGCCACTTCCATTTGTTCTCTAGTCCGGCGATAGGACTCATTAGGTCGTATCTCAACTTGACCATTGTGCCTGGATGAATAATCAGTTTCATACGGTCTTGGCTGGCTCTCAGAGTGCTTATTACGCGCGGGGACATGACTTCTATCGGAATTTGTCACAGAAGCATCAGCTTTGCTAAATACTCGGGATGATAGTCTACCAAGCCCTCTGCTGCCACCAGACACTGGCTGTAGACCACCAGCTAGGCCGCTAGATTTCGATGATGCGTGCGTTTGATTCAGGTTACTCGAGGAGGACACTTCGCCTACACTTTGCCGCTGAACACGATGAGAAAGTCGGCCTAGACCGGAGGGCCGTGACTGTTCTGTTGTCGTCGTCGGTAGACTAGCCGGTGGCAGCACTGCTGGCGTCGAGGATGCCGCAATACTGCTAAGGCGACTTGAAAGTCGCCCCAAGCCCACCTTAGACGGTGGTGGTGCGGGAGAAACAACACTAGCCGTAGTTATTTGGCTCTCGGAAGGTTCACTGGAGCTGACTCTGGTCCTGGATGATAGGCGACCAATTCCAACGCCAGGACAAGATGAAGCAGCAGATGTATTTCTTATAGCATTAGAATCTGAAACTACAGCAGCTGCAGGGGAATTAGTGTCAGAGTTTGTGGCCGCTCTGGATGGATGTGATGTCGATTCCCGCACATGTTTCGATAATCTGCCAAGAGTGGGGGTTGTGACAGAGGGTGCTTCAGTTGTTGCAGAATGTACCTCATCGGCACGGCGCGGGGAAGTTGCAGAGTTGGAATTGTCCACACAGAGTCTGGGAGACTGCTGCTGCTGCTGAGCGGGAGCAGGTTGCAACGGGCTGTCGGTGGCAGATGAGCTTGACACATCAGCATGAACATTGGAAGACGGTGACTTTGATTGTGGCAAAGTCGCTGCTGTTGTTGTTATCACTGTTGTCAGAGCAGCTCCCTCTGTTGTTGTAGCTGGTGAGGTTGCTACTGTTCGCCTTGAAACACCCAGATTGTACACTTCTCGCGGTTCACCAGAGGGCAACTTTCCAAAGATACTTTCAATTTGGGTTTCGCCGTCAGTAGATGCAGTTGGCCACGATGCCTGAATGCCTTCGTCGGCTGCTACTGTTGTCAGCGAGGCATTGGAGCGACGCTTGATCCGCACAGCTGAACTATACTTGCGCGAGGTTGTCACTGTTTCCGCTTCTACCGCCTGTGGCACAGCCGATACACTCTCCACAGCATTGGATGGTGCTGGTGCTGGCTCGCGTTGCACCTGAACTGGAGGCAGTGCATCAGGCGTTGGGACTGCCTCTGGTACACTCTTCGCAGCTGTAGAAACATGACAACATGACAACGCAGGAGACACAGAGTATTGTCAGAGAGGCATTAAAACACTCGAGTAACAGCAGGCAGCAGCCGCACCACACCCCATGTGCAGAGTTACGTACTCCTGATTGCACCTCCTCGTGTAGCCAACAGCTCCCCATTCATTGTGCCGTGCACCACAGAACAACGCTGGCATGCAAAGCACTGCCGCTGACAAGCCGTGAAAGGTCAGAAGAAAATCACACCAGCACGCACAGTGCAAAACAACACCATGACACAAGGAAACTCATTGTTAGTTGAGCACGGGTATGTACGGAAGAGGGAGGAAACAACACACATTGCCAATACAGAATGGCAGGAACAAGAAACATCCTGGACAATACAGCACATCAAATATACCGCGAGTATCAAACACACCTGCATGCTGTACACTTTCCTTCCAGACTACCAAACCGTGTAGACGTGGCGTATCACCCTCAACACTAAGACCTGCATAGTAAGAAGCACCAAAACAAGAGAAGGAAAACTCACACTTGTTAATTTTTTTAAAGAGCTACTTTTTGGCTGCGTTCGTGTTTAGCTACCTGGTAGAGTAGAGTAGAGTCATTCTGCCAATAGAGGTAGACGGTAGAGGTAAGTGCACGGACGCTGTCCAACCGGATTTAGTAGTTTTTCAGGATATGTACGTGAAATATTTCTCTTCTGTATGAAGTTGTGTACAACTCCTTGATATTGCCGGAAATGCCGTACCTCTACCAACTTCTAACGACTTCTACCGGCCTTTTTTCTGGTAGACCCAGTAGAGAAAGGTAGAATCTACTCTTTTTGAGTACAAAAAAAGGAACTCATCTACCGAAAGAAGTAGTTTCTACCCAAACCTGTAGATAAAAACGAGCGCCCCCTTGAAGTACATGCATGATTTTTGACACTTTTTCAGGTGCATAATTTCAAGCAAAGATTATAAATGCATGAACAAGTAATAATAACTACCAGTATTCTCCTGCAAATAGTACTTTGAAGAAGTTGAATAGCAACTATTAATCAAAAAAAGACTACAGGGTCGTGTGCATGTATGTAAGTATAAAACACATGTACATGCTGTCCGGAATAGGAAACTGCACGACATCACTGCGAGTACGTGACTTGTCGCGAGTTGACTGTACAAATTCTCTGATACTTTTTTCTTCTACCCCCCCTTCCATGCATACAAACACTCACTCACTCTCTCTCTCTCTCTCTCTCTCTCTCTCTCTCTCTCTCTCTCTCTCTCTCTCTCTCTCTCTCTCTCTCTCACACACATACACACACACCATGCATGTACCATGTATATACCCGTCGCAAGAGAAGCACGCAATTCACTGGATGTGCACCCGCAGATTTTCTCTTATAGCAACGATAGCGAACAAGATCTGAATGAGACAGATCAAGACGTGCGCCAGATAACTGTCTAATCCACACACACCTCAGACCTCAGGTCTGCCCATCGCGGAAGCGATGATAGCGAACAGCTATGTTAGACATAGCAGCTTGTGCTGGGATTACACACACACACACACACGCACACACACCTCAGACCTGCCCATCGCGGAAGCGATGATAGCGAACAGCTATGTTAGACATAGCAACTTGTGCTGGGATTACACCATTCAACAGCTTTCAACAGCTTTCAACAGCTTTCAACAGCTTTCAACACACACACACACACACACACACACACACACACACACACACACACACACACACACACACACACACACACACACACACACACACACACACACACACACACACACTACTACTACTATGACACAGCTACCCTAAACGGGTCACGCCGTCCTCCACCCAAGCATGAGCACTATGAGGGGCAGTGGCAAATAAAGAGAATCAGCTAGCAGAACTGGCAAAACAGATGAAACAATGGAGCAGAACGGACGACTGCTGTACAATCATGTACGAGTACTGTAACAACAACCTGACAGCTACAGTGACAACGACTGAAAATGAACAAGAAAGAAAAAAATTCAAAATTTCACGCCACGAAAAAACACTGTCCACGAAAGAATCCACCAAGCAAAAGGAGTGTGGGCATCCGAAATCCCACCAGGACTCCACTAGCAGTTCTTCCACGTTGACGATGTAAGCGGCAGGGCAATGCCTCACAACTCCGACAGACTTCTGCAACGCTTGACCAGTGCACTCATGACGACGAAAGATTGAAGTTTCAATTCCCACCATTCCGCCATTGCGACCTTCCTCTCCGCACTCGCTCGTCCACTCCACTGAAACAACGACTTGTTCCAGCACTCCACCAGCCAATCCGCAATTCCCACCACTGCATTCTTCGAGCTTGGATTCTTCACTGCGAGTGGTGGACCACGGCCGATGCAGCAGTGACAATATCGAAGTAAATTGTCCTGCAAGCTACATCGCGATTCCGCGCTCCAATCATGCAGCACTACCTTGGCAGTGTGCGAGGGTGCTCCAGGGTCGACTCTGGCTACGCCAGAGTCGCCCTGGGCAGGCAGAAAAACTTTGGAGAAAGCCAAGAACACGGAGCTGAGAAAGTGTAACCTGCTCCCAAGGAGCACAAAACAACACACACACACACACACACACACACACACACACACACACACACACACAAACACACGCACATGCACACACACAGCCGAGGACACTTACCAAGGTCTTCACTGAACGAGGATGTAGGGATGATGTAGAGCTTGTGGTCATTTGTAAAATCCACTATTCCAGCCTGTCGACACAGAGGAACAAAACACAATCAGGACAGGCCAGCAGTAGCACAGCAACCACTACCAAAGCATGATCAGCCTGTAGGATATCTCTACTCTGTAGGGTGTTAGATACATGTACATGTAGCAGGAGAGCTACACCAATGAATGCATTGAATGGAACTGCCACAGCAATCACTCCCGAAGCATAATCAGTCTGTAAGATCTCTACTCTGTAGTAGCGTTTACATGAAGACAGTTGACCCGGGTCAAATACTGATCTGCCGCCAAAAGTCCACTTCTAAAGTCCTGTATGGTCACGTGAATCCGTTCGCGCGAAATTGGCATGTGCAGTGCTGTTCAAACCTGGCGCGAGATACGCACAGAAGTACGTTAGTGCGATTTTCTCGCCCCGTATTAGATAGCAGAAGAGCTACACCAATGAATGCATTGAATGGAACTGCCACAGCAATCACTACCAAAGCATGATCAGTCTGTATGATCTCGACTCTGCAGTGTGTTGAATAGCAGAAGAGCTACACCAATGAATGCATTGAATGGAACTGCCACAGCAATCACTACCAAGGCACGATCAGCCTGTAGGACCTCGACTCTGCAGTGTATTGAATAGCAGGAGAGCTACATGAATGAATCAAGTCAAAGTCTAGCATGCACTCACCCACTCTTTGTTGAGAAAGTACTGAAACAGCTTCCTGCAATGATTCTGCTGGTCATCTTTGGAGCTAATTTCGCAATAGTAGTAGCAAACTTGGCCGTGGCGAGCTGGAAATGGGGATGTAAAACAAGACAGGCACGCATACTCAGCTGAGTCAGCAGACATCACCGGGATATAGCCGGGCCATGATAGGAGAATGCGAGGAGATTGCACCCAATCAACATAGCCTAGGACGGTACTATGTAGCAGTCTCTTCATAGCACAGAATTGCTGTATACTGCGCCACACTGACAGAATGGAGTCGGCGTTGCTGGCAAAACTACATGTAGCTGGATGGCAATGAATCCGCTTGATATATGCATGCGGGGTATGAAACAACAACAATTGCATCAATTGGGAGTGGGCACTGGCATACTATAGTGCTGTAACATGTACATGTACAGTCTTCCCATTTCAATATCACGCCAAAACGAGAATGGGGATGTATAGCAGTCTGCACAAAAAAGAGAAAGCACCAATAGACTGCCTAAAAGGCCAGGGTACCCCCCGCACATAGACGTGCACATACACATACACATACATGTGTACTTGCTCACTACCAGAAACGGGTCACGTGGGTCTCCCTTTGAGAAAGAGATTTCATACACAGACACGCAGGAAAGCGAATGCTCACACACACACACACACACACACACACACACACACACACACACACACACACACACACATACACACACACACACCACCACCACCACCACCACCACACCACACATGCACGCACACACAGCACATAAATTTATCCTGTACCTGGTGGCTGTCTATTCTTTGATGGTGTTCCACCTGTAAAGATCGGTACTGGAAGTATAACACGCAGCTTGGCAAAGCTTGCCTTTGCAGTTATATTGATAAAATTACCTCTGTAAGAAGAGCAAAATAAAGCATAGTGAAAACTTACATACAACTAACCATCCTGACAACAGTGACCATGAACAACATAATACAACCCACACTACATATTATTGCAACGAGACTCTATTCCAGCTGTCTGCACGCCATGTATTCGCACATTAAGAACAGTACTACCAATCTGCACAGGTCACCGAGTCGCCGAGTGCTGAAGTACAACTACCACTTGTACTATACAACTAGAACACTCTCCAAGTGAAGGCAACGACGCTACGTGGATGAAACTAACAAAACCAGTGGTCGTTTCAACATCAACTGTCAGCCCTTCAGTTAATGGCCCGACGGATAGAAAGGAAACCAACACAGCATGCGTGTGCATATGCGGGGGTTGGGCAATGCACTGTGCAAGTCATCCACCTTGGCCCAGCAAGAGAAGCTAAATGAGCCACACCTCCGACAGTGAGAGGTGGGTGAAAACTCTGAATGGAGCACCACGTCAAAGTCATATCCCAGCTCCACAAGAACAAGCTATAATTATGTACACAAAAAGGGCAATTCACTGGGCCAAAATGGAAAATAACATTTAGGGCATGAATTAAAAACCTTTGAAGAAAAACGACTGTCTACAAAGGCAATGCAATGTACCATGATATAACTCACATCGGGCAGGGGAAGTCTGTGTCCGAAAATGTCGTCAGCAACACATCGGCAAGGTATTTCTGCTTGTTGTGCAGTGGACCACTCCAAGTCTACAGACAGGCAAGGGGCAAGAACGCATTCGATACAACCGCACGTACCACTCCATCCATTTCCTATTGCAATGGGTAAAGTGAGCTGGTTACTTGTCACATGACATTACCAAACCAAGTACAGGTGAAGCCTGATCAAGACTACTAGCATCTGATTTCAGCAACCACCTGGTCTGCAAGACCACTATTCTTTCGTTGGCACCAAATGTATGGCACCAAATGTATGGAAGGTGCAGGGTTCAAACTGGTTTCAGAGACCACTTAAGGACCGCAATACTCCTGTTGTTGTTGTTACTTTATTTTACTTCACCAGAATTACAGGCAGTAGAATGCCTTCTCACTAGACCAGGTCTAGTTCTCACAAATTTAATGAGAAGAACGTTGGTTGCTCGCAACGCTTCGAGCTTGCGCTTTCCCCAACGACTTGACACTTGACAGACTCACGACTGACTTCCACAGCACACGAAAAGTCCATCGATAAATCAACTTGGCAAACCTGGAAGAAATCCCAGCTTCCTGTCCATACAAGGTGTGTTGAGCTTCAGTAGGCTGAGGAAGTTTACGCTGAAAGAGCACCACTTTTATAGTGATCTTCAGGCCCATATATGATCAGGGATACAAACTCACAGAGACCTCCGTTTCCAGTGCGACAAACACCCTGTCAACACCAGACAGCAGTGTGGATCAGTGTCATCCACAGGTGCCCAATGCAGGCGTGCGACTAGCTAGTCTGGAGGTGATAAGGCCACACGTTTTTATTTCTATGTTTCTCGTCACCCGCGCGCATACGATTCAGGAGTCTGGAAGAAAAAAAAGAAAAAAAACTGTGCTGCACTGACTGTGCATGTGGCCGTGGGACCAGCACACTCATGCACATGATTGTACATAATGTGGCCTGGCCTGCGCGACACATGATGCGAGGTCGCCATTTTTTGTGCACAATCTAGCTGCACATGCACAGATTGTGACAGAAGCTCCTACCACATACTAGTTGCTAACTATGGATGCTATTTTGCATGGTGTATTGGTGGATTTTAGTGTAAACAAAGGTCTAATAAACTTTTTTTATTTTTCGGTCATTTTTTATTTTTTACCACCTCTCGCATACGTTTTTAGATTTTCAGGTGACGAGAAACATAGAAATAACAACGTGTGGCCTAACGTTGCGAATGATCAACGATCCTCAATGCCCGCCTCACACACCTAAGGCTGATACTGACATACGCGACTGTCAGGTGCTCATGAGGTATTAGTCGCGCTGGAAACGACATGTCTCCCTGGTTAGTGGTGATGTCTGGGACTGGGGAGCATTAAGTGATTCTCTTTTTTAAGGCGCAAACTTCCTTAGCCTAGGAAAGTTTAATTGACGAGGGGTGCAATGCTCGAAACACTGTGAATCGAGCAGGGATCGGTGCCTTCATGCAGGGTTGTGAGTCAGGCAAGTGTCAGTCAGTCGGCAGGAAGCGCAAGCAGGGAGCAGCCGCCGTGCACTGCAGTCTGTTGCTATGGTGAACCTACAGTATGATATTGAGCCCACCGTAACGAACAAAGAGAAAAAGAAGAAAAAAAACTTCACCACAGGCAGACTTAGTTGTAGCGTGGATGCAGAGATGCATATATGTACTTCAGTACACTGCTTTCTCTGTGCACTATAGTTCATGTATTTTTGGTGCTGGTAAATACTAGCACAATGTTATGTACATGTACTAGTAAACGAGGACACACTTCACGTTCTTGAAGACTTCAACCACAACATTTTGAAATATGTTCCACGAGCACACCTCCAAGCCTTCTCTCTTCAGATGGCATACAATCAACAGCCAAGGAACAAGAACAATGAATGGATCGATTGCCATTTGTACAGATCCCCGAAATCGCGTAGAATCCCGTAGACCTGGTAGGGTGTTGAATGTGTAGGACCCTATTGTGTTTTCTGCTATTTCCACTAAGAAATGGGGCCTGAAGGCATTTCATACGAAAACGTTTTTCTGACAAAAATCTAGCTAGTCATTACTTCTAACCAAAGTGAAGAAGCTGGAAAAGCGATTGCTGGTCATTGAATTATGACGCTAAAAAGGTCAAATGCGCATGCATAGCACACAATGAACACCCTACCGGGTCTACGGGATTCTACGGGATTTCGTGGATCTGTACAAATGGCAATCGGTCTATTGAGTGCAGTAGAGAGGTGATAGAACAGCGCAAAGAAGAATAGCTAAAAACAAGAAAAGTGACCCATCTCACTCTTCTTAGGTTTCTTCAAACGTGCACCTTTTCGTCATTCTGTCTATGCGTATGGGCAAGAGTACATAACCCAAGAGTGTGCAACTCCAGCTATGGGGTCTGCGACGGCAGAACTTCACATCACGTGATGAACCCGTGCACTCTAGTGCATGATAGATACTGGGTTGTACGCAGCCCAGCTTTGGGTACAACTCTCTTGTGGTCACTTTGCACTGTTTGCCAGCATAACCTTTTGAACCATGTCACGTGATGTGAAGTTCTGCCGTCGCAGCACAGCATAGAGGTTGTGCAGGCAGTTGCACACTCTTGGTTATGTACTCTTGGTATGGGTCACGTGTTTTATCGTTGTTGTTTTTAGCCATTCTTCTTTGCGCTGCCCTATCACCTCTCTTCTGCACTGAATTCATCGCTCTTGTTCCTAGGCTCTTGACTGTATGCCACCTAAAAGCATACTGGTGAACAAATTTCAAAATGTCGTTGAAGAACCTGAAGCATGTCCTCCTACAATGTCATGTACTGTTAAGTGGGTCAAGAGCACCCCCCCCCCCCCCCCCGACCCGTCTTCCAAGAGCACACCGCCTTGATTTCTACAGCCAGGGAAAGGGAAAGTCGTATGGCAGAGTGAAACTACCGTAAAGTACCGTTGATCCCCCCCCCCCCCCCCACGCCATGTTGCTTCCCAGCTGGGTTTTCGGCAGGGACGGGAATTAGATCAAGGCTGTCAAATCATCAATGTAAACTGTCATGAAACGCCGATTCCTGTCGTTACTGCGGCCAGGTATCTTGGAGTGCTCCTCGACTCGGATCTGTCATGGACGCCCCATGTTGATCGCTGCACCACTCGACTGGCCCAGAGGATCGGAGCACTATGGAGGTTGCGTCGCTGCTCGACTCATCAGAGCCGAGTTCTCTACTTTAAAGCGATCATCATGTCTGACCTGATGTACGGATCCAATGCGTTTTCCCCACTTCTTACTGCCAACCAATTGGATCGGCTACAAGTCATGCAGAATCGGGCGGCAAGGGCGGTTTTCGGACTCTCGCATCACACCTCCGCGCGCACCCTCCTGCTGAAATTGGACACCTCCAGAGTATCCGAGATATTCAGGCAGAAGTTCATCGTTCTTGTCTGGAGGTCTCGGAATGGGCACGCAAGTTCTGACCTGCAAGCCCTCCTAGTTCCTTCGTCAGCTGGCCCAACTAGGTTGCACTCCACCGTGGGTCTGCGCCAACCGCCAGTTTGCACCAGGTTCGGCAAGGGTTGCCTCGCGTTCCGGGGCGCCCAGCTGTGGAACACCTTACCCGGCGATATACGTGCCATCTCCACACTCCGCCAGTTCCGCGCCAGCATGATCCCGCACACCCTTAGTACCTAGAGTACCAAACGTCCTGTTTGATGATCAGCTGGCTTAGTTTTTCTCCACCTCTATCCTTATTACATCCCTCCCCAATTTCATTTATTACTGCTTTCTATCTGCATTCGCCACCTTTTTATTGGGCAGATCTGCCCGTTTGGTTTGCGAATTAAAATAAACACAACAACAACAAATGCAGTACGATGTATAACAACGTGGAAGTTCTGACTCGATGTGCTGGATTGTGCCCATTTTCAACCTGCACTAGCACGTATTGTGTTCAGCAGTGCATGCGTCGGTTCAACATCGTATTTCGTTGTATACGCCGAAGTCGCTTCACAGGCAGAAAATCGACAGGGGGCGGATCAACGGTACTTTGCGGTTGCACGATGTGAGAACCTTAGCGTACTAAGGTCACGCTTGGTATGTTTTTTTTTTGTGTGGAGCTCAAAAGCAAACTGAGTACGGATAGACTGCACGGCATGCAATGTGTGTACAAGGTACATGTCATATGACCTACAGTACTGATGGGACACCATCTCTAAACACAACCACGGAAGAGAGTACCAGTAAATGGCGGGGCTCTCTCTTGCAGTACTTCACGGTAGTAGAAAATCGGTGCACCACTAAAGGTAGCCAGTGCAGGCTAAATTTTATTTTTCAAGGAAACCCTTCGAAAATGGTACCAATCGATTCAGCATGGCATTTTCATAGGGCTGAGTCGGGTAGCATTTTCTTCGGGTATCGGGTCCGGGTAGTTTTCCACGGGTAGCACGGGTACCCGATCGGGTAATGTTTCCATGGTAAGACCACAATGCACACCGGCCCCTTCCCTTGCGCATTGGGTAGACATGCGTGAATTATTTGTACATGTGCACTGTACATGATGTCATCTGCGACTTCGGGTTTTCGGGTACTATTCGGTACCCGTCTACCCGAGGCCCTCACGGGTAGCACGGGTACCCGACTACCCGTGCACACCACTACATTTTCATGCCTCCTGCAAAGTTTCAGCTGATTTGGAGTCATGACAAGGACGCTATGGCGATTTGAAGATCGAAAAACTTCAGTTTTGTTTGTCAAGAAGAAAGGCCATGATTGCACACAAATGATACAACCCGTGTGGCACAATGATTTTTGAACGAAGTTGATCCGCGGACCCCGTGCTTCGCGCATGCACGCATGCATACTGCACAGTACAGAGGCTTTTTCGAACGCAGATATGTAGTTCCTCGTCTTCTTCGAAATGTCTTCCAAATGCGTGGTGCTGGTGTTGTTCTCTTCGTCGAGGCAGAATGCAGCTGCATGTGATGCTCCTGTGTGTTCCTGCATGTTCTCTTTTCGCGTCTCGACATTGTAGCGTCCAGACTCAGCTCGACTGGAGAAGATTCAGGAGACTATGCTTTGATCCATTTGGAAAATCGATGAAATTTGGTAATTATCGTCGGGCGCTAAAAAGCGCTGGGGAGCATGGGGCTAAAACTTCGTAGCAGTCATCCCTACCATGACAGGCATCGACTGGTATATGTTCCATTCTGTTCCCTTCCACGACGGGTCGTCTGCGAAGCTTTCCTCTTCGCCGATTCTCGGACAGATCGTACGTCTTTGCACTGTATCTCTCGTCTACCTCAACGGATCAAAACACGGTTTTCGCCAGGACAAACACAAAACCCCAGACTTCGCGGCGGCAACATCTTCGAGTAGGGAAAAGCTAGCAGCTAACCAGGAATCACCAACAAACACGTGTAATACTCAGTGTGATTTGCGACAGCTGTCATTGTGCCGTCGCACCATGCATGTACCATGCACAGGAATGGAACACGGATGAGTCGTTTTATTACGACAGCCTGCACTGGCTACTAAAGGCTGCTCGTGATTTTAAGGTGGCAAAAATGAAAATAAATAGAAGAAATGCAAAATGTTTTTCAACATGAACATAAATCACAAGTAATCAATAGAAATAATTCGCATCGTGAATCACAATAGCTCTCAGTGACTCTGGAAGTAACTTAGTCATCTTCAACCCAAGCGATACACTACTTTTTCACTTTAATACTCGCATTTAGCAGGCGAAATGCGTACCGTACAGTATGAGTAAATAATATGGAACCAAACACCAAAAATACAACCCCGATCATATCCCTACCATGATTAATTGCTTCCTGTCGTCAGAAATTCAGGAATCAAGCACACTCATTGTCCACTGGAATCGAAGTCCACACCCAATGTACCGCACGTACTAGCACTCAAGAAATAGAGATCACTTGATCGGAGAAATATCAATGAAGTGAAGGCCAAATAGTAGCCACTTGTGACTATTTTGTTTAGTAGTGTTATCCACACAACAGTTACATGCTGACGCAGTGAGTCCGGTAAGGCAACATTTGATGAACAGGTACTAGTAACTGCATGGAGGCACCTAACCTCACAACGGCACCACCGGATGTAGGAGACTAAGACTCCTCGAATGGACACAGACTCACAATCGCTTGCACTGCATGACCATGATGACTGCATGAGCAAATGCGAAATGACTTCAAATGTGCAACTAATCTATTTTCTGTACGCAAAAATGCCAAAAAGTACAGAATTCAGAAGCTCGATCGAATGAGGAACCATGGTGATTTGGACTGCGTTCGTGAAGCGTCGGTCCGCGGACTGCACTGGTGACCTCAACTATTAAATTTTTACTTCTCTCCCGACAATACAACTTACTTACAAGTACTACAAGTGTCAGTCGAAGCCGAAGGCGAAGGGCCACTTCAAAATCTTCCATGGTCTGCTAGCTGCACCGCCTGTTCACACAAATCGAATGAATATTATTAATTTTTTTGGTAGTCACTTGTCGGTCGCTCCTGTCCGGAAATCTTGTGAACCTTTGGCTTTGTAAGAGTTGTACCGGTAACAGTGCTTCACGAGTGCTGATGAAACGATCAGTTGGGAGAGAGTTGATACTGTAAATATTCGTAAAAGAATCACTTGTTGTTAAAAAAGTGTATTAAAAAAATACGCTTGTACTTTGAAACTGCAAGAAGCCTCAACCCTACTTCTGACTTGTACTTTGCCCATTCAGATTGATTCTTGGCAATTTCGTATCCATGTCAGATACAGAACTGTGAGCGTCTACATTATACTTTCTGCGGTGTGTACGCAGATTTACTGGCTTCAAATTAAATTCGATACTGGACGTGGTGTGGACACTGTCACATACACAGTCTTGTGCTATTGGAATCATCCGGATTGACAGTAAGGCCTAGTACAGTACCTGGGCACCGGTCATGGGAGCTGTTCGTGTCTGTGCTCTCCTCATTTGGGCATTGCTCATGCAAGTGAACTGCTGCTGTTCTACAGCGTGTACACGGCGCGACGCTGCAGATGGATTTGTATGCGTGTGCAATGGGCAGAGTTGTGATAGCATTCCAACGCTGGTGCACACGGCGGGCGCAGCGGCTATCGTGGAATCCGGGCAAACAGTTGGCGTGATGCAGCAGTCATCGGTCGCTTTCAATCGATCTGCGCCGTCTGGTGGATCGGCACACATCACGCTCAACACCACGCGTCACTATCAGGAGCTGCTGGGCTTCGGTGGAGCATTCACAGATGCTGCAGGGCTGAACATTCGCTCGCTGAGCACGGAAGCACAGAAGAATCTAATGATGTCATACTTCTCCCACACAACGGGCATCAAATACACTGTGGGCCGCGTGCCAATGGCAAGCTGTGACTTTTCCACTCACCAATACTCCTATGATGACTCACCAGGGGATTTTGAGCTCGCAAACTTCACCCTGACCGGCGAGGATTTGCAACTGAAAATTCCGCTCATCCAACTGGCAGGCGAGCTGGCTGGTAAGCCACTGAGGCTGTTCGGAAGCCCATGGTCGGCGCCGGCGTGGATGAAGACAAACGATAACATGAGCGGACGCGGCTGGCTGAAAGGAGCGGTAGGGGACAAGTACCATAAAACCTGGGCACTCTACTTTGTTCGGTAAGCCACCGGCCGGTGCTGTCACCTGTGAAATCACGGGCAAGCACCTGCCCTGCCGTGTACAGAAATTCCCTACTTGGAAAGGGCACTGTGGGCTTTCTGTGCGTACAGTAGAGCCGCGCGCTGAAGGATGTGGAGCCCAAGAACGTCCAGCCTGAAATGCTAAGGACGCCATTACCTATAGCTAAGAGCGGTGGTGTTGGTTTTCTGGCGGCTTTTGGCATGCATATGATCCAGTACGAATTGTTTCCAAGAATTGCTATAAGTAAGCAGCCAGGTTTCTGAAAGATAAGAACATCCCAGGCTAACCCGTTGGAAACTACAGTGAAACCTGTCTAAGACGACCGCTCAAGGGACATTCAAAACGTGGTCTCTGTAACCAGGTGGTCTCCTTATCCAGGGTCATTTGACTGGAATAGCATCCCTTGGTCCTGGTTGAAGTGGTCTTCTGGGACAGGTGGTCCCCTTATCCGAGTGGTCGCCTTGGCAGGTTTTACTGTACGTTCTTAGGTGCGCTACTCTACTGTACTGGTGTGCTCTCATTGTGCCCATGCACCAGAAAACACTGGAAGCTGTGCCTATAGGCAGGGAATAATTTAACCTGTATCGCATATCAGTTAGTTACCTGTATCGCACGCTACACAATTCTTCTGGGGTGCAAACAGTTGTAGAAAACTGCGATGGCTGCTGATTTTTCACCGTACCCTATGATGCACAGTGTGCATGACAGGTATGTCTCTTAGGGGTGAAATAGATGCACGAAGCTTCGAAAGTGCTCAGCTATGGAACCTGGCACCAGGTTGGGTTTGCAACTAAGGTGTTACAGTGTACTTGTGATCTGATCTTCCACTCTGATTAGCTTTGCAGGAAAATTTTGTCAAGTGTTGAAGAAAATTGCCGCCCAACATTTTCGAATTACTATTCAAGTTTGATTTTGCATGGCAAAATTGCTATGCAATAAATTGAAAGTAAATCATTCCCTGATAGGTGTACGAATACTGTGCCAAATTATCAGGGCATGGGTGGGTGCTTCCCCGAGCGTTTCTGGCACTGTCCGTTACTAGCATAGTGGTTGTCAATGCAACATGTTTTTTTTGTTTTCGAATCAACAAGCAGAACAAGTGAATAGTTAGTCAGTCCATTGTTCATGATGGTCTTCGAGGTTACTTCGGCAAGCGAGCCTCCGCCACTGCTAAAGCAGCGTGGGCTCCGCAGGACTGAGGAGGGTTCAAATTTCAAACCAAAATTAATACGCCTACAACTGCAAATGCACATGATACATGATTTCAGAAGGCTGAAGGAAATCCTGCATCTAACGTAGGCCATAACATGTGAGTAGTGCTCGCCCCTCTTCTCAGCCTGCATTTGTAGAGTGCCGTTGACGCCAGACCCATTCCGCCACTGGCTGACATAACCGCCGGAACAAACGAGGCTTGCTCAACCTGCCTCGCCCTCTCCTCATAGTGCCTTCTCTTTTCTCTTTCGGGTCGCTGCTACACAATAGTATGCGGTGCAGATCAATTTGGGTATGAGTGAGGGTTAAAACCCGTACATCAATCCGTGTGCGCTCAAAACGACTGCCCCACAAACCATTGGCAGCGACATCCAACCAGGCACAGTCCTCCACATTCGCGGTCCGGTAGCGAAGACGCTCCCCCGTCAGCGGTTGCAGTATGAGCTCAATCGACACACTGATGCCCACTTTTTCCAGCAACCGGGCTGTGACGTCACGAATTCCATTGTGTCTCATGGAGGTAAACCCTCCATAGGGGCACGACAAGGAATGCGCAACAGTTGCCTCTTGGCCGCAAGAGCAGTGCGACGGTGCCCTGGCCGACGTCCATCCGTAACGGAGGCAGAGTCCGTCCCAGAACTTTCCCTTCGATATATTGAAATGGTGCTTCTTTAGAGGACGGCACGTCAGCCAGCTCGATGACCCCTTCTCTTCCGCGAAGCCGATAGCGTGCCGTAGTGACTCTGACGCACTGGGCGATATCGCGTCTGATTCTGTTATCTGATGACGTCGGGAAGATGCCTCGGTATCTCTCTTGGCCGAACTGATTGGTGCCACGGAATGACCGGTGGAGCTGTCCCTGGACAAGATTCTCCGAGACAGGATTCGTCATTCGAACCGACGATTCATTTTGCTGGCATAGGGATTCAGGATTAATCAAACCGAGCCCACCCAGACGACAGGGCAATGCCATAAGGCATAAGCCGCCGGAGGGCGTCCCCTGGGGGTGCACGGCAAGTCAACGCGGGAATCAGTTCTGTCTTCACAATGTCCTCCAGCGGTTGTTTGGGACTAACTGCTGCGAGTATGAGCCATTCGAGTGCGAGTCACAGTCACACCTGTCAAATAGGTATTACCAGATTATTGAGAATTTAGGCATGACAAATACACCATAGCTGAGTCATAGTTAGTGGTAGAGCATCGCTGGCCATAAGCAAACGTCCCTGGTTTGAGTCCTGGTGGTGACAGTCAATCTTTTCTTCAGACTTTTCCCCTTTGCAACTCCCTCAAACTACTGATGAATAATTTAGGTGTGGGTTGGACTTGCGATGATGTGATGAAAAATTGAAAATTGAGATGTACTCGGTGCATAGAGAATTGGAGATGATCTTCATTTGTACTGGTTAGCATGGGCTTTGAAATGTGCACGTTTCAGATCTCATGAGGTTATCCAGCGGAATTGGTGTCCGTATGAATTTCCTTCTGTTTATCCTTCTCTGTTCCTACTTCTTTGACCCTTGTCTGTATAGGTTCATGGAGGAGTACGCCAAGCACAACTTAACTTTCTGGGGATTGACTGTTCAGAACGAGCCAGCTGATGGCTTCATCCCGTTGTGAGTAATGTGCTTGCATTTCACTATTAGTCTGTCCGTCTGTACAGACTTGTACCTACAGGTTTTAGTCGGGCTCGGATCACTAGCTCTAGTACATAGTAGCCGAGTGGTGGTAGTAATAGCTTACTATCAGATATCGTTGAAGGTGCGCCTTTATTACGGTGCATCGGGACTGTGGTCTTGGTGTGCAGTGAACTAAGGTGCCATGTGCTTGTACGTCGTATTGTTTCTTGTGTTCGGTGTACAGTAGGTATCGGTTATAGCGTGGGTGTTTGAAAAACGACTTTCTATTCCTATTTCCGATCTTTCTTACACACGATAAATCAAGTGTGGCATATCACATACATGTGCGCAGGGGCAGGAAGATCATCGCACATGCAACGCAGTACTTCTGTGCATGTGGCTGGTCATGGTCCCATAGGCTTACCATGTGGCTATGCAAAATGAGGTACATGACCACAACAGTTGAATCTGCAGCACTAGGACGCAACGAGAGTCAGATCAGAACGGAATTGGACAGATGGTATTACTACAGGCGATACACTTTGTGCTAATCTGGCATATTTCGCTACACCGTCCATTCTTAGGACCGATATATTCTACTATGGGATAAAATTGCTTGTAAGAATAAATGTGCACTTGAAATCCATGTTATGATTATGAAAACATGAGAGTTCATTCTTGTAAGCAGTATATTCTTTTACACGACCACGCTATAACCGATACGCACTGTACTTATTGCTTCCGTACGTTATGTATGAAATAACAAATTTTGTTATTCTAATTCGGCTTCCACTCTTGGCAGCTTCCCGTTCCAGAGCATGTACTTCTCTGCGGAAACAGAAAGGGACTTTGTGAAGACAGGTATGTCACGCACACACACATGCACTGTTGCTGTAAGTGGTAGCTTTTAAAATAGCTTTCAAGGCTGGGCATTTCCTGTGAGTTCTCAGTCTGTTGGCGTTGCTTTTGGGGAGGGGTGAAATTTTGATCCAGTTCCTCAATGTTTGCATTCGTGGTCCCATACACTAGTACGTGTCAATCCCCTGCATGCCCCAATGCCGTGCGAATTATAAATTCTATGGCATACCTAAACATTCTTGTGCATGCAAACATGCTCGGTTCTTGTACTGTAGTATATAAACTCAACTTTAATCAGGTGTGCAGGAATGGACTCGGATGGAGAGCCAAGGTTTAATTTATACAAAATGTTATCGCATGAGCTGATTGTTTAGTAACTGGTGGTGTTAGTGGACAGTATAGCGTAACTTGTAGTTCCTTGGTCCTTTCTCTTTTGTATAAATCAACTTTAATCACATTCTTCGCACTGATTTGTTATTATAGTGTTGCAGTAGTAGTACAGTAGTGCCGCTTCGTGCTCTATGCGACTATGGAGCCCGGCTGTAAGTAGAACATACCGGACAATGAGATCTGATTTCGTCGCGTTGCGTGCACTGTGCAGACTTGGGGCCGACTCTTGCCGCCCATGGCCACCAAGATGTGAAACTGATGATCTTGGACGATCAGCGTATCTTCTTACCTGGCTTTGCCAAGACTGTAAGTGGTGGCTGTACTATTATAAGTCCAGTATTGTGCACATGTTGAAAGTGCGGGCATATGCGTACAGGAATTCGGACCAACTAAGGGGCCATCCAGCGTTATCAAGAGTCCATAACCCAAGAGTATGCAACTGTGATCTCTTTTCTATGGGCCAACCGCGCGGCGCGCTGCCTTCATTACATCATTCAGCTGCAGTCCGCGCACTGCGGAAAATCAAACACCGCACTTTCCCTCTAGTTTGAAATGAACTTTCGTACGGAACTGGAGTTCACGTGCCAGAATTCAGAGATTGTGTAGGTACTTGAACGAATCGAGCAAAAACGGATGGGCTCGTGCGAGAAATTGAGAGTTTGAATGCATGCTTTCAGAGCGTGATGAAGGCAAGTTACGTAATGAAGGCAGCGCGCCACGCATGCACCCATAATCACAGTTGCATACTCTTGGGTTATGGACTCTTGGCGTTATCAATATTTTTCACGAAGCGAAAAAGTTTGGTTATGACCCTCCCCCACCCATCCACCTCCTGAGCGAAGAATATATTGATTTGACATATAGTGGCTTCTTGATGTTTCAGCTATCATTTTTTTCCAAATGAAACTCTCCTTGACCCACCCATAAATGAAACTTTTTCATCTTGTGTGTAAAAGGTCAATAATTGCGGATGGCCCCTGATTCGAGGTATTTTAGATCACAGTCCTGAATGTCATCACCCTTCTGTATACAAGTTACTGATGTACTTGGCTCGCGTACATAGTCATTTGCTCCAGCGTTACTGTTGCTCTGCATGCATGCTCTGTGTGTGTGTGTGTGTGCGTGTGTGTGTGTGTGTGTGTGTGTGTGCGTGTGTGTTTGGTGTGTGTGTGTGTTTGGTGTGTGTGTGTGTGTGTGCGTGTGTGTGTGTGCGCGCGTGTGTGTGTGTGTGTGTGTGTGTGTGTGTGTCTTTCTTCTCTTTCTCGGACTCTTCCTGACTTTTCTTTCATTCTCCTGGGTGGTTACCAACAGCCAGTATATGCCGGAGTATGTGGTGTGGTGTGTGTGTGTGTAGAAAAAAATGGAAAAATGAAAAATAGGGATTCACTGGCCAGAAAAAAGTCACTTCAAACAGCTGTGTGGTGGATACCAGGCTAAAAATAGTGGATTCATCAGCCTTGCAAGCTGTTGAATGGTGTAATCCCAGCACAAATTGCTATGTCTAACATAGCTGTTCGCTATCATCGCTTCCGCGATGGGCATGTCTGAGGTCTGAGGTCTGAGGTGTGTGTATCGCTGTACATGTGTAGGTGCTGAGTGACCCTGACGCAGCCAAGTATGTCTCCGGAGTAGCTGTGCATTGGTATCTGGACGCTGTAGCCAGCAGCAGTGACCTGGAGGAAACACATGACAGGTTAGTCCGCATTGCCAATATTCATCTGGTCCGGTGGTAGATTCAGGTTGATACCGCTACAGAATGTTGTGACTTGTCCATGGTATTGGTGTGACGATCATAACACTGCGAAATTGTGATTATAGCGCTGCTTAGGTCAAGAACTAGGCAATAGTGGGGTCAGTTGTGCTATCTGATCCTATGGTCTTATCGTCCGGACCTCTTAGTCTGACAATGGCCAGTGCTTCTGAAGTTTCATTTCCTTTCCCTTGTTGGATCTCCGCATTGACATGCCGTGGAAACAAGATGTCCTTGAGGAATATTAGCTCCATGTTGCAATATGTGATCACAGCCACTCACTAACGCGCTGTTCATATACCAGACATGCAAGCATCACATGCACACACATGCGCACATGCATGCCAGTCATATATTATGACACATAGTCACCTCATGTCATCTCACTGCCATCGCACAGCTTCCCAGACAAGTTCCTGCTGTCCTCCGAAGCCTGCGAGGAGCTGGTCGTGAAGCTGGGCAGCTGGGCGCGGGGTATACACTACGCCAATGACATCATCAAGGTGAGATCACATGACCAGTTCAGCTAGGTACCCCGATTACACGTGTACTTGAGTTGATATGACAATGATGACCATTGACATGATGCGTGATTCCACTCTTTGACCCACTCCTGCATGTACAGCTTTCCTGAGAAGTTCATATTTTCCAGCGAGGCATGCGAAGGATCTGAGCCGCTCAGTCGCGGTGTCAAACTGGGTAGTTGGTCACGTGCTGAGTCGTACGCGCATGATATTATCACGGTGAGTCCGAACGCAAGTGGGCACGCGCTGGGCCGCTGCTAGTGGAACGTTCTGAACTTCTCGATGCTATAGTCAGTGTGCTCTGCTGCTTGGTATCGCTCTGCTGTTGCTGCTGGCAGCCTTTCATGGTGCGCACCGCTATCACACCAGGTATTATAGAAGTGACTTCAGATTAGGGCTAGTGTTTATTGTCATTTGAGTAATTGGTGTATGAGTATGTATGGACATGTAGTGCACTGTAGCAGTCTTCCCAGTTCCACCTTTTGACACTGAACTTCAGATTTGGATCCACTCCAGAGGAGGTACTCGCCTAGAACTTGTATCGCCTTCGCTAGTAATGTCAAGGTTTAGCAATGGTGTGATTCAGAGAGAAAGAAGCACTGTTGGTGCTGTAGGTGGCAGCATTCAGAGAAAGAGAGAGAGAGAGAGAGAGAGAGAGAGAGAGAGAGAGAGAGAGAGAGAGAGAGAGAGAGAGAGAGAGAGAGAGAGAGAGAGAGAGAGAGAGAGAGAGAGAGAGAGAGAGAGAGAGAGAGAGAGAGAGAGAGAGAGAGAGAGGGGGGAGGGAGGGAGGGAGGGAGGGAGGGAGGGAGGGAGGGAGGGAGGGAGGGAGGGAGAGAGAGAGAGAGAGAGAGAGAGAGAGAGAGAGAGAGAGAGAGAGAGAGAGAGAGAGAGAGAAGCCAACGAAGAGGAATGTATATAGCCTTTGTTGTGGTGTCATATCGGGTTACTGTATGAAGGACCTGGCTATTTTAGTGGGGAGTGGAACTAGTTCCGTGTTCTGTGGCTCTACACACTTCTTTCCTGGTGTGTTCATTTAATCTTGTTCTCCGTGTGGCCTTTTTTGTGTCCATAGGATCTAAATCATTGGGTAGTGGGCTGGACTGACTGGAACCTGGCCCTGAATGGTACTGGTGGACCTAACTGGGCACACAATTATGTGGACAGTCCTATCATAGTCAACCCTTCCAAAGACGAGTTCTACAAACAGGTATGGAACAATACGTGGCGTGACATGCGAGCACCTTCACAATCCTCTTTTTAAATATGATGTACACGTTCATGTTGCGGTTGTGCACATGCCCTTTGCTATGTTACCGTAAGAACCGGCCCTCAGCTTGGCAAATTTGCTACGCAATGCACTCTGATTCTGGCACACCGTTTGGTTTTAAAACTGGTCAAATAATTCGGTACAGACAGTTACTTGAAGTACATGTGCAGCCATGCTAGCTAGTTGTCGGAACACATTGAGATCTCTTCTCTCTTTCTTTCTCTCTCCTCACCACCTTCTCCTACAGCCTATGTACTACGCAATTGGACACTTCAGTGCATTCATCCTGCCGGGATCTGTGCGCATCCATACTGATCTCTCCGAGCCGTTCCTCTCCTGGGACCTGGAGACGGTTTCCTTTTTGACTCCAGCTGCAATATCTGGCTTGCAGCAGGATCTCGTGACCACTGTCATTCTGAACAAGTAAGGCACGCAGGATTACTTATCATACTTACTAGTATCTTTGAATAGGATTCAGCCCAGTGGCTAAATCCACTGTCCGCCATGCCAAGCACCTTTCCTGAACTGGTGTGCTGAGGATACTCACAGTTTAAAACTGTATAATAATGTGCTATATCGCACAGACGCACAGTCATGGGTTTTACATGTTGATTCAGCATCAACTTGATAACTTCCTTAGGCCACGCCGTTTTTTTTTCTCTGTTTCGCGTCACCTTATTCGATGAAATCAATGAGGGAGGGCGAAAAAAATAAAAAAAGCCATCCAAAAAAAACAGTGTACGTGCATTGCATTTGTGTACAGTGAAGCAACGCGGCACTGTTCATGTACATTGACATGTACATGAATACATGAGTGTATCCCCTCTGCCATGCTTGTGGTCCAAACACAGGCGGCATGATGATTGTGTGACTTGCGGCCCAGCTTATTGCACACACATGTACATGTACATGTGTGTGAGCTGAGTTACATTTTCCGGTTTTCTGGGCATAAAATTTGTATTGCATTTTCAAAAAAAAAAAAAAATTTAAAAATTCGACGAGGAGACAATAATTTTAATATGGCAATAAGTAGGACGAGCTGAAGCGACATGTGGACTACTTTATAAACAATGTAAGCGATGGAGACGATGCAAGAAACAATCTAAAGGGTAAGGAAAATACATGTAAGAAGAAAAAGGCAATGGAAAAAAAGATGATTCGAACAAGTTTTCGTACAACACTCTTCAGGAATCACCGTTGTACTAAAGAACAAAATGAGAACAAAGGGAATAATATAGCAATAAAGGTAGGGTGACACGATACAATGACAGCACTGGAATATCGAGGTGCGATTTCTCACAAAAGCGTGCAGAACACAAGGGTATACAAGTAAGAACTAAGCGTGACAAGTACTAGTGTGTATCAGCAACAAAAACAAAAAAGTGAGAACGAATGATAATAATAACAATAATAAACAAGAAGGTGACAAAACACATTTAGGCACAAGTGGCAACAACGTTGCCACACTACACAAAAGAACATTATTTGAACAATTTTAGGGTAATAACACTATCTTTCTGGACACACAAATTCGGCTTATGAATGCGCTGACAAACAGCTTCCAAAACTTGTAACTGCAAAAGATAACCATGACGAGCACGGCACAAAACAGAAAAACAGGAATCAGAATAAGTACGACAACAGTCAGTACTAGAAACCAATATACAATCATTTGGTATACAATCATTTGGTTTCTAGTACTGACTGTTGTCGTACTTATTCTGATTCCTGTTTTTCTGTTTTGTGCCGTGCTCGTCATGGTTATCTTTTGCAGTTACAAGTTTTGGAAGCTGTTTGTCAGCGCATTCATAAGCCGAATTTGTGTGTCCAGAAAGATAGTGTTATTACCCTAAAATTGTTCAAATAATGTTCTTTTGTGTAGTGTGGCAACGTTGTTGCCACTTGTGCCTAAATGTGTTTTGTCACCTTCTTGTTTATTATTGTTATTATTATCATTCGTTCTCACTTTTTTGTTTTTGTTGCTGATACACACTAGTACTTGTCACGCTTAGTTCTTACTTGTATACCCTTGTGTTCTGCACGCTTTTGTGAGAAATCGCACCTCGATATTCCAGTGCTGTCATTGTATCGTGTCACCCTACCTTTATTGCTATATTATTCCCTTTGTTCTCATTTTGTTCTTTAGTACAACGGTGATTCCTGAAGAGTGTTGTACGAAAACTTGTTCGAATCATCTTTTTTTCCATTGCCTTTTTCTTCTTACATGTATTTTCCTTACCCTTTAGATTGTTTCTTGCATCGTCTCCATCGCTTACATTGTTTATAAAGTAGTCCACATGTCGCTTCAGCTCGTCCTACTTATTGCCATATTAAAAAAAAATTTGTTCCGGTTTTTTTTTTTTGAACTCCGGCTGTGAAATACATGCGCGCGGGGGACGCGAAACATAGATAAAAAACGGTGTGGCCTTAGATACAATTTTCAGTGGGTGTACGCCACACACAGCAGAGGGGACCATCTGCCAGTGTCACATCTCATAGTTTCTTGTTGTCTCCGGCGATAATCTGACACCTTATGGTATGGAGCAGCGATCCTGTCATGAACCTTTTTTTTATTAAAATGTTAAATATTTTATTGCATCGTTTGTGGCTTCGTTTGTTTCTGTGCGTTTGTAGACACAATACAGCTCAGACCGTTGTATTTTACGACCCAAGCGCTGGCTACATTGAGCGCGACGTTCAGGCAAACTCTATTGTTACGATCCAGTACCCACTGCGCTCGCAAGCGTAGCTAATTGACCCCTGTGCTTTTCTGCCGCAGTAACAATCTCATGGTCTGAAGACTGTTGCTTGTGCTGGTAAGCCACAGGTACGGTACCCAATGCACAGCCTGCACACGTGCCTCGTCTTGCCAACATATTTGTTCCTTTTGCTTTTTCAGCAGCCAACCAGTTACTTCACTTGTATGCTATTTTAACAATCCAAGTCCATTTTAGTTTATATTTATCATCAGGAGTTTGTTTAGAACTACAACTTCTATAGACATGTACATGTATAGTCCTAACACTTTCGAAGCCGTTGTTTTGGGTATTTTATACTTTAGCAAGCCCGAAATTTGACAATCAAGACAACATTAAAGTTTACTGCAGCGGCTTATTTCTTCTCTTATCTCCTACTTGCATCAATGTGCAAGCTTGAAGACAAAACACAATCGCACGTCATAATTATGGCATTTTCAGCACGAATTGTGTAGACCAACGCACTGGTGTTCTAGCATTCCATAAGGTACTTGGTGAGTGGACATGGAGGATGTACTACATCTACAGGGTAGTACCCCGGGAGCCGCAAAGAAAAGTACCAGTATATGTTCAGGCGGGCGAAGTTGGTCCGGCTCAAGTTGAGGTGGGTCCGGGGGTCTCCCCTGGGCATTTTTGGAAAAATCCGGTCAGAAATAGCAGAATTTGGCCCTTTCACAAGTTTTTAGAGCCCACTACAGGGTATAATTACGCATGGATATCTATTATCAATGTACAATCAAGAGTAGATAAACAAGAGTGTGCAACTCCGGATCTCTTCTGCACAATCTGCAGATACCCCCGCCCACGGCGGAATTTTTTGTTGACGTCACCTTTTTTCAGGGAAACGCGGACTTTGCCGCAGAGCAGTGTGAGAGCACGTGCTGGGCACCGACCTTGTATATAATTGTAGTGCAAAGCCCCGCCAAGTGCACGAGGGAAACCTCTCCGAAAGGCTCGCAGCGCGTGCGTCGTCGAAAAGATTACGTCAACAAAAAATTCCGCCGTGGGCCAACCCATCCGCGAGTTGCACACTCTTGTTTATCTACTCTTGGTACAATGTATGGCCTACTATAGTATGGGAGCATAATTATGTTGATACTTCGAAGTAGTTTGACAGCATGAAACAAGGTGGAGGACACGCAAGACGCACAGGCTAGGGACTGGGGAGCTCACATTGTAAGCTCCCCAGTCCCTAGGCCCTACTACCCTAGCCTGTGTGTCTTGACTGACTGTTGTAGCTGCTATGTACCATGATGTACGTAGGGGTTTCCAGATTATCTTTTTGAATAATGGGGTGTTTTTTGGATCTTTGGATTTTTTCGAATTTTGCTGTTTTTCCGTGATTTTTCGCAAATTCGACAATTTTCCGGAACTTTTTGCCAAATTCTACCTTTTTTTAGACCTCTTTTTGAGGTGTTTAAAATGTTTTGGAAATCTGGGGGACCAAAGGTACCGATCACGTGCCACGATGAGCCTGAAAAAATTTCGACTCGTAGTTCAGTGCACGTGGCCTCTGTCTCTGATCTGAGCGCAGCGCTAGCATGCGCTGTCAATTGTCATGCAAATGTTACGTCATCGTTGCCATGGCAACGGGTAGATAATTTTCGGGTTTTGAGTGATTTTTATAAATATTTTTTAGAATTTTTCGCATAGCACCATTTTTTGGATTTGAATCTTGATGCTCGAGAACAATAATCTTTGCTTGTATCGCAATTTCTTGCGAATAATCTGGAAACCCGTGTAGATCTCTACCGCGCCGGTGCGGTGGCAGTGCAGACTGCATGGATGCAGCTTTGTTGTCTTGCCGCTATATCAGTGCAGTGAACATAGCGTCATGTGCATGCACGTCATGTGAACGAGGCCGGCTATTCATTCCGCTTACGTAATCGATTCCTGTGTAGCTAGATCTACATGTCTACGTAGCTACATGACCCATAATTATACCAAGAGTACATAAACTACTTTTATGTACTCTTGATTATACAGCTAGCTAGCATCCTGCTGCATGCTCGGCTTTTCAAAAATCAAAATAAAAGCGATCAGTTTAGTTTTGAGCAGGTCAGACTTCATTAGCTGAGAAGTCGTGATTGCTTCTCTACTCGACACTCGCATTGATCGTCTGTCCAGTGCTGTCGACCGTATTTTTTTCTGATTGTTTACTTCTATCTCGAAGTATTGTTTTGTGTACAGAATCCCTAAGTAAGTGGGGACTGGAAAAGTACGATATTCTATCATCAGTAGTTGGTTGAAATTGGACCATTGACAAGCAGAAATGGGAGCGGAACACAGCAAGAATCCTGAGGCAGTGGAAGCTATTGCCTTGCTATCCGAGCATGAACGACATGATTTATCTACTGCCTTTCGTCAGCTGGTATCCCCTGATGGCAAGTCGGAACCCGATGCGCATGCCAACTTTGACGTGATCTCTTTTCAAGCCTTCTCAAGGAAGGTGCTGGCTGAAGACATGTCAAAGAGGTTCCACCAGGCAATGAGTGAGAAGTCTGCTCTGGTTGACAGAGACCTTGTAGATCGCGATGCGTTTACCATCAGCGTGGCCAACATCACCAAAGGCAACTTGGAGAAGAAGTGCCACTATTACGTGCGCCTTGCGGCCGACTATCGCAAAGGCGTCTCGCCTACTCCATCAGCACCTCACCTGCACCATCTCGTCTGTGGCCTGATCACTGCGGCACTGAACAGCCGCGCGCTCAACCCCCGTGTGAATGTATGGGGAGGTGCTACGAGTGAAGCCAATGCCAAGCTCGCGCGTACAATGCTGGACGAGATGATCTTTGCAAAGCACCCGAGCGGCGAGCGAAAGTCGGCCGTATCCTTCTACGAAGACCCTATCCCCGATGACGTGGTATTTTCCGAAGCTGACTTGGAGAAGTGGCTGCTGGAGAATGCATTGATGCCGCGCCTGTTTGATCATGTGTTTCGGAGTATGTTCTTTGCTGCCTCGGACCTTGCTGAGACAGTACCTGACGGTGGCCTGGAGTTGCCATTGTTGCCCGTGCTGGATGGATCAGGTGGCGAGGAAAGCTTGCTAGACCCAACGGCCGTTCTATACCTGAACAACTGCTTGCCAATGGACTGCCGTCAGAACTGGCGACAGGTGTTTGACACCAAGCAGCATGGCCAGAGCTTTGCCACCATGCTGCAGAAACTCGAGAAGGTCGGCGGTCCAAGCCTGCTGGTGGTGCGAGACTCGGATGGCTACGTGTTCGGTGGCTTTGCCAGCGTGCCGTGGACGATTTCGTCGCAATACCAGGGTGACAACAGCTGCTTCCTGTTCTCGCTGAGCCGAGGCATGGGCATCTTCAACGCCGGCGAGTACAACGATCACTTCATGTATCTGAACCATGAGATGGAGACCTTACCCAACGGTCTAGCAATGGGTGGACAGCCGGGCTACTATGGCCTGTTCTTGGCTGCCGATTTTGGGAGTGGACACAGCCACGCTGAGCCCACTTGCACCACGTACAACTCCCCGCAGCTGTCCAAGGAGAAGGAGTTTGTGGTGTCGCGCGTGGAGGTATGGGCCGTTGGTCAGGCACAGGAGAGGAAAGGAACGGCACACGGCAGTGTCCTAGACAAGAATCTCGAACTTCAAGCCATGATGGAGATGGTCGGCAAGCCGATGTCGGGTGTTTACGAACCCGTCGAGGACCCCAACGAAGAGCAGTAGGTACACTTGATGTCGTATTCTCATCCCAGCAGCAGCGGCAGTTGTTTGCCACTCGTTGCTTTTACCGCATTTTGATAACAAACACGAACCCCAAGGACCTTGCAGACATAATTTTCTTCCTTTTGCTCTATTTCATGTTTCATGGAGCATTTCTTTTGGTATTTTTGTGAATAGGCTATTGCTGTGGCACACACACACTTTCTTTGTGTATTTTAGCTGTACTTTTGGTAATGTGTCAAACCCTGTATGACTTATGAATCTCTCTTTCATACACATCCTATGTAGCATTGCTAGTCTGTAATTAGCTCTCTTTAGTTGCCATGAGCAAGTTGTAGTAGTCATGGCTGGTTTGTTGTGCAGGTTGCAGCTACCGGTCTCCACCTCATCTACTTCTAGAAGCCTGATAGAGCACAGCCTACTTGTGACTGTCATGTTCTTATTTTTCCCACGTGTACTGAATTCAGCACGAAACTCGAAGGCCAGCACATTGCTCTTGTCAATTGAATATTATGTGTGCATACACTCTTCGAATTAATTGCCACTTTACTCCATACACGGCTTACACTTTCTCTAGCCTTCATACCGAATTTTAGCACTTTACTTGGACCCATGTGCCTCTATATCCATGTCCATTGTGATATTTCTGAAAGTTACCCTAAGTCCTTTATTTTTCTTTCTCACATGTCTACATCTACTTTGTTTCAATGTCCAGCATAAGCGAACGTGTGGATCAAGCATAACTGCTTGGTTGACGCTGCCGCGGGAATGCGTATAATAATAATAATAACATGTCTGCCTCTTCCTTTTTCTGAGTGCACAGTGGGAGCTGCTTCAGTGCTTGCCAACTGGGTTGCATGCAATCTCCACTGATCATTCATGTGATGATGATGATCAAGTCTCTGTGGTCTGAGTGAATAGAAATAGATTAAACATACAGGATCAGTGGAAATTAATATTTCTCCGCCTCCACTCCAAAGCTGCGTGCAACAATGCCACCTTGCAACAGGAGACTAGATTAGGTAGAGGTGCTTCAGTACTGTAACAGGAATGTATGGCCAGCACCAGGGAGTCGTAAAATACCGGTATTTACGACTCCCTGGCCAGCACCATGGGAACAGGAATGTATCTCAATTTGCTAAATCCTATATATACTTGGATTTTGGTCACATTTTTCAACTCAAAATGGGTGTGGCATGAGAATAGCAAAAAGTGTGTCACCAATTCTTCCTTGCTAGGTCTTAGTAGATATCGAGAGTTGAATAAGATAATTTTTTCAAACACTAACATCTCAGGCTCATCTCCTTGCTCAATATTACTAAGGCCTGTGCCCTATTTTTCGAATCCTATATACAGTCGTCCCTCTCTAATCCAGCACTATATAAACCAGCACCCTCGATAAACCAGCACAATTTTCAGGAGCCAAAATGTCCTCTTCATGCACATTGCAGCAGTAAATCAGATTTGTTAATCCAGCACCCTCCCTAATCCAGCAGATCTTCCGTGGCACAAATGGTGCCGGATTATAGAGGGACCACTGTATAGGATTTGAGATTTTATTGGGCCTTGTTTTATCCTTAAACCTGGTAGTTTCATGACGGCATGTGCGATATGTCATCATGAAACCACCCCGTGCCACACCTGCAATGTTCTTCTGCACATTCACTGCTTCAGTCCTTTCCATGACAGCAGCTGAACAATTATGCTCAAAATTCCAATTATTGCTGAAAATGGGTATTCATCAGAAATATTATTGCCCTATGAATCTAAAATGTAAACATTCATGCCTCAAACATATTTACAACTTCCATGAAAACCATTATGCCGTTATTATTGGTCGTGATGACCAATAACAACGGCATAAAAGACACACATTTTCAAATCCTATATATAGGATTTTTGGCCAGCAAATTAAGAGATGGCCAGCACCATGGGAACAGGAATGTATGGCCAGCACCATGGTAACAGGAATGTATGGCCAGCACCATGGTAACATGAATGTATGGCCGGCACCATGGTCACGGGAGAAGATCATGGCAACAACGTGCTGCTAATCATGAGCACTCATAGCTACACGTATTCATACTCGCATTAGTGGGACCGAGGGCAAGTTATGCTACTGGAGCACCGAACGTTCGTGAAACCACAGGCATTTCAGCTGAGACGTGAAGTCGAAACAGTCACAAGTGCACACCACGACGAACCGAACGGTCCAAGATAATGCCACCAAGAGTGACAACCACTTTTATACTTCTGTTCAAGAAAGATCAAGAAAACGCCATGGCAAATGATAGAATGAAACCTAAAAGTTAAACGTCATTGGAAAGTCACACGAATGTGGAAAGTAAAAATAAATATACCGGTGAACGATGTGCTCATGGCCCTTTTGAATCTAGATCCCAGCTAATCTAAGAACTAGTAGTAGTAGTAAGACTGAGACTGCGGTCTAGAGGACAATGAATTTAAAAGCTGCATCGCCCATCCCTATGTCCATGTCCTGCATGAACACTACAAGTCAACACGGAAACACGCCCCACTGCCCGCACACAGCTTCAAACATCTTCACCGGGACTGCTGTGCATCACTGTACTCTGGTGGGAAAATCTTCTCCTTGAGCAAGCCTAGCTGGTCGGACGGCAACATTTTCGTCTCCCACTCAAGTTCTGAAATCTGAAAAGGGAAATCAAGGACATGAAGAAGCCACAGTTAGTCATACTTACAAGGGAATGGTAACGGGAGTTAATACACTCCAGTGGAGGACTTCAGGTCTACAAAATATCTCCTACACACTGAGATTTGCTTTTGCCCTACTACAAGCCTGGTCAAGTGAAAACCATGGCGTACACTGCTGCTTTGTATGATGGGTACTCGTAACATGTCACTTCATGTATACATGCAAGCAATGTGTATAATTATGACTTATGAGACATCGATGCAGTTGTGTGCTACACCCATCAAAATGTACTGTATTTTCTGGAGTATAAGCCGCACTTTAATTAAACACTCGTAACTCACCCAAAAACAGTTGGTGCGGCGTATACTCCGATGGTCAAAGGAACGGTGAAATAGAGCGTAGATGGCTGTATTTTTGTGACGAAAAAATCTGGGTGCGGCGTATACTCCGAAAAATATGGTACATGTACTACAGTGACCAGGAAGTTTACTGTAAATCTGGTAAAAGAAAATATTAAAAAACACTTGTAGACTCGAATGGCATTTCACATGACAGGCAAATATTGTACTCACCCCGGCAACCGACCATCCAGCAGCCGATACCTGCAGAAGATCCATCAGAGTTCGAGCGGCAGGTCGTTCCGTTTCGTACACACACGAAAACTTGGGCATGAAGCGCACGCACAGGCGTCGAACTGGCTCATCATATTCCGTCTGAACAGCCCGAGACTCAGTAGAATGTCTTGAACCTGATTTGCCTGCTTCATCTTTATCCACATCATTAACTCCAATGTCATCACCATCAACGACTTTTTGGTCGTGCCTTGACGATTCTTGGAAGTTGCATCGCTCAACATACTTGTCAAAGCGACAGGACTTTTTCATCAGGCTAAATGGTGGCAGGCCTGTATTCTCCACAGTAAGCTGCCCAAGGGACGGAGGCAAATCAGAAGAGGTAAATGGCACAGGGCGATCCATCTCGTCAAACTGGACAATAAAGTGAGCTAGGTAGCCGCCCTCGGTGACAGCGTTACGCTGTACAAACTCTTCTCCGCCCAGCAGCTCCACTAGGGCGGCGTCCAAACCATTGTTGAAGATAACGTGGTGACTCTCACGCACCAGCTTCCTGGTTCGGTCCGACACAGCACGCTGGCACGCTTGCCAGCATTCATCTTGCAGGCCAGTGAGCTTCAGGTCATGTCTCTCACGCAGGCCATAGCTGTTGAGATCGTTGAGCTTCAATAGGTCGTCTTCGCTTAGCTTCTCATATCCTACACGGAGCCAGATGAGAACAACACAGACACCCACGCTCAGTTAACACTAAGAGTATTGCCTGACCCTGCACCAACCATTCAGCGCCAAAGGCATAGGACAGGGAGTGCATACATGATCATACTCCAGCAATAACAAGGGATCTGAACACATAATACACAAGAACTAACGAGTCATCATAAATCTGTACATAACATACATGTGTGGCACTAACTTTAACATGTACTCAATCTGCAGAGAATACTGTCCCATCCTTTGTAGCTTACAGCAGGCGAGCCCCCACCCGCTCAAATTCAAGAAGCAAACACAACCACGGTGCTTAGAAAGAAATTCGAAAACAGCCAGATCAACAATTTATAAATATTGCGTCTAGAATTGCCTGGAAAAGAAAAGGACCAAAGATAGAAAAAGCAAAATGAACCAACACCCCAGCCACCATACCCACACTGCTGTGGAGACGGTCTGTTTCAATGTCACTTCCACCCGCCCACCCACCCACCCGAAAAGCAACAATAGCAACAGCAACATGTCACTCACCCTTATTCCCAGAGTACATGGCGTGCGCAAGAATCTTTGGCGCGTTGTGGCCGAGTACTGCAAAGCTCCAAGCAACGTCGATAACTTTTGACAGGTTGGCTTCTGGTGACTTGGATGAGCGCGAGGCGCCGCCACTGGGCCCGATCAAAAGGCGTTCCAAGCGATTATGCGCATGCTCCAGTAGCTTGGGTGCATTGACAGTGACGGCGGCATAGCTATGCACTAGCACGGGCAGCATGCGGTCCGGGACAGAACGCACCAGCGTCTCACCCCACTCGGTATCCTGCAAGTCCATGAGCAACGGTCGGCTGCATATGCTGCCACGCGACACCGCGCTGATCAGACGCACGGTGTCCTCGGGTAACCAGTCCTTGCTCAATCGACAGCGCCCGCAGGCAGTCATGTAGAGATTCTTGCTGCAGTCACCCTGCTCTGACCAGGCCTCTATCAACTCAGCCCACTGCATCCAGAACAAAGAAAATACACACGAACAAAAACACGTCCAGGAACGACCACATGAACAAATGCTGGACGTGTACAAGTACATTGTGTACCAGCATAGTGAACCGGAAAGAAACACCCCCCCCCCCCCCTCACACACACACACACGCGCGCCATGTCACTTCACAACCAGTTTCACTACACGGGGCAGGAGCTAGACCAAGACTGTCAAGTGCTGTGGACAGCAAAGCTAAAGCTGTTGAATCGTGTACGGTTAGTTCCATCCACTGGAACGCCCGCACATTTTGCATATAGCGCTGCATGCATCACCTCCATACCGTTTCTTATTTACGTATACGCTGAAGTCGCTTTAATACAAGTAAAATATCGACACGAGGCACAGTAACAGTACTACGTATATGATACATGTACAACCACAACTGGGAAATGCCTACACAGAGCCTGCTTAGCTGGTTTTCGACATGCCTCTGACAAACACCGGTTTAAAAATACATTCCCACGAGGTTCTCTTCGGATGTTCATCGGATTCAGGCTGTTGACTTCATATACCAGTATGCACATGACTGCCCTTTCTACAGTGTGTGCCAACTGGGCAGCTCGAATAGAGTGCTCGATGCACCAGGATGCAGAGCGAATGCAGAAACTTACCGTTCTCGACGAAAGAGCTGCCTGGCGCTCCACCGCAGCCCTCTCGACTGTCTCCATATGTGCCCTCCGGACGCGGTCAACAGAGCCGTTGATGACCATTCGGACTGCATGCGGAAAGTAACCGGTGGGGAAAGAGGCATCCGGCACTCTGCTCAGAAGCTCGTCCAAAACACCAGTGGCTGTCACTTCACCGTCTCTGTAATTAAGCTGAAGCATACTGCCGTGCAGATCATACAGTTCATGCGGCTCGAGTTCTTTCAGATGGGGATGCAATTTGTGATACAGACGTGCCCATGCCATGAGATCGGCACCAAGCAGCTCAAACTTCCTCACAAACACCATGTAGTACTTCAGCGGCCAGTCTCTCTCCATGAAGCCATTGCTGATTGACGGCCCGATGCGACCAAACATCTTCGGCCCGAGTTTGTACGGGACCTTCTTTTCTCTGCACTTGAACTGCAAGAAGCGCGTCTCCCACGTGCCAAAGGCATTGAGCAGTTGTGAGAACTGCGACGAGCTGCCATGCTCGTGTGTGAACTTACCAACCTGCAATGCAAGATGCTCCATCATTTGAACACTGGTACGGCCAGTTTTCACTGCGACCTGATTGTAATCACACACTTCAGCTATGTCAGATAGAGACAGCCCTCCCAGTCGAGACACTAAGTTTGGCATTAATGCTTCATCGATGAATGCCTTAACTTCAGGCACTGCTTGAACTTTCACCGACGAGAAGGATCTGAGAAGACTCAAGTTATCAGCATGGCTGAGCTCAGTCCTTCTCGGCGTAATGTAGCTGCATGCAATCTGGACAAATTCCCTGTTCAGCTGCAGGTGGGTTGCCATGACAGCACAGACCTTCACATAAAGTGGTAGGTCTGCGAGGCCGTCCTCTCCGGCTGCAACGCGGCGCTTTATCGCCATGGCAAGGTCAACATTGCGGATCTTCAGCAGCATGTCGCACAGCTCATGCAAGTCACTCTCACTGAGCTCCTCACAGCGCTCATCCACAGCCCGGATCAGCTCACTGTCCACTGCAGCATTGGAAAACGTTGAGAGCAGCATGTGTACAATGTCCGACATATCATGTTCAGCCAGCGGTAACGACCAAAACACATCATGGAGCTCGGCGATCAGCCCCTTTTCCACTGCAGTTTGAAAAGCAGGACAGTTCCGGAGGAAGGCGGCGACCTTTGATTTATGTTCACCGATGTCCGGCAGAGAGGCTAACAACTTGAGCAACACAGACCAGAGTTCGTGATGATGTAGGTTACGCTTTGCACACTTAGCAGCACACTCAAAAATGTAGTCTGCGCGGTCCGGGCCGTTAAAGTCACAGCACGTCAAGAACAACATGCGGCAATCCAAACGCAATTGCAGGTAGCCCTCCGCCATCAGCACCAAGGCTGCCGGACTGGGTCGACGCTGCAGTCGACTGTTTATGGTACGAACGAGGTCGTTCAAGTTCTGACTGGCCGCCCATGTGCTGCGCTTTTCCGGTGTCAGGTCTGATCGCATGGATTCGATAGCCAAGAGTTGCTGCACGGCCATAACCATGTTGACATCAGTGTATAGGTGACCATTGTTGGCAGCATCTTCAAGCGCTTCGTCCACGGTTCTCCACAGACTAATTCTATCTCCTACCGAGGTTTCTGTGCACAGAAGGCGTCGAGAATGGCAACCATGCCCTCTGTAGAGCGGCTGTACAAACGAGGGTTGAAGTACACAATGGCCAGTACTGGCAGCAGGTCTGAGGAAACGAACAGCTAATAGCAGAGATCTGTGGGCCATCACTTTGAACATTCAACCCAAGACATGAAGTAGCAGACTCTTGATAACTCTTCAAAGTAGCTACATAATAATCACTTCGTCCAGTCCCTTGTATTATTGATCATGAAACTGGAAACTCAGCAGAATAGAATTCAAATAATTCAAAGTCAACATTAGTAATTACCATTGATTACATGTACCAGATATTTACAGTACGAAAATAATTGACAGAATCAGTATCTGATGCGACGCCATTTATTGCAGCTATGGGAACATAGCGAATCTACTCATCACGCGCGCGGCGCGCAGGCTTCAAAGTTCAGATCGTCACGCGCTGTGCTTGTGCCATTTGTGGTCCGGTCAACATACACTGACAGCTCGTACTGAGGCTGAATGCACGCGATCGAGTAGATCTACGATGCGAGTCTGCATGCATGTGCAGTGCACTAGTACACCGGTACGAGTACAGTCGCTGATGATGCAGAGGTTGCAGGCAAAAAATACTGCACCTTTCACCTGACAAAGTATTTTTGAGCAGCTACCGTGACCGTACATGTACATGTAGCTGGCTTTTGAACTAACTTTTTTCCTTTTGCATTTCAGAGGGGTTTTTTCCTGTTGTTCTTGGTGGTTGGGGTTCTCACACATTACTTTTGACGATCGGTGCTATACTGGTGTAGCGCAGACGTGGAGTTTCTGGTTGCAGTGGGTCTGAGGCAAATTGTCAATACGAAGATGACCTGTTGGCCTGCTTCGCCGAACTGATTTTGTTGATCCATTCTTATTATTTGCACTGATTGCACCCTGATATTGAGAAACATTGTGTGGTTGACGAAAGTGAGGTATGGATCCCCTTGGCACCAATTCTGGAGTTGTGGATGTTGCGGAAATCAAGCGGTGGTCGGCTACGACCCAGTCTGGAAATCTTCCTGAAGTCGATCCTCTCAGCTCCGACCAGTCGCCGTTTCCATGCAACCCTCAAATCAATGCCAAAATTGCTCTTTGGTAAGCTGGCTCCCCATTGCATAGACTCATTAGACTCATTCGTCATGCCCGGGTGTTTTATTATTATTCTGATGTTCATGCCACAGTATATATTATGCATTTGCATTCAATGCACGCAATACGTTTGGTTGTGCATTCGATGCATTTTGCAGTTTGAGGGGAATGGAATAAAGACATTCAAAGTAGGCAAAGCAAGAGAAGAAACAGCAGTACATCAGACTTGCCAACTTTAATTCGTCTTTGGTAGGGAGATCTCCCTCCAGATTGGTGTGCCCGTAAGGAGGTCACCTGCCCTCAACACGTAGGGGTAAAGTAAAAATGGGTATGCCATGTAAGGGTTGGTTCACATAAGCCAAATCGGCGTCGGGAAGCACCGGCGGTGGGCCAGCTCCCGGTCCGTCCCACATCCGGTTCAAGTACTTCTGTAGTACCAGATCTACTACAACGTAGTACAGAATTTACCCAAATGCTACAACAGGATTGCTAGCTGGAACTTGAATTCTACGTTTTTCCGTAGTTCATGGGACAATAAAGGTCTTTCGGTGATGGCCACTTGGTACTACCTTTTACTGCAGATTTATATGAAGCTACTTGTACATCTTTTATTACCATCTAGGAAGCAATGGTGTCGAAAATAATTCAAAATATGCATGAAAATGTTGATGTACATGTAGTCACAAGAACTTGCGAATGTGTCCTTCGTATTTTTGTATTTGTTTTAATTGTCTTTGTCTCAAAAGTTGAACAGACCTTATCTTTAGCTTCAATTTTGGAATTTTTAGGACGAGTCTTGAGTTTGAAATTTTGACAGAGTCTGGTCCTGGCACCACCGATCACTGGCGTCAACGGTTCACATACCACTTTTGGTCAAAATTGTACAGGATCGGTGCCGGGGAAGGTTTCAAGAGTTGGGCACTGTCCAACTTTGCCGGCGATAGCCCGCGAGGGTTTACCGTACGATTTTGGTACGCATTGCGCTGGTTCACATAATCGCAATGCGCCGGGAGATGTGGCAAGAGGCCCACCGCTGGTGCCTCCCGGCACAAACCGGCACACATGTTACTAATGTATTATAGAGACAGAGTGGCACCCACATCAACGAGTGCACCACAGTACTCGTACATGCATGGCTAGCATACTCGCCGCAGAATCCGTGCCGAGTAGGGAGGTTTTCAATTCTGGTCGGGAGATAGGGAGATGTTTCAAAAACATCAACAAAAACATCAACTGCCCCGCCTGACAGGGAGATTTGGTACCTCCGAGTACATTGTAGTTGTCAATGAAATGCAGAATAGAATCATCCAGGTGCACAGTGGCTGGTGCACTGCAGCCTGGCATGTGCGGTCCATAGTTGCCCAAGAATGAGTCTGCTTTCCATTCGCAACTACAGTGTGCCCCCTTTATAATCCAGCACCATTTAATAAAAAATAAAAATAAAAATTTCACGGTTCGCGTCCACCGTGGGAACGCCACCACCCTCTAGGATCAAGGCGCAGATGCAGCGCCTGAACGGTGGGAGGTGAGCACCATTTGTGTTGCAGAAATTCTGCTGGATTGACAAATCTGATTTACTGCCGCTACGTGCACGAAGAAGGCATTTTGGTCACTGAAAATTTTGCTTGTTTATGGAGGGTGCTGGTTTATAAAGGGCTGGATTAAAGAGGGATGACTATATCTGAAATTTATGAAGTTGATATATGGAGCATTCTTTACCTTTTTAATTTATGAAAAATTCCCCTTCTGGGATGGTTGACATCTCTTCCGGAAGAAGCTGTGTGATCTCTCACTAGTATGTGCTCCGTTTGGCAATTGCAATAGTAGTAGACGTGTGTTATCGCCTTCTTTCACTGGCTTGGATTCACTGAGAATTATGTTCGATGCAATGATGCGGTTAAAACTTTTGCTGCTGCTGCTGCTGCTGACGACGCTGCTGTTTTTGTTCTTGTCGCTCTTGTCATTCTTGTTGCTGTTGTTGTTGCTGTTGTTGTTGCTGCTGTTGTTGTTGCTGCTGTTGATGGCTGTGCTACCGGTTGTGGGTAACATGCTCTGTTGTGACGCACATTGTAGGGAGGGCGACATTGGAACTATCAATGCGCAAGCAGTCACAAGCGCAACTAACGAGGCTATGACGGATTTCCGGCACCCGGCCACACGCAGCGTCTTCGACAAAGCAGGTCCTGGCCTGCTGCAGGAGTGTCGCATGCAGATTCAAAGTGAGATTGCTTGCCTGGTGTCTAGTGAAAATTTAGTATAATGTACCTTGGGTTAGGCTACTGTCGGCGCATATTTATTTTCGGCCTGGTCATATTTGGCCGAAAATTTGTTGCGACCGAAAGTTTGTTTTCAAAGTTCAGTGTGACAGTGTATACAGGCAGCAGCAGTACAGGCCGAAAATTTAGTGCGGCCGAAATTTGAATGGGCCGAAAATTTGTAGACTTACTGTATAGCATACTATGATCCTGTTGAACTGTCTTGGAAGTAATAGTCTGTATGTATCATTAGAAGAACCAGCCTGGGCTTCATGACATTAAAAATTCCTGTGCCAGCAGCTGGCACTGTGGATTTTGATGTAGCCCCAACCAAGACATTAGCAATGTTTAGCATTTGGAATTTTCAACCGCGTTCTGCAGCAGAACAGTAGAAACCCAGGCCTTTTCCGACGCCCAGCATTCCGTATAATTGAAAGACCTAGCCGTCATGTTGCACATGCTGAACAGCAGTGGAAGCATGACATCATTGCACGACAGTGTGTACATGTGCCAGGTGGACATGGTCGACATGTGTATGCGTGCTGCATACAGCAAGTCAATTTCAACTTCCGGACCTTTTTCCATTGAACTTTGCGAAAGTTGACTAACGAACGTTGGTCATATCCACAACGTTACTTTGTCCTGCGTTTTGTTTTTGTGTTAGCTTGTCGTACCGGGGAGGCAAAAATCAGCCAGGGTTATAACCTTCCAGCTCGTCATGTGATACACACTGTCGGTCCTCGATACAATGTGAAGTACCGCACGGCAGCTGAGAGTGCTCTGTACAATTGCTACCGCAGTGTAATGCAGCTTGCCAGGTCAGTTGGCTCGACTTGTGTGTTTGTGTCTGCCTGTTTATCTGCCTACATGAATGTGTCTGTGTCTGTGTGTGTGTCTGTGTCTGTTGGCATTGGTAATGTATGATGAACCAAGTTGAAATGTGTGCAACAGGATTGCCAATATCCTGAACTGTAGACTTTGTTTGTGGTGAGCAAGAACATCTTTTTCAGCATTGGCTATGTGTACATGTACTTTATTGCCCCAATTCTTTGAAGTTGTAGTTTACTTGCATGAACAATGTGTTTTTTCTTGTGATTTCCTCACAGGGAGCAGCACATCACAACATTGGCTATCAGTGTTCTGCACTCATCTCATCGAGGCTATCCGGCAGAAGAGGGTGTTCATATCGCACTTCGTAAGTGCCGTACCGCACGGAGTTTCAGCTAGCCGTCCAGCTTGAGTCCCTTTTCTTCCTTCTCTCTACTTCCCATCTCTCTCTCTCTCTCTCTCTCTCTCTCTCTCTCTCTCTCTCTCTCTCTCTCTCTCTCTCTCTCTTTCTTTCTTTCTGGCGTTTCTTGCTCTATTTTGTCTCGAGAGTGCACAAACACAAAAGTGGTTGGCTGTTTCTGCTGAAACTTAAAGTAACCGCAGAAGCAGACTCTCGCTCCTTGTGTTTGTGCACACGGCTCTGCATTATGGTGGATTGAGCATCTTTTAGAGCTGCCCTGACTGGCCCTAATCGTCCTCGGAGAACTGCACTCGTTCCTATGTTGTCATTGTGCGGGCTTCTTGTAGGCATGTTTAGACTGGAATGGTTTTGAGTGGTTTTCAGCTTGCCTGTTCGTGTGCAACGGTCCTTTGATCCCACTGTAGGAACGGTGCGGCGCTTCATGGAGAAATGGACAGACATCTTCGACCTGATTGTCATTGCTGTGGAGGGCAGCGATGCGGTGAGTGCAGACGGCAGCACATGTGAACTCGTCCTCGCTGCGATTATACTACGTTGAGTATGGGACATAATCCCTTTTCCATACCGCCCTTTATACTGCTCCCTGATGGCAACCTTTGGAGAGAGCATGTTTCTGAATTTTCAAGATGCAACGTTGTTGATCATGTGTGTGGGTGTTGGTCAAGGGGTAGTGCATTATTGGCTGCAGTAGAGACTCCGAATACTGAAGAAGCATACTGTAAAAGCCATAATATAATAACAAAGTGTTAATTCTAACGACGGTACAATACTGTTGCTATTGAGTGTTGAGAGTGAGTGAGAATCGTTACCTTTGGTACACGTAAACCAGTCAATTTTAAGAAATCGTTTGTTAGAATAATGGCTTTTGCAGTATGGAACACTTCGTTATTGCCTCTTTTGGACCAATGTTTGAACGAGAGAGCTTGGAAGCTCAGGGCCCTACGCTATGCTTTTTTGCCTTGATGACCTAGACAAAAAAAAGCATAGGGATGTTATAAATTCTTTAAAAAAATCCTTTTTTTAAGAGACATACCGTATTATCTCTAATATAAGCACGGTCCTTTATTTTTTCAATGTACCTCCGCCCCGTGCTATTATTGGAGACGTTCCTTTATTGGAGACTGTTCCATTATTATTTCAACCTCATTTCAGAGCCTTGTTGCCATGCCAAATTCATGTCAGACACACACATTTCAGGGGGTTTTCGCCGGTACAGATAATGAATTTACACGGTGTGCTTATAATGGAGACTGAGCACTTTATTTTTTGAATGCCGCCCCAAGGTGTTCTATTATTGGAGACGTGCTATTATTGGAGACTGTGCTTATATTAGAGATAATACGGCAACCTGGGATTCGAACCCGCACTATCGCGCGCCCTGCATGCATCCCCCGATACACTTCGCATACATACTAATTCTTCCAAGTTACTTCACGTTATGATCTTGCATTTGAAAGCCCTATTTGAATATGCATTGTGGCCAGCCGTCTTTGATGGAACGGTACGGTACGGGATAGGTACGGGACAGGTACGATCGAGGGTAATACGACACCGTCTACCGCCTTGATGACGGCAAAAAAAGCATAGAGATGTTATACATTTTTCAATTCTCCTATTTTTTTTTCAGGCATATCCTGGGATTCGAACCCGCACTATCGCCCCACATGCATACCCATTCTTCCAAGTTGCTTCACGTTATGATCTTGCGTTTGAAAGCCCTATTTGAATATTGTGGCCAGCTGTGTTTGATGGTACGGTACGGTACGGGACAGATACGGGATAGCGCCAGGCGTGACACAAACAAACAAACAAACACACAAATACCAAATTAAAGCTGTGTGGACCCTGGCTAGCGCCAGACGTTACTGAAGTAACGTCTTCTGCATAGCTACGGGAATAAAACTTTACTCTATATGAATTGACTTGGTTCACCATACCGCACTGCACGGCACTCTTGGTGGCTGCAACTTCCTCACTTTCTCTACCCATGTTGTACAAGCTTGAAATGTCCCTGTCTCGCACACTGCAGGCAATTTATCATCAAACGTTTTCCATGTACTTTCCGCGGAGTAAAGAGGAAGAACAGGCGATGACGAATGTGTTACCAGAAGATATCGGTGAGTGTGGAGAAGGGTGTGGCTACCTCTTTCCTCTGCAGCATGTTTTTAAGCACGCAATTTTTGAAGTGCGCGCACTCCAGTTCTCCAGTTGCATTTGGCACTACCGTTTTAACGCTCACTTGTCTTTTCTGTTAGTTCCCTTTTTTCCGTTATGGATTTGGTCTTTTTCCTTTGCGTATCTGCTCCGACTTTAGGCAATGAGGAAGGAGAGCCAGTGATAGCAGACCGTCAGATTCGCATTCGTGATAACCCTATCCTACTACAAGCCGGTGAGATAACCCGGCGTTGCTTCTGGACTGCTTTCTGGACTGCTTTCTTGCATGCCTTCATTGCCACTGCCCTAGGCATTGAGAATGAAACGCCTGCTGCTATAAGTATTAGCTGTGTGTGGTACAGGTACAGGTATAGAGAAGGGGAACGAAGCTGTATTGTTGTTACTCGGAGTTCCATGCGTTAGCCATCACTGTGTTGCCACACCTACCGACATGTCGGTAGCCTGCTGATTTTGGAGGCATGTCACGACCTGCCGACAATTGGCCTTCTGCCGACAGCAGCCATGATAAGTCCAATGTTGCCCTTCTGCTTGGTTTAGAAGTCATGATCCCGATTTTTTTATTAAACTGGTCATCATGAATGTTTCCATAGTTCTCTCCTACCCTGCTAAGCAAGATCATCATCAGTCTTGGGAAAAATCGGAAACTCAGTCCGAGTCTCACTTGGAACGCGAACATTTGGTGCCTGTATGCGTGTGTATACTGGGGTTACTTAATATTCTCACTTCAATCTTTGCATATAATTATGTCAGAGCTACATTAGTTCTCCTGCTTCGTCTCCTTTTTCTTGGATGTTTTTTTCTTTCTTTTGTGTGCTGGGCGCATAGAACGGCACGATGCAAGTGACGAAGAGGGAGCAGCGACGGGTGTTACTGATCCCGGTGACCTAGCGGAAGTTGGCCAGCACTCCTTCGCTCACATGACTGGGGACCAGGACAGTCGTCGGCTGGAAGTGCTCCGCGGTAGAACGAAAGAGGAGACGGCCGAAATGGAAAAGCAGAGGATGTAAGTGTGGGTTGATACGTGCTACCGAGCCGCTACTGAAACGCACGCAGGCGTTACTGTCATATAGTCTTTCATGTACACACGTCTGTTACTGCTTTGCACTCGTGTGTCCCAGCATGCACGTACGTGTACAGCATGTGGTAAATAATGTGCACGGGTACTAGTAGTCTGAATGCTGTACATGAATGGCCGGGTCTGCATGACTATATTTGTAATGCTTTGCATGAATCGCCGGGTCTGCATGGCTGTATTTGTAATGCTGTGCAGGTACCAGCGGCTATTACGGCGGGCTCGCACGGAGGACATGTCTGACATGGCGCGATTACGCGCTCTATACACGTCAGGTAGGGATCGTGCCGTGTCATGCTGTTGTCAGAATACCCGCCGGGCCCCAGAGTATGCAACTCCAGTACATGTACATGGATCAGTGCTGTCCGGGCTGACTCTCAAGTCGGCTGCTTTATTATATAATGCAGGGTTTGCACAGGTTATGGAAAGTCTGGAAAATGTATGATTTTATGAGACCCGTTTTCAAGGACCTGGAAAACTATGATACCGTAGTACCTTGTATTAAAGCCTATCTCATGTAGACGCCTGTTTTGAGTAGAAGCCTGATTTTCAAGTTTTGGAAACGAAGTTTCAACTGTCACATCAAGAAAGTGTTGAAAGAAATTCAAAGAATACAATGCGCTATGTACACATTACACATATGTTAGTCATGTCCGTGGCCCAGTGGTGGACATTACATGATCTGATCCTGTAGAATCTTGTCCTAGAGAGAAGCCCCGCGTGATGTGTTTGTAGAAACGTCGCAACTCGTGCGTACCAGGGGCAGTGCATCTCACAACACCGACCGTCAACTTGAAATTCTGCTTCCAGAATAGCTTCATCTTTTATTGAGAGTGTAGCCATTATGCTTAGACGAGAAGGCAAAACGCCTGTGTATCTGGTGAAGTCAAAACAAACAAACAAGCAACAGCACTGCATGCGGGGACTGCACCCTCTTGGCGGTTGTGTGTTCTCTTGGTGCATGTAGGGCTGGCAAGATGGACTGCACACACCCTGCCATAGCTAAACATGCTCCGGATTTCTGATCTTGCCTTTGCTACACGTGCGCCAATGTACAGCTCTTTTTTTCCGTTTACCAGCATCTGCATGTGGGACAATTTCAGCCTGAGGTTGGACTCATCAGCTACTTATAGCGTGTTTGTAAAGGAAACTTCAACCTGACTTTTATCTTAGCGATACCTATTTGGCACGCAGGTGTGAACCAGTGAACCCTTTGCATGTAGTTCCGGAGAGAGTAATGGGTGAAGACAACCTCCCCTTGCCTGTACTCTTTGGATTAGTTGTGATACATGTGTGGTGTTTTATGATGTCATGCTACAGTCAACCTACCCTTATAACGATAACCCCTATAACGATATTACCCTTATAACGGTATTTTTCTGCCAAACCAAATCACTCCATTGACTTTTGTATACAACGCCTTACCCTTATAACAATATTGCTATAACGATAATACCCCTATAACGGTATAAAATGGGCTGATCACTCAGCATTTTTCCATTTTATAACAATATCTAGCAGGGAATATGTAGAGTCGTTTATTCAGGTAGGGCAAGCTTCACTTGATAAGTCGCTGGGACATGACGAAATACAATGGGGGCACCAGTAATGCCTTGTTGTGTACATAATGTGCATAGAACATACATGTACCGTAGTTTTGATGCTATGAAGAGTGTAAAAAAATGAACAAAAATCATGCATTATGACTGACGTACATGTATGAAATGAACCAGTATCCTTATAACAATATTAGGCCACACTTTGTTTTTTCTATGTTTCTCGTCATCGCCCGCGTAGGTTTTCAGAAATTTCGGAAGAAAAAACAAGTTCATACTGCGTACATGTGTACATAATGTACGCTGCACATGCTGCAGCAGCTAGATGCGTCAATCAATAATCGTAAACGTTTGCACTACAGCATGCAGCAAAGGAGCGCTCCTCGTCCGTTCTCTGCGATGAAGGCTGTCATGACGAAGCTTTCAGTCGTTCACTGGCTGAGCTGAGCCTCGTGGGTCCCAGGAACAGTAAGTCGGACGAGTTCCGCGGCAACTGGCGTCTGTGGAACGATGTCGTAGGCAGAAAATCCAAGCAATAGACGCATGGCAAGGAAAAGATGAGCAGCATGGAGACAAGAGTTTGATTAGCGGAGACAAGAGTTTGATAAGCGGACACAAGAACGTTGAAGTAACAAAACCAAAAATTAATGACGAGTGGGAAACGTTTGTTGATGCGATAGCAGATAAATGTATGTTCTCTTCGCCATCTCGTAATCAAACTTTATGCTCTCATTGACATTGTTGCAGTTTGCCTGATATTCGTGGGCTGATGTGATAATGTAATGCAATCATGTATGGGACTACGTGTACATGATTGTACAATGTATACATGTGCATTGTAAAATGTATACAGTTTTCAGTAGAAATTGTTCTTGTTTTTTCCTTGGCTTTTGTTTTTTTTCCGCCCGCCCGCCCGCGTACCTTTTGCTAAAATTTGCCGACGAGAAACATAGAAAAAACAAAGTGTGGCCTTACCCTTATAACGCTATTTCTTGGTCTGACGCAAATATCGTTATAAGGGTAAGGCCACACTATAGTTGAATGTGGATATCTGCTGTACATGCATGTTTTCCTTCTTCTTTTTTTGTTTTGTTTCTGATCAGGTGTTGACTTCATGGGGCGGCCAGTTGTTGTGTTCGTTGCTCGGCATTTTCCCGCTACGTCTGTCGATATTGAAAAGGTCAGCATAACATGCAACAGCCGTATATTATTTGTGGCAGGGAAGATTTGGGCCTGGAAACACTGACAGTCAGCGTGTGCTTGTCTGTGCGCGTGTGTGTGTGTGCGTGTGTGTTGGGGGGGGGGGGGGGGGGGTAGTGAGGAAGACTACAGTTCATTCATAAAAAGATGGGCTCTGGCGAGCTCCCGTATTTGGCGATTTTTCGTGATTTCATCGTACACAGTGCAGTGCTGCGAAATTTGAAAAAGGGTCCAAAAGGGTACCTGAACTGGGGTTCGAACCGCACAATGCATGTTGCAGGCGGGGTCAAACGACCTGGATTTTTATGGTTTTTCGCAATTCAGTGCTTTTGGGGCAAAACCTGGCCGAAATCCTATTCTTGTTATGGCTTGCTTTTTGGACAAAAAAACTTCAGAAACATAATTGGAAGAGGATTCCATAGGGGATTGCAGGAAAAAATTCAAAGTTTGACCCATTTATGGCCAAAAGCTAGAAGTCCATCTTTTTCTGAATGGACTGTAGCATGTTAGCATATCCTATCGGAGATGCAGTTGCCAGTTGACTAGAATGAGTGTACTTGTTGGTGCACGCATTGTACTACGTTACTGTGTGGTGATGGATGAATGGCTTCAGTACGTCCAAGTGCTACTCTACCGACTGGCATCCAAAGTCATGTGTGAGTGTTGCAGTAGTAGTTCTGCCACCAGCACAACACACTGCTATCTTCAATCAAGTTATCACACGCTGTAAAGGTGTCATACAGCTTTGTTACTCTGCTAGTCACGTTCGTAAATCACACGTCCCAGGGTGTGAACTCGCAAAGGTTTTTTTTTCAGGCAAAATGGTTGCAGTTGTTTTCATGTATACTGTAGTCTCTCGTACTGTGTGCTTTAGATTTGCAGTAGATTTACATTCGGTGTGGTCTCAGTTCGGTGTGTAAAACATTCCAACTGACGACTTTCTCACTCTCGCCTTTGCTGCTACATGTACTTGCATAGTATGACTGTACCTGTAGTAACCTTTCCTTGTGGGTTCACATCCCTGACCGAGTGCCATTTGGATGGTTTGCCTCTTCTGCTTCTTTTGACGGGGTTGACCTTGCTGGCATGGTTCTTTCTCATGTTGGCTGCTTGGTCTTGGTGGTCTGTCTCGAAGGGGACCTGGTTGGCCTCAACTTCTAAATGCCTGCTATCTGTGTGGGCGGCAGCTTTGCATGACTTGTACAATCACCTTGGAGACGTGAGCAGCTTGCTGCCGGGCACCCAGTGGTCAGCTATCTTGTTAATAACTTTGTTTTGTCTTGCTGCTGCTGCTGCTGGTATCACTGCCACTGTAGGCGATTTCCTACTTTATCCACGTCCTGCACCCCGTTGTCGACAAGGACTATGTGGTTGTGTACTTTCACACGCTGAGCGCTAGTGAGAACCATCCAGAGCTCTCGATGCTGCGGCAACTCTACGACCTTGTTGATAACAGGTGAGATGATTGTCTTGGCCCACTGCTATCTACTATAGTATATGTATCTAGGCTGGGTCTAGTCTTGGGGGGGGGGGGGGGGGGGTGTCAGCCCACTACTATCTAGGCTGGGTCTAGTCCTCGGGGCTGGGATTGAAACATTGCTCTAAGGCCCTCTGCAGACTACGTATATAGAACATCCAGTACAAAATCACATAAAACCTAAAAGGCAACATTTTTCCAAGCCTGCATTCAGACTACACGTTTTACAGGCAACCTTTGACCCTATGCTATTGCGCAATGGACCTGGAATGTGTGAAAGCAGCCGGCAGTCGTACCCGGGTTCAAAGTCTGTACGTTTGTACAACTACCTAGTGAGAAAGTACGATAAATGCAGGAAAGTTGCCTTCTACAAGGGTTCGCACCCTGCTTGAAAGGATTGGGCAGCTTTTTAGGCTTCCCGCCAGATTCTTGTTGTTGTCTTGGAAACTTCTATGTAAATGTGACTTATAGGCTGTTTTGTACCTAGTCTGAAGAGGGCCTAACAGTCTATCTGCAATGGTTGTTCTTCGGCATCTGGTGGAGGGGAGATGTGCAGCAAATCTCAAGTCATTTTTGTAGTGTGGAGTTAGTACTGGGTGCCGTGTGTGTGTGTTCAGTATGTCCATGTGTGTGTGTGTGCTTACTTTTCTGATGCTCTGCTATTAGGTACCGGAAGCATCTCAGGTCATTCTACATTGTCCACCCCACCATCTGGTCCAAGGTTAGTTCATAGCTGCGCTGCTTATGACGCTCAGGTGGCACATCGTTCATCATTGGGAACAAAGCATGCAAGAAGGCACGCTGTCAGTACTCACCTGAGCTCATCTTATCTCGGCTATCAGTTATTCTATCCTAGATTTCTGTAATGACCACAGCATGACCATCAATAATGATCCTGTGGCGCATGCACTTGGCGACTACATGCTGAGTACATCAGGGACGATGTGGCCACCACCGGCCCAGTCGATTATGGATTTTTGCACCGGCGTGGGCGTGGGTTGGTTTCGGACCCTGCCGTCAAGCTGATAAACTGTTGGTGGGGTCGGACACCTGGTGGTTGCTTGTGAACACACAACCGTCTACAAGTCATGGTCACGTTTCTGTCTCTTCTGAAGCACACATGTACAGTTGCACATACTGTACCTGGTTGACATGGCTAATGATTGGTCGGGCAAATGTCTGGCTATTACCCACCCCAATGCGCGATGTGACCAGTCACCTATTGAGCCACTAATGACTACCTGGATGTTGCTGCCGATGCTGTTGCTTCTGCTTCTGCTATTTACTCCTCGGCTGTCGTGGGATTTGTGTTTCTATCACTTCATTTCGTCAATGGTAATGCTGGTGGTAGTGGGAGCAGTGCTGGCGCTTGTGCTGGTGACAGCGGCGGCAGCGATGATAGTGATTGTGGTAGAATGCTTTCAAAAGGGCCCCATCACATCGAATATAATTTGAAAAAGTTCTTTTTGTTGTTGATTTGGTGGTGGCCCGCCTGGTGATCTCACCACTCTGGCTTTGTCACTCAGTCTACCTTTCTCCTTTATTTTGTTTCCTTTTTAAAGTAGCATTGCTGTCTTTTGTTGTGCTCTCTCTCTCTCTCTCTCTCTCTCTCTCTCTCTCTCTCTCTCTCTCTCTCTCTCTCTCTCTCTCTCTCTCCCTCTCTCTCTCTCTCTCTCTCTCTCCCTCTCTCTCTCTCTCTCTCTCTCTCTCTCTCTCTCTCTCTCTCTCTCTCTCATCTCATCTCATCTCTCTCTCTCTCTCTCTCTCTCTCTCTCTCTCTCTCTCTCTCTCAGGTTGCAACGTGGTTCTTCACCACCTTCACAGCCAGCAGCATCAAAGAGAAAGTCCAGAACATGGATGGAGTCCAGTACCTCTATGACGTCATCAACCCTGATCAGCTGCAAGTGCCTCAGTTTGTACTCGACTACGATGTGCAGGTTAGTAGCGATATGCAGGTTAGCAGCAGCATGGCACCTGCACCATCACTGGCAGCAGTAGCAAATTACTAGCAATGGCGATACATGTACGAAAGCTGCCAAGCACACCGTTCCTTCTCCAGCTACTGCAGTCTCCTATCCAACATCCGTACAACGAGGCACTGTGCTGTTGGGAAGAGGGCGCCCTACTCTTGCTGCATGCAATGTGTTGCTGCTCTCTTTGGCCAGGCCTGGGACGTTATTGCCCATACCTGATTAGCGCGGGCTTTGCATGCAATGTGTTGCTGCTCTCTTTGGCCAGGTCTGAGATGTTATTGCCCATACCTGATTAGCACGGGCTTTACAGTAGTCGTTTCCCTGCTGATTGATGGCGTGCAATTGAATATACTGTTACTGTAGCAATCCATACATCCTGTACACACACCTTGTACACACTCTCTCTAACGGTCTCTAGGCTACACTGCAATTGATATACATTAGCTCAAATGTAGCCTAGAGACCGTTAGAGAGAGTGTGTACAAGGTGTGTGTACAGGATGTATGGATTCAAGTATTGGCTACAGTGGAGTTTCCAAACCTTGAGAAAAGTGTTACTGTAGCAGCAAGGTGTATTGGTATCGGCATAGTGTCGTATGGTATGCATCGATGGTATGTGGGCAATAACATAATAATAATATGTATAATAATCTTTATTTCAGGATTACCCAAAGGCTGACGCCTATGGGGGGGATCTCCTATTTGTGTCTATACAATGAACATTGGAGTTGGGAAAAAGAGAAAATGTGCAAAATGAGTTCGGAAAAAGAGAGATGCTGTACAAAAGATACAGTGAAAGAACAAGCAGTGCACATGTAAATCAATGATTGCACATCAAAGGGATACCAGTGCAGTCGAACTGATACTTTGCAATGTAAATACGTAAATGACGCTTGAATTCTGTTAGGGAATCTAAAGTTGTCAATCGGGGTGGGAGACAATTCCAAAGTGCACCAGTTTTCTGTGGGAAGAGACATGAGAAAATGCAGCCATGTGAGTTAAAAAATGAGCTTTTGGGGCCTACGGGCACTACGTGAGATGGTAAACGTAAAGCGAGAGAGATAGTCTGGGTGGAAATTGATGTACTTTTAAAAATAAAACAACCTGAGAAATGAAGATACGGCGAAATTGCAGGGATTCCAAGTGACACAATCTATTCAAATTCGATTTTGATTCAAAGTTGTCAAAGTCTATTTTCGCAGACCTCAGGAGTCGCCGGCAAACCTTAGCCTGGAGTACATCAAGGGACTCTAACTGAGCGGATGTGATCCTAAGGGACCAGACAGGAATGGCATACTCAATTGCCGGACGTACGTAAGACTTATACAGGAGAGCAATGTACGATGATGGTAAATGGCGGCCCATAAAGCATAACAGATTAACACGTTGCTGGAACTTCCTGAAGATGGTGTGGAAGTGGTCGTGGAACTTCAAACCATCACTGAGCTCTACACCGAGATGCTTAGCGGAGCGCCCAGATCCGATTAAAACGTTGTCCATGGACACAGAGGAGGATTCAGGAATGCTGTAATTGGACAAGATGAAGGTTTTTTCAGGAGAGAATTTGCCATGTATTTTCTGTGCCCAATGCTGGCAGCCATGATGGTGGTAAGGTGCTGTTGCTGTTGCTGCTGCTGTTGTTCTTGTTATAGCCAGTCAAGATCTCTATAAATTGACAGCAAGCAAATCTTCCTGTTCTGACTTCTTTTCTTGTGTGTATGTGTTTTCTTGTAGAAAAATGGTCTAAACTACTATACACCACAGGGCAGAGAAGGTGCAAACAATGGTGGCCTGTGAGGCTAATCTCGCTGCCCAAGTCAGGAGTGTTGTACATTATGGTCGCTGTCATTGCTGGTTGGTTTGTTGTTCTTGTTGTTTCTGCTTCTGTTACTGTCGGGTTTCTTCTGGTGTTTACTTCAAAGTAATCGTTCAGAATCCGTTTGTACTCCTGTTTTGTTAAAACGCTGGTGTGTGTCTTGTGTCAACTGCACACCTCTTACACAGAGCATGCATGCATACACACATACGTATTGATCTCATTGTCCTTGTGTTTGGTCCTTGACATCTGTAAAAATGTCATTTCCGTCAGTCATGCGGCTTTCTTGTAGAAAAACATTATGTTCATGGTTTGTGTTTACCACATAAGTCAGCAATGTTTTGCCCCCACTCCCATCCGTGTACTTCAGTCGGCCCTGCACATTGATTTTGCTCTGCTGCAGACAAGCACGCACTTGCGTGCGCACGCACGCACACACACACACACACACATACACACACGCACATGCCAACCGGTACACATAGATTTAGTGGAGAGTGTATTTAGTGTGCGCTGCAATCATCTCGTTCCGATTCAAGCTTTCGTCGTTTCATGCTCTCCGTACTGTAAATGACCCTCAGCTGGCTAAGGGTTAGCATTATTATGTTACAGCTGCATGCTTGTGTGGACATTTTCCTATTTTTCTATCTATGCACATGACTCATTATTGAAACCAAGTATTTTTTTCACCCATCCCCAGACATGCGTTTCACTGATTTTTGTCCTTTCTAGTTCTGCGGCGTGAAAACCTATCACACGTACACACACACACACACACGTACACACGTACGTACACGCACACACATACACAGACCATGCACACACATCCATACGTACACACACACACACACACACACACACACACACACACACACACACACACACACACACACACACACGTACACACACATTGTTCTCATCCACTTGCGAGCTTGTAAGCTTTTCTGCCCGTCAGCGTATGTTTCCCTCAACCGTCTGAAAAAAATCGAATGTCTTACTTTGTAATGGAATTTCCTCTTCAGTTATCGTTTCCTTTGTGTGCATGTTCACTTCAGTCTTCTTTTTGTGCTGTGAGTGTGCCCGTGCTTAGATACATACATGTAAATGGATTTTGAAGTATGATACTTGAAATTTATGTGGATATATTATTATCACTATTGCTTCCGAACGCTATGAAGTATTCTTTGCTGGATCTGCTTCTTCTTTTCTTTTCTTTTAAATGTGATGGCGGCTTCATTGCAGTCCTATGTGCTACCGTTTCTATTGCTGTTCTTGCTGTTGCGGGAGCCGCACCTGTAAGGCTGTAGCTTGTCCCCAGCTGTGTGCTAGCACAGTCCCACTGGCCCTGTGTGTTGTGCAGGGATATGCGGGGAGGTCTGTCTACAGTAGTACACTGTACAGTATGCTGCTTACTACTGTACATCATGGCGTATGCGAGGTCTATCCATGCTACTACTATAGTTATACTAGTAAGTACTGACTACATGTAGCACGGAGAGAGTACATGGAGGTTATGCTTGTACTCTTGGTGCTACCAAGAGTATGCCCTGTTCTGGAACACACAAATAAGCACGTGGCGTAATTTGTTTCTGCATAATACTCTTATACGATGAGTACTGAGTTAGAGAAGGAGAAAAAAAGTTCCATAGCAGAGCGTCGTCACGATAACAGAGACAGTAGTGAACTGCTAAAATAGAGGCTAGAATATACTGAAGCCGAGTGCAAGAGAGAGAGAGAGAGAGAGAGAGAGAGAGAGAGAGAGAGAGAGAGAGAGAGAGAGAGAGAGAGAGAGAGAGAGAGAGAGAGAGAGAGAGGAGAAAGAAGAGAGAACACACCCGCTGCTAGTGTGGTGATGGAGATAATCTCACGATGTGTAACTGCCATAGTAGACGCTTCATAGAAGACAAAAATAGCACAGGGTAAAGCACAGGGTAACGAGTAGGCGGGGCTGGGCCTGTGCTGTCTCAAGGTGCAGTTGGTCGGTCATATATAGCTCAAAAATAGAAATAGAATTAGATGGGCAACGATGCCGTTGATCAGAGATTCTTCAAGAGCGGCAAATCTCAACTCGTAGTATTCCATAACGCTATCCTACTAGCCTCCTCATAGGTTAACATAGAACTCTCAACAAAGAAGTAAAAAGGAGACCCAGAAAAAAGTCTATGGTGCACTCCTGTAAGAATTGAAGTCTGGGTGTAGTCAGTGATCATCTTGGTGGCCGCTGGTGTGTGGATGGGTAGTCCGACTTTGTTCTATGCGGTGCCGGAAAGGCTTCTTCCGGCTTGAGTTCTTGCTCGTGCGCAGCGCCGCAAATATGCAGGCTGCCACCGATGTCCATGGAAATACGCAGCGGCCAGTAGCAGAATATGCACGGGCAGCAGATGCCGGCGATGCACAGTGCAGTCCACCGGCGACAACACACGCGGTCTTCGTCGCTGTTCGGACTGCACTGGAACGGGAAGACAAACTCATTCTCCTCATCACTAGCGCACCAGTAGGTGATGCAGGAAGCGAGCTCTAGACAGCTGACAAAGTGCACGCAACTCTTGCACTTGCTCGGGCCGTCTTCGCAATCGCCCGTCCGGTTGGAGTCGGCGTAATAGAACTGTCCGCAATGCATACACTCAAGCCGAGCATGGCTCTGTGAAGGGGCGGGGGGAGTACTTGTGTTTGCACTAAGCGGCTGTTCTGTGATCACCGGCTTCTCGTGTTTCTCTTCCTGCGCTTTTCTCCGCACTTCCTCGCTGTGCAACGCGCCAATCTGTGACAAGTTCGATATTCTTCTTCCATTCGTCTCACTGCCTGTCGACACAACACTCCCAGAATTACTCTTTCTCTGCTCGCGATGGCGCTCCTCTCGTTTTCTTTCATAGAACTGGAGCTCCTGCTCCTGTTTCGTTATCCACTGTTTGTGCTCATCGATCTGTTTCTGGATGCTCTGGTGGACTTCGATCGGTGGGTGTTGGCGGCGCAACTTCGGATGTGATGTCTGCAGCGAGCTACGTGGTTGCGTTGCAGGCGCAGGCGCCTGGCGATGTGCATCGCCGTCGACATGCGTACTATTGCTAGTGCTCGATGACGATGATGATGCCAGACCAATGGATCGTGCCGGCTGTCGCCTGACCACAACTGGCTCAGTACTGGGCACAGGTAGTACCGTGCCATTGCGTCTCGTCGTCGTCACAGGCTCGCCACCATCGCTACTACCTCGGCCGTTTCCACTGGGGCCTTCTTCTTCTTCTTCCTCGCCCGCATCGTCACCCTCAATCTTAGCATAAGGGTGAGGAGCGCCTTCCTCAGGGATGGGTCTGGATATTTCCTCCAGCTTAGCCTTTATGAGGGCCGCCTCAGCTTCAGCTTGTGTGACAGGATCATTCGGAGGATAGAATTGAACATACGGTCCTAGGAAGGTTTCGTCCACGACCTGTGTGCCACGGGGAAGCGCTGGCACATGGCGTGATTCTGCGTCTACGATGGGAGGTGTTTGACCATGCCCGCTGCCAATGCTGTCGTGATCCTTCTCAGCCTGCTGCTCTCTCTCCCTTTCTTTGATGGTGAGCGCTGGAGACGGCGAGGCACCAACAGTTGCAACCGCTTCACCTGCAGCAGGCTCCGCCTGAACAGGAACAAAGAAAAAGAACATGACAATGACCGATGGGTTCATTTATGTGCTACCATTGGCCACAGTAAACATGATCTACACACCGGGATATGCACCAGTGTGTATACACTGACCTCCACCACCTCTCTCTAAGTTCTAACGGGGAAAAAACGAGGAACACATGATGTAAAGTACGAGTACCGTGTCATGCGAGCCAGTCTCTCTCTCTCTCTCTCTCTCTCTCTCTCTCTCTCTCTCTCTCTCTCTCTCTCTCTCTCTCTCTCTCTCTCTCTCTCTCTCTCTTTCTGTTTCTCTCTCTCTCTGTCTCTCTCTCTTTCTGTTTCTCTGTGTGTGTGTGTGTGTGTGTCTCTCTCTCTCTCTCTCTCTCTCTCTCTCTCTCTCTCTCTCTCTCTCTCTCTCTCTCTCTCTCTCTCTCTCTCTCTCTCTCTCTCCCCCTCTCTCTCTCCCTCTCTCTCTCCCTCTCTCTCTCCCTCTCTCTCTCCCTCTCCCTCTCCCTCTCCCTCTCCCTCTCTCCCTCTCCCTCTCCCTCTCCCTCCCTCTCTCTCTTCCACTGCCCCCTGTTTATCGCCTGTGTCTCACCTCCTCGTCGATCTTCTCGCATGCCTGGAACTGCTCCCTGCGGATGATGCGTTCATTTTTCTTCTTACGCTTTCTGTTGGCTGCAACGACAAACAGATGCAACAGAACGAGATCAAGGAGGTTAGGTAAAGACCGGCATATTGATAGGTAGTTGGGAGTGATCCTCCTACCACACGCACACACATACCTACATGACAATATCTGATATTCCATGGCGTGCCGTGCTCATATCATAGCTTGCAAAATTTCATAAAAGCGCAATTGCAATCGATCAGAGAACTTGATACTCAACAACAGATTGTAACCTAGATTGATGAGCATTCACATGAAACAGCTGTTCTCTGGACTCTGGCCTTTATATCCTGATAGCTCATGTCATGGACCAAGGCTGCTGCTCAGTACCGATCAATTCCTGCCTGGGAATTGTACCCCATGCATTCCGAATGAAGACTTCCACTGCTCTATGCATGGCTAGTAAATAGCTATGGAGAAGTTTGCCGTCCCATCTCCGCATGCCACATGAATGCAGGGTCTACCCATGTGATAACACTAACCAAGCCCTAAACACAGGTCATTCCAGGATTGTTTCTGCTTGAATGGCTGGATGGTGGCCACCACATCACATCCACATGTTGACAGCAGATTCCATGGGTGTCTATTTTCAGTGCCCTGGCATTAATAGAGATTGTTCTGCTTTTAGCTGCCCTTGCAAAGTGCACTGGTGTCTCACATTTACCCAGACAGCTATAGTTACCTCCTGACCTGACCACCAAACATATTCAGCTGCATGCCGCATTTAGGCCAATGCTTTGCCAGGGCACAGCACAAACATGCAGTCCCTGACGCGGTGCTAACAAAACTATGTTTCCGTGTATCCACATCTCAGTTCAGCAACAAACCAATGCCATCGATGACTGTGCCAGACCAATCTCAATGCATTTCAGTTCCGCACACAACTCTTATCCGGGGAGAGGAAGGTCACTAAGTTTGTCCATAGCTCTGACAGCCCCACTGCCATGACTCTAGACTAGAGCGGCAGTACAGACTTTCCAGTCAGCATCACTCTTTACACACTGCATGCAGTGCCAGCATGACTGTAATGTTTGGGTACGGCCTAGTCATGTTTTTGCCTCAAGAGTGCTGCAGAACATTTCCGAGGGACTACTGTCTGCCGTGGGTGTAGTGGGTGTAGAGCGTTTGGTGGATCTCCTTGCATCCTCTTCCTCTGCCAGTCATATCCTCCTATCCTGACTGAAACTGCATTCTGCACCAGCACCCCCCCCCCCCCCCCCCCCCCCTCTCTCTCTCTCTCTCTCTCTCTCTCTCTCTCTCTCTCTCTCTCTCTCTCTCTCTCTCTCTCTCACGCAGTGACCAGTATCAGCGTTGAGCAACTATGCGACCCTGTCTGAGACATGGACTTGCGCTGAACTGTGCACAGAACACCAAGACTCAAGGCAAGACTGCAAGAGCACTGTCATTTCCCCCCATTCGCGTACACGTACATCGGAACACAGAAACCAGACGCCAGGAATTGTCCGCCTACAGCCGCGTTATTTGTAGCGTTCTTCTCCGACACATCAAGTCACTAGACAACAAAATTTTCAGGGCAGCGGCACTGCTGCGTGGGGTACATCCACACCAGCGACATTGGACCAATATCACAACCGCCGACACAGTCTTCCACAACTAGTGTTATTTTACAGAGCGATTGCTGCATATCTCCCAAAACAAGTTCACGACCGACCGCTGAACGCCACGCGAGTTCCGCTACCCATTCTCACCTCTCCTACCTACAACTACAAGTGGTCAAAACTAAGTCTTGCTGACAGGGCTAGGGACCTTTCGAGAGAGTGATAGAGTGAGAGCGAGCTTGATTTTTCATGCACCGCTCCAAAAATGCCATCAATGTGCGAAGAGACACAGCAAGGACTAGTCGACTGCAGGGTGGGTCACGCTTGCAGGTAGAAGTATGCACTGGCCAGAGAGATGCCACCACTGGCACAATGTGAACATGATTGTACTGAAGTTCGAAACGTTTGGAGCTCCTCGCGGCCTCTTCTTCGCCGCTTCGGTCTAGTACTAGTAGTAGTAGTAGTCTAGTACTAGTGCCAGTTGACCCACATGCGCCAATGCAGTAGCCTGCCCATCCAGGGCCTGTACTATTTTGAGCTGACAGGAGATCCCACTCACTCCGTAGCAGACCATTCACGCCTACACATGAAGCACACTCTGACTTGTACCGGTCGTGTGCTTCCACAAAGAGCTGAGTCAAAGGAACACGAACAGCAACCAAGCGATCCGCAAACTCATTACACGACTGTCCCTGTGTTCTGTACAACTAAACAAGATCACAGAGTCGACAAGCTTGTTCAATCAGGTGAGAACCCGCCGCCATCGTCGAGTGCACAGTCTAGTACGAGTAGTACTAGTAGTCAGCACAGCTTCTGCTTGATGGACAGCCTCCCGGATTTAGAGATACATACGTAGATTCTACGTGTGTGCTCGGCATTGTTCGCCTGTAGCTAGCGGCAGTGTAGATGAGGATCGACGTTATCCTGCTTCTTCTTTTACTACAGCTCTACGCCTCTAGTGCCACACGCCCGGCAGTCAGGTGAGTGATAGAGAGCCAGAGTAAGCGAGTATGGAGTGGCAACTGGCGAGGTGCAGCACCACAACCACTATCATCACAGGACTGCACAACAAACTGCAGCCATGATTCCCCGTCTTCATCCACCACCACGCCACCATGTCGCCAACAGCAGCATAGCGTTCTTCTCCGCCACATCATTAGTTACGATAGTCAACAACATTTTCCTGGCAGCGGCACTGCGTTATAGTTATAAAATAGTAATGATCGGGTAAACAGTGTCAAGCAGCGTCCATTAGGCTAGCCACGGACATACTTCAAAGTAGTGACACTCACCTTTGAGGAGGGTTGACTTGATGCTGATGATCTTGTTGGAGAATTCCAGAGCGTCATTTTCCGATTGGAATTTCAGGCCGTACTCCGTGCTGGAATCGCCGAAGTAGTGGAACTTGCTGTTGGCTACGGAGTATTCCAGAGAAGTTGTGACCTTACAACGCAACAACTCTTTCTGGCCCTGTACGTCCACGTCCGCGTACTGTACACCAACAAGGAACAAACGGACAAAATCAACTTGACTGAGTTTTAGCGTCTATTATTTTAAATGTTAATATTAGCACGGTCGCAAGGCCACCGGCCAAACACTTTATTTTGCTTGTTGTTTGGGTTTATTACTTTATTTTCTTCTTAGGCCGAGTTCACAGGGAAGTGAGCTGTGGGAGAAAGTGCGAAAACTAGTAGATCTACCCACTGACACAAGGATCCAGATCCTGCTCCTACTGTCCTAGGCTAGGAGCGAAGTAGTCGTAGTGGGTGTTCGCTACACGAATCACAGCTACACAGTCAGTAAGTCAGTAGACTAGTTCTCAGTAGATCTACACTACACTCTACAGCACAAGAAGACGGGTCGTAGATCTACTGACCCTGCATGCAACAGACGAAGCTCCGCGTCGCACGTGCTCGCAAAACGACCAGGTATCACACCTACGTGCAGCTAATTTTACGAACAAGGACTTCGACTAACGTCCTGCAACAGCACTGGGTGGACTGATGTCCGTATCACCTATCGAGCAGAACAACTGACGCTCTAGCTGACCAAACATAGTGGAGAGGCGAGTCCACATCCACGTATCTCCTTTCGATTTCAACACAACAAGCAACAAGGCTGCAAGATAAGCCATAACTAATGCCACTGGATAGCTGGAATCATAGCAACATGCAACTATTTCAGTAGGACATGTACGTCTTTTTCCGTCGCGCTGGAATGACAGAGGTTCTAAATGTGACACGCTCAATGTCCGGCTGAGGCGCTGAGCGTGATACCCCGATTGTACCGTGCACGCACAACACGCGCCCAAACAAGGCCAGGGGTCAAGAAGAAATGCCGCGCAACAAAGTAATAATAGTTTCAACGCGCATATAACTACACCCGAAAAGATGGCAGTAGGATAAGGAGTATCTGCAACTAACTATCTTGTGCATACTAGTAATGAGCTATTACTGTATCCGTAAAACTGATACTAATAGACATAAGCGATGAGAACGGTTCAAGACCATGTTGCGACAGCGGTTGCTCATGTCCGACACAGTACGCCATATACCGGTGGGATCCTGCTCCTTTTGGCATCAAATCCCCTCAGAACTCATCTCAGACTCTATCTGCCGAACCGCAAACTTATAATCCGTCATGGCAGAAAAATGTGGATGCGCATCACTAGTAGCCAACGCAGCCTGAACGCGAAGATACGCTCGCAGTCACGTTTATTTTACCAAATCTCTCCGCAGGCAGCATGCACGCACGTACACCAGGGAGCTTGACACACACGTTGACAGTCTGGCCATTCGACGCTTTGGCCATGAGAGAAGAGCGTTTCCTCCAGCGCTTCGTTTCAGAACGAGCTGCCTCGTGATCCAGGACTATTGTCTACACTCAGAGTCAGAAGTCAGATCTACTCCGCACTTTACCGCACATGACTGTATACGTGTACGTACAGCGAGTAGAGTGACACACACACACACACACACGCGCGCTCAGGAACGTACACATACATACCCACGCAGTTCAAGGCTCAGTCTGGCACAGACTGCAAACTAAAAGTCACTTGTCTTTCACGAAACTAACTTTGAATCACACCTCAACGCGACTGCTATGCAAGCGACGAACGTAGGTGTGCAAACCTGGCACAACGCACGGGGGCATATGGCAAGAGGCACATACCCTAGCCCAAATCCGAAATAGTCACATACAATTGCAAGGGAGAATCCTAGGTGACTGGAAGAACGAAGTCCAGTACTAGTCATTCTACTTACCGCATCAGCATACAGAGAATCCTCCGCTTCTTCGTCGGCCTGGCTAATGTCCTCGTCAATACTAGGCGTTTGTACTATTAGCCAGTAGACTTTGGATGAAGATCGTTCCATTACTCTAACATCGACCTGCCCGCTACCCTTCTCACCCAGCGGCATCCAGTCAGATCTAAGACCCGCCCGGACAAGCATCTCATTAGCTCTCAGAGCTAGCAAAAGCCGATCGTCCGACATGACGGCAACAGCTACAGAAGCTGCTGGTAATGGTGGTACAGGACCACTACCTGAAGGATTGATGCCGCTCCAGCAATGAGTATTGGTCCCCGCAAGCCACCATGCCTAAGCCGAGGCCTCGCACAAAGAAACGGCAAACCTAATCCCGCCGCCAAACAAAGGCAGCAGCACAGCACTGCGTGCAGGAGCAGCAGCAACGACAACAGCTACACTATTGAGTATTGGCCGGCTACCGTCCTCTGCTTCTCCACCACAGCACGAGTTGTAGATCTGCAACTTCTAACACAGTACTACTACCGTAGAGCAGTGCTCTACAGTCTGTTACTAGTGGCCAGCAACAGCAGTAGATCCACTAGCAGAGAGCAATGAACACAACCGAGCCCAAGCAGCCAGTCCAGCAGCAGTACTCAGTCGAGGTCCAGCGTTGCGCTTACAGCCTGCTTCAGCGGAGATTTTTGTTTTAGCGCACTAGTCGTCAAGCTGCAAGTGCGCTCCACAGCCCCACTACTACTATCTGCAGCATTGGCAAGAGCTGACCAGCAAAGCGCACTCTGTGACTGTCGTCGCTATCATGCAGCAGGCGCCCGATCAGTGAGATTTCACAGAGAACTACTACAACAGTGAACAGTATAACAGTCAGCAGTACAATGCTTCCGCTCCTGTACGCAAACGCATTACATAGCTGGCATACTGACAAGGCAGCGTCCCGCACTTGCTCTCACACACGCTCGCTCAGCGGCACGCAGAAGTACATGATTGTACTGGGAGCTCCTACTGACTGTCCTAGTTCTGGCTAGGCTGGGAGCAGACAGAGACAGTCAGTGAGTCAGTGTAAACCGCGACTTTCCAAAGTTGGATCAAGCTGCCTGCCGACATTCTATTTTTAGCAACCACTACGGGTAGTCATTCAACGAGCGGTATTTGAGTGACCAGCCACTCTCTCCGCGACGACTGGCATCCTCCCCGCAGCTAATACACATGATACATGGCCGTGCAGACTACAAATACAATGCAGTTCAGTCAGCGGGGTCAGCATGTAGTCGTAGTACTCGTACTTGTTGTAGTGCAGCAACTGCAGTCAGCCCTGCTGGCCATGAATGCTCTGACTAGATGAGACAACCTCGCCTGTAACTGCAGTAGTGCAGAGGTACTGCACTTACCTGTCACTCGCACTGGCCAGCACACCAGTGCAGTGCGAGCTCGCAGTGCTCATTGACGAAGCCGGCCGAAGAGGACAGGACACCCGAGGAGTTTCTCTCACAAGAGTAGCAGCGCCCCAGCATCCTCGGACAGCTGCAAATACTTTCAACTCTCGACCTCTTCACATGATCTGAGCGATAAATCGTGCCAGGGCCACGACGGCTAGCTCTTTCTTTCGTTAGTCTCGGCGATGTTTTCGTGCTCTCATTGAAGAATATGCACCACTAGAATGTGATTGGTACGTGGATCGTGCGGGACCCCGCTGAGTGTCTGTTTAGATCGATGCGTTTACTGCCCTAATCAGTGCGCGCTTTGGACGGCCAATGACTTATGTGCCACTCAACTTCTCGAAGAAGGACGAAGTGCCGGTATCTCACCCTTGCTTGATCCTCTCTAACTTGGTTGTACTTATCAGCATTTGACTAGGCAGAGTGTAGCCGTCTGTTTGGGTAGACTTACTGTAGCGTAGATCCACTGGTGTTCACGTCAACGCCGCGCTAGCATGCAGCAGCGTGTTACAGTCCAGCTAAAGGTAGCTTGGCTTGGCTCCCCAGGTGGTTGAATTGAGGGCTTGCCTATTTTTCACGTGTCTGCCAAGGACGGTATAGCTTGCCAGGTTATCTTTATAATAATTATGTATACAACCGTCATGTACCACACCTGTGGCCCGTCCCCATGGATGGAAGTTCGTAAAACAAACTGGGCTCGTAGCGTGAGCTCACCAGCGGAGGATGAGAACAAATTCGACACGTAATAATAGGAATACAGTCATCCTTCAAGTGCAATAATTGTTTGTCTGAGTCCTGGTGGTGACAGTCAATCTTTTCTTTAGACTTTTCCCCTTTGCATCTTTCCCTCTAACAAAGAAGAAGATAATTGTTTTCTATTAATTTAAAGTTCAGGTTGCAAACTATCTGCAGTACCCATGCCATTATTCCAGCGCAAATATGGGATCTCAGGACAGGAAGACGATTGCTTTCATGACGTCTGCACCTTGTTCATGTATGTACATGTACATGTAATTGTTTGTTCGCTTGAAGTCGGTTAGTCGAAGCAGCGCAGATGACATGACCATTGAGCTGGCCATCTCTACAAAATGTGTAGATTTGACTCTCATCGAGCCTATGGCCCAGTATGGGGAGATTAGCGCCCGCAATCCAGCCTCCTTCACACGCAGTAGTGCCGCTTTTAGCATAATCTGCTACTCGGCCTCGGGAGAGCGGCGACGTATTGTAGTTGGCTAGGTGAACTACTTTTTTTAAACACAGCGGATACAGCTCGTGACGTATCTTGCTAGTGAGAAGGTGCTGTATGCGGCGTTCAAACAATGTCATGATGGTGGATGTTCTAATTTTACAGCATAGACATTTATCAGGTTCTTATCACACCTTGTTCTACAACAGGACAAGCAGCACGGTGAACGAAACGAGCGCAACGATGGCGTATTGATCATCCCTGGCCTGCTATTCTCATCTCCGTAGACTGCCCCCATTGATTTTCGTTGAACGAGGACCGTTTCATTTCTGTCCCATGCCCATGGCCCAGTTGGCCAATCATGATCAAAAATTAAATACAGCACTCAGCAGTACAGACTCAGTACACGCGGCACGTCGACAGGGTGCGCTTGCATCAGAGCTAAATGCAGAGAACGATTGCTTCTCGAGACAGATGATCCCCACTGTCCAAGAGGAGAGAACGCATCCGTGCGCCGCGCGTCTGACGCACAAACCCAAGGCGAGCTTCTCCCTGCAATGGCTTCATCCGCGTCACGCGTTCTCTTTCAGATTCCGATCGTCAACGATCTAGTCGAGCGGCATGTCCCCATGATGGACCACCAAACAGTGACACACACACACACACACAAGTTGAGTCAGTGAGGAGACAAACATCTACCATGACTACAAATTACAATACAAGTACATTGTATTCGCTAGAACCGGGGCGGGGGATGCTAGCAACACAGGTAACAGGTTGTCAGCCACATTCTGGATGCTAGCTACTACATGTACCGATATTGATAAGCGTGCGAATAGAGTGTCACCCACTTTCGGATAATCTATTCCTGCGTGCATTAAAACTGAAGTAAGCCGCGGTCGTGCCGGATATTCGGACCACACAATACAGGCTTCAAGCTCGAATCCTGCAAGATTCTGATCGCTCAATCATGTAATTAATTGCTGGGAAAGGAGCCGGGCGGTTGTTCGCACGATCACCCCCTCCCCCCCCCCCCCCCGCGATGGAATTTGTGCTCTTCACTCCGTAGAAACTGGACAGGATAAGGTCGGTGCCCGGCGTCAGTAATACATGACATTGACAGTATCTACATGACTGTACAATGTACATTGTAAATACAGTAGCCCACATGTAGGTCTACCCTGGCCACTCGTCAGTTTGGGACAATAATATTATTTTGTAGTAGGGAATGGAGACCTGTTTTTCGGTCGGCCTGTACTTTTAAACTTCCTGTTACATGTATTAGTTTTTAATGGAGGATTGGCTGTACCTGCCGGTGTCCTACTCCTAGAATAGCTACCGGTAGATCATTATGACCATGTACATGTACACACAGTATTCATGGCTTGTACAGTGCTCGCAACTGAAATCCGACTCCTGAGCGGTGCGCTGACATCGCAAAGACCCAACACGGATGTGAAAATAAATGGTAAAACTACGAAATAGAGACCGCTAGAATGTGAACGCATCGCTAAGGGTTCGGATTTCAGTTGCCAGCACTGTACATGACAATCATAGTCATTGTACATTGTAGTACTACTAGTAGTAGTAGTTGTAGAATTTATTATTTTGATAGGGAAGGCCCTACAGACGTTGCCGTCTTGTTACAGGGAACCCTAAGTGCTCTTTACAGAGCGGAACAAAAACGGATAGATGCTCAACCTGACGACACGAGACACTGTATTATAATGGCGGCGGTGGCGACGCCACCTCTGAACGTCTGAAAAGGAACTGAGGAAGCCTGGAAGGAACTGACAGACATAATTGTACAATGTACATGTACATGTACATGTACGTATGCAGCATAAGTCGGGCTGGCCATATTGCCGCTGGTAATGATGACTCTCAGGGGCGTAGCACCCGCTACGACTGGTACGACCATGGTCATACCACTTTTCGAAAAGTGTGGTCCGTCCGGAACGTGCAAAACCGTAATAAAAAAATCAGGATCCATCGATGCATATGCGCATCAGACTTTGACCTTTTTTCTAGACTCGTACTCGTAGATCTGTTATGCATCTGCAGTCGTACTGACACTACTGTACTCGACTGGACTGCACACTGCGCCAGAAGTTCCCAGAACGCAGGATTTTGTGTCTTTTTTACAAAATTTTCCCGGGGGAGGTCCCCCGGACCCCCCTCCAACACGGCCTTCGGCCGCACCGACCTTCGGTCGTACCACTTCCAAAACCCCTCCTACGCCCCTGACTCTGTATGCCTTTTACAATTAATTACAATGTACACTGTACATGTACACCAATGGCAGATATAAACGGACTCCTACCCTGACTACGTGTACAACAGACCATAGCCATACATTGTAAGTATTCTTAGAAGAATGGGCTATACATGTACAGTACATGTAAAAGCGGTCATCAGACTCATCACCATGATAACCACTATCACAGTCAGTATCATTGCCATGGGACAAAGGTGTTGGCGTACTGGACGACGTTGACGCCTATGCATGAATGCTACATCATCAATAACTACATGTATTCATCATGCTCTTTCCCTCAAACTAGTGAAGATTCATCATGCTGTTTACTATAAAAATATTTAATCTTTCTGCACGAATACTCTGACCTCATAGAGTCATATCACTTATCAGCAAGTCCTACAATGACTATGACATTATACATGATTGTACATTTGTACAATGTACAGGTAGGTCAGAGTTTGGACAGGTCAGAGTACAATCATGTACATGGTCTGAATCGGACTGTCCCGTCCGTACTGCACTGACATAGTCCTTGTCAATGACAAAGGCCACTGACGTCTGTGCTGAAGATCTCCACTGACCGACGAGTGACCGTACCTACCACAGCTAGCTGTGGTACCTGCACTGCAGTCTGTGGCACGCGGCCGCCATGATGTCGGACGTATTCGTACCCCCCTGAATCCAGACTGGAACGAATGGTTGGCGCACGCGCAGCTTACTCCAAAAAGTAGTCAGCTGACTGAGTCCGTGCAACCATGCTGCGTGATCTACTTGTGTCTGATCTGACAATATTTTATTATTATCGAACAATGAACCATGATGAACTGAGTCTGTCTATGCAACCGGCGCTAAACTTAGCCTAAAAAGCAGTGCAGACTTAGCACTCATGGCGTCATGCAGTCACGGCCTGCAGCTCAACTGCGTGGGACAAGCTCTTTCATGTATCCCACGCGTCAGCGGATATTACAATGCCATAATGCTTTGCTACATTTA